GATAAATAATTTCCGAATGTATGAAATGAATAAGTTCTGCACCCTTTTGGCACGTTAGGCATTTAATATAAAATATCAAATTGCACGTATACGAATTAAACAGAAACTCGTATTAATTACGCGGATGAGTTATGCGCGGCATTCATGCGATTGCATTCAGTTTGTCGTTGTGTCGGTTTGCATTTCCACGCGCAGTCGGTCTGAGACTGAAGGAGCTTCGTCGTCATTTCGGGATGGATGGCGTGTCTATTTTAATCTATGTTTTTTAATCGCTACCCGCCGCCGTCGCCGCGGCGTGAAACTTTGCTCATTGAAAAAACAGCGCTAAAGAATGCACAGCGTAATTAAGCTGTAATTAACTGGCGCCATTGCGAGTCATTTTTATTCAAACGCTTGTATTCGTTTTTTAAACTATTATGTTCGTCCATCCGACTGACAACTCCTTAAATTAATTTTTAAAACTGTAAAAACGCACATAATTTTTTTGTAAATGCAAAAAAAAAATTAAATTCTTGTAACTTTAATAAGATTCAAACTTTTAGAATATAATAACCCTTCTGCAGCTCATAACTTGCCCCAATTATCCGTATATGAAGCGTGGAAATTTGGGTTTTACGTTTTAGGACCCATGCATTACTGTCATCGAAGCGCGTCGTCCTTCAACGGCATAAATCACCAATTCGGGCAGTGGGCCCGAGGCAAGTCAGGGGGAAACACCCACCCACACCCCAAAAAGGGTTTTATTTCGCGCCGCCAGCTATAGGCAAACGAGTGAGGCAAAAAAAGAACCGCAGATAAAAAGCGGAGCGATGAGGACGAATAAAAGCATGTTATGCCTTCTCGGTCCTCAAGGACGAATATACGACCTGCGAATGCGCTCGCACACGATCCTTGCGTATCTTACGCCATCTTATACGCTCCAATAACTTGGATGACGACAGTGTTCTTCGCGAAGTGGAAGTGTGGAGGGTGACTTAAAAGCAACGAAATACACCCGAAGGACCAAAACCTCTTAGTCAAAGATGCGTTTTGCACGCGATGAGCGAGAAAAAAAATTAAAAAGTAATTAAAATTTAAAATATTCCTTTTTTGCAGCGTCGAGTGCTTCGCGCGGAGCAAGCGATTATTAATTTTGATGCATTTGCATGAAACACGCAAGACACTGGGCGTGTCTAAGAACTGGTCCGCTTGCAGGAAGTAAAGTATTAACTCTTGGAGGTTAATTTTTTTATCTTAAATTTTTGGTGTGCATTCGTTCCATTTTTCTTCGTTTTATTTTTGTGCGCCGGGAGGCGCAGTGCGGCCCTCTAGCAGTTTTTTCTGTTCAACGCGTCCGGGTCCGAAAAACCGAGGAAAATTAAAGCAAAGTTTTCGAATTAAAAAACTTTCGACGCCGCGCCGCGCTTTTTTATTCATTTCCTGTCTGCGATTGCGAATCGTATTCCTGCGTTTTTGTGCATAGTCTTTATCTTTCGCAAAATTTTATGAAATTGATTATCAAGTGGTGATTAATATGCTTTTTTTGCACATTCCTCCAAATTTGTCTGGATTTGACAATTTATACGCTGCGAAAAAATATGAAAGATTTTGTTTTGGTTTGGAAAAAAAATTATAGAATGTAAAGTGTTGGAAAAATGTATGCGAGCAGGCCATTACCAGTTCCTGTACACGTTGTGCACAGTTTCCGACCGCTTTTCAGTGTCTTCTTCGCACATACATTTTCGACTCTTTTCTTTTTCCACTATTTCCCCGACTAAGGTATAGCATCACGCCTTGTTTGTTGTGGCATTTTTGCCGGCGTCTATTTACTTTGTTTGCGCACTTGTGAGCCAAAGAGCACACCCGAAACTATGGCTTGGCGAGATATCTACGTGATTCTATCTACGATATCACTAATGCATTATTTTCGAGGCCGCGCAAAGCATGCTGTCCATATTCTTATCTACACCATGTCGATACACTCTCTCACTGGGGACTAACGTCGCTTGTTTACTATTCTCTGCGCGCAGAGCGGAATTGAGAAATAGAATGTGTTGTTATGCCCTGTCGATATGTGATGTCAAGCCTACATTTCAGTATTTTACACACTTTTTAAAATACACAACAAAAATATCTGAACATCAACTTTTGATTAAAATTGCTTATTTAACATTTATGTTTACCTTTGTATTATTGTATTGTGAGTAACAACTTTACACCCTGCAAGAGGTTGGATAAAGAAGAAATAAAATCTGTTCTTTTATTCTCGTCTTTGAGCATTTATACGCTCGCGTTTTCATTGCCGTTTTATACCCGTTAATATAACCGGATGCACCTTCATCCCACTACGTGCGCGGTGCAAGGGTTGTAAATGCAACGATTATTTTTTTTTTTTATCTGCACATTGCGATGGCTGAATGCCGGCAGACACGAAACTAAAACTGTCTTATTACGTATTTATCTATTATCTATTCGGCAATTCGCAATAAAACCGTTTGATATCGCAGCATCGTTATATGATATCCTCCCGCAGCTGCGAGTACATCGCTTTTCTATCCTCCCAGATCGCAAATGGTGATTTAAGAGTGCGAAATGCACCATAAAAGGAAACCGGAACATAAAATAATAAAATCTTCGTCTACGGAATAGAATTCTAGAATATAGTTCTCGAACTAAACTATTTTAAATTTTTAAAACATTAGAAACAGATTATGTGTCTAATGACATATTCGTACAGAAATCATTCAATAGACCTATAATCTAGTTTATAGCACAGACATAAATCATAACATGACATGATGTTGATGTTGGTAATGGTTTGATTACGTTTTCGCCGTTCGTCGATCCGACATGTCGTTCTCCTTGCTGATTGCTCGCACATCGAGTACACGTACGCGAATAATAAATGTTAGGATGCACACGGTGGCGAGCAATTGACGTGCTCTTAATCAGAAACATCCGTACCTAATGGCACCTAATGGCACACTCGTATCCACACCACCACCACCGTTAAAATGGAGCGTTTATGTCGCGCATTGATTTGTTGATACGCTGCAATTCTCTCTAATTTCTAAATTAAACTGCCCGCACTGCGCAGGGTTAGTGCGACGTGCACAAATTTGCGGCAACAAATGCAAACGACGTGATGGTGTCTTCCGATAACGTTCGGCTGCGGCGAAAAAAGCGCGCCACGGGCTAAAAGCACAAATAAAATAAAAGACAAAGTGCGCCGGCAGCGGTGGTGGCAGCGCGATGGGTCCGCTTTATTTGCATGAAAACACGATTTTTTATACACTCGGCCCTTCTCGCTGCTCGAAGGAAAACGAACAGAAACTTCCTACAGCGGAGCGCGTTAGAAAATGGCCAATTGCAGTCTAATCCTGGACGCATAGCAAAGATTACATAATTTTAAAAACTTTAACTTTCCTGATACTATTTCATTCAAACAAGAAAAATTTAAAAATAAATAAATAATGTACTTCTTTACGTGTGATACGTACTAAACCTACTAAAAACGTTTCCGGATCAGGACATAAATCATTATCGCATAAACACTTGTTGATAAGATGCGTAAACTTTCCGCATGCGTTCGACACGGCACTAAATTCTCTGCGCGTCCTACAGCTCAAACTCCCGCTTGGCAGTTGGCACGCACGCTGCCGAATTATGTATGCGATATACTCGCCCTTTCGTTCGCCCTTAAACCTCCCTCGCCATACACCGGCGCGCCGCAATCTCCAATGACCTATTAATGTCTTTTTCGTTTCCTGATGCGTCGAAGCGTTCCGCGTTCAACATTTATTTATTATTTATCGCCGCCGTAGATTATATCTGGGGTCGTAATATCACTTCCCAGTTTGATAGAGAATACCATTGATGTTTTTATCAATTACATGGCTTGAGTGTGTTATCAACTCCAACAAGTCTTTTCAAAACAGAGTCACACTAAACTGTAATGTTGCCGTAATACTTATAATGGTAATGGTAATCCGCCGCCAGCTTTTAATGCATTCTAATGTGAGCGAGTCATGTTTGAAGTACGTGTGGTTTTCGAATGGGAATGCAAACATGCCGCGACGCGCTGCGCTCCGAGAGTGGAACATTAGAAGTGGAACTTATCAGATAACAGAAGTAGATGCTGCGTTCCACAGCGTGCCCGAGAAGAGGAGAACTGGAATGTTGGGTCTGGTGAGAAATTCGAGCTAGTTCAAGTTGAATTCAGAGTGCAACAGTGAAGAAACACAAAATTATAGCAATTTGTAAGTTTTTCTAACAGATTCGAGAATATTTCCTATGGTTTCATCAATATAACACAAGGTTTCTTTCATTTCCTGTCGTAGTTAAATAATTTAATAGCTATCCAATGCGTTTGCGCTTTTGTTGACTGAGAATATTAAATAATTAAACGGCACATAATTGGCAAGTTGCTTCTGCGCCTCTTCAAAGCAATAGTTTGGCGGAAGGATGGTTAGCCGGACGGGATGCTAAACAGCGGGAATTAAATCAGATCGTGCGGGTGCCGCAAAACCGTAACCCTTTTACGCCGCCGTCCTCGAAAACCGAAAACTAATGCCCGAAGCGGTCTCGAAAAGAGCATCCAAAAGTTGCGCCATACTACACTACCATCCGTCTATCTTCTATCTTGCGATTGATAGCAAGTTGGTGCTCCTGTTGACGCAGGACGCTGAACGTGAAGGCGTCGAAAACGTGCATTAATGCGGCTTCTTCTTCGTTTGCTTATAGACAGCCGCAGCGAAACCGAAATGGATTTAATTAAACATTAATTAAACGAACGCAAACGAAGGCGTAGGCTCGGCAACGAGAAGAACCGAATGAAACAAAAACACATCTACACACATACCACACGCCACATTCGCAGTTACCGCAGGAAAGCGCGAAAAGGAAGAAGACACTCCTCAATGTTTGATAACATTCGTTTACCAGGAGTTACTTGTTAGCGTTTAGCGACATTTATTTTATGACATCTCTGATGATTTCATTAGTTATGGATCTATTTTTACCTTTATGACTTCATTCTCCTCCACATTGAGTATTAATTAGAAAATAATCCCAAATTCAGGTAGAAACGTCCTCCAACAAACTTTTAGAAACACATACTAATAATTTTTATTATTTAAAAACAATATCACATATTTATGTTCAAAATTGGGGATTAAACACGTTTTGCGAACAAAGTTTTTATTTATTTTATTGTATGCTTTATCGTGAAGAGATACCACACAATCGCACATGCACACACACCTGCACAGCGGAGAGTCGGTTTTTACAGTTTTGGTACGGAATGAATAAACATCCGCACGCGGTTACGGCCCGCTGGCGGCAGGCGAGACACAGGTCGACCGAACGCAAACATGCGCGACGACACCGCGGACGTCCTGCACGAAACTGGTTCCTCGGGCTTGCGAGCGAGTCGGCGTACGCTGCCTCGGCTGGCTCGTATTTGTCTCCCAAACAGCGCGCTTGCTGGAGCTGCGCGGCCTCGCCTCTTCGCAGGCCTGCTCAGCGCGCGCGCCGCTTGCGTGCAACGCCGGTCACAGTGTTTTCCTGCTGCTGTACTCGCGGTGTACTCACTGCAAAGTGTACCAAGGCGAGAGCACCGAATATACCAATGAACCATCGTCATTAACCCTGCAATACCAGGTTTTTCTTTAACATATATATTGTTTAAATTTGAATAAAGTTAATAAATGTACAAAACGTACCGCATGTGTGTGGATGCGTAATACAGGTTTCTGTAAATTAACCTAACTTTTGACATCTCCACGCGTCATCTATGTAAATTTAGCGAAAGTAAAAAAATATTTTGAAAGGTTAGATTTAAATTGTGATTATATATTCTAGGGTTAATACCTACCTATCGCAGCAAAGAAAGTAATGGAGCAATGTGCGTACAGAGAGCGTGTGGTACAAACATGCGGCACGACCGAACATTACACGCGGCGGCGGCGACGGCAGCCGGCAGCGGAAGAAAACGCAAGAGCAAGCCGACGTCTCGGCGCAAGGAAATAAACTAGAAATAAACGTATAAAGAGTCATAAAACAGCCTTATATACGTCTGCGGATCTCCGCAGCGAGCACGAAGGCCTGCAAGCGGGACAAGCACACAAAGCCTACCAGACATTATACTAACATCCAAGTTCTAAGGTTTCTAACTGTGCTTTTGAAATGATGGAAACCTGCATTACTTTCAACTTCTACACGCTCACTTGTTGATAAAAATAAAACTAAGAACAAAACGAAAATAATTCGAATGAAGTTTATGAAGATGCCCTCTGGGCGAAACATGTTAAACTCAACAAAAAAAAACCTGTAAATCCAAAAAATCACGTTGTAATTTTAATCAATAAATATTCTTATATTTATAAAAAATAACATGGATTACGTATTCACCAAAGAAAGTAATAAATTCGAATGAACTTATTCTTCGTTTTATTTGATTTAAATATATTTAAAAATCGAATACAAATTGATGCTAATTATTAGCAATTTTTTGTTGAATATTGCCATTTGAATTTAAATTGGTACGCCGTACTATTTCCGCACGAGTTTAATTACGCCACTTGGTGTTATCACGGTGTTGAACGAAAATATTAACCCGTGTGCGCAGCGTACGCATTATTCATAATTAAAAGCTCGTTTCGACGCCCGTGAACTATTCCGAATCGGCGAAATATTTGCTCGATGCATAATTAAAGTAGAGCTAAACATTTTACAAATATAAAGCAAACTATTAAACTGCGTACATGAGCCTGCAATTGGCTGCAATTTTATTTATTAGTGTTACTTTTATTTCTACATTTCCTATGCTATTCAGCAAACGGTGTCGCTGAATTTAATCGCGTACTTTTTTAATTAAACTCTCCGTTTTAATTGTGTGCATGTTTTGTTGCATTAATTCGCCGTATTCATTGTTAATTACATTCGTTAAGCTTGTTACATCGGTGTGATAAGTATAGAATTTCTTCATTTTTATTTAAATACGCAACTTTTTAGGTTAGTGAAATGTGAATGGAATTATAAATAATTACTTAGATTGTAATAAAAATTATTTTCACATTGCTGTGGAGTTTTGCATGTTCAGCGACATATTTCCCCCACACGTGCGATCGCTTATCATTTCACTTATGACTTTCGAGCCGGACATTTCGTAACGTTGGTAAAACATTATATAAAGTGACAAAGGCACCGCAGAGTTTGTTTTATCATTTGGTTGAGTACAATTGTTGAATGTATGTGCGGGTTGTATATATATTTTTTTCAGTGTCGGTTGATAACGGTCAGCGACATGAAAGTTACAAGCCATACACGTGCATGTCCTTTGTGTGCTTACTTCAGCGAAAGCTGTACGCACGCGTTTTATCAATTATTTATTACCTTTTTGTTTAATTGGTCGTGATATTTTTTTCGCGGCCATTTATCTTCGTCTAATCTATGTGTCATTAACATTTAAGCTTATTATGCGTGACATTATGAGATTATTTGATGAAAGGTCATTATCGTAAAGATGCCTTCAGTCAAACTCCCCGGAGAGGGTTGCAAGAGTGCATTTTTCACTATCACTATCACTATCTTTCCATTAGTGGGGTAAACTGTGCATTTGGCTTCACTATTGTCTACTCACTCCTTTCGAGCGATGAATCAGGCAAAAAATCGAATAAAAATGTAAGGACAAACTTCTTCGGCAGACTTCGCCGCCTGGAATCGAAGAACAACAGGCAGAAATAAAAAGAAAAACAAGGAAAAGCCGTGTAAAGCCATTTAAGAAGGCATGTTCGTTCGTCCTGGCTGCCGCCTGCCGCTCTGATTGATCACTTTCGTACTCGACGCGGACACGAACAACGCGAAAACGCAGGAATCGAAATTAGACGTTCGTCCTGCACCGCGACCGCCAGAGTTCACAGGACCTGCTCTCATTCACGGCTATTTACTATAACAGGAAGCCGAGACTTTCGGGACAAAAAAGACAAACAAAATGCTCATTCGTCTTGCTTGCCAGTTTAGGCAAAAAGTTTCTAATGCCAAAAGCTCACGCCTGGATAAAACGCTAGTGAAAACGTCGCAAAAATCCGTATAGAAAAAAGAAAATTCTGCAAGTAACTGAAAAGAAAGTAATTGAATTATTTGAAAAAAAATATATTTGGAGGTTATATGTAAAAGTCTTAGAACTAGTTAAAACTTAGAATTAATTAATATTAGTATAATTAAATTAGTTAAAGATCTAAACTTAGTTGTCGATCATGCTCGATGAAGAAATACTTTTTGATTAATGGCTTCTGCGCGACCGTTTCCGAAATCGACGCAATCAGATGAATAGTCAGGTACAAACATAATAAAAGATACAAAGTACCACCAATAGCAACTCCAACAAGAGGTCCTGCTGATAATTCCAATTCCGTAATAGTTGACGATACGAAATATATGTTAATTCCAATGATCACAATTGCCAATAGCAATGTAACAATTTTAATCACGCTGAAATTAAAAATAGTTTAGAACAATATTTCTAAAAATATTTAGAAAATAAGTAAACTTACATTCCATTAACAAATTCACCCATAATATTTTTATTGCTCGTGAATGCTATAGTTGGAATAACTGCAAAGGGCAGTTGTAAGCTCATAACAGCATTAAGTACGTCATTCATTCCTGTTAGATCCTCGATGTCACTGAAGAATGCAGTGCAAAATGTCGGAATGATCGCAATGGTCCTTGTGAAAAGAACTCGCTTCCACCTGGCCCATTTTAGATTCAGAAAACCTTCCATCGCGAACTGCCCGGCGTAGGTTCCAGTCATCGTAGAGCTTTGTCCAGCTGCGAGAATACCGATCGCCCAGATGTACAAAGATGCTGCTCCGAATGTACATCCCAAGAATATTCCACCTTTATAAAGGTCAGCTTCTACGAATTTATCGTTTGCCTATATAAATAAAAAACATATTATAAAAAATTGGATATTTAAAAATTTTAAATTTGTAATATTTACCGGAAATACATCTGATGCGTCAATATCATTCTTATCACATTGTTCTAATAACTGGTTATTAGTAGTTTGATACAATCCGTAACCGAAAACAGTGACAACAAAAACGTTGATAATAAAACTGCACAATAGTGCAATACTACTCTCGATAAGATAATAAAAGTTTGCTTCGCGAATCTTTTCCGGTCGCTTTCTGTCAATATCTCTTGATTTTACAAGCGCACTATGCAGATATAAATTGTGCGGCATGATTACAGCTCCCACAACACCGACTGCTTGAAGAAGTGCGTCTGAACTACAATCTTTACACCACGGTACAAACATTCCAGTCATAACCTCTCCTTGATCTGGAGCTGCCTCCACGTATTGGTAACCAAAGGTGACAGCCATGATGGAAATCAATAAACCAAAAAACAATTCAAGTTTTCGTAAGCCGTATTTGTCCAGGAATAAAAATGTAAAGGTGTCAATGATTGTGATAAGACATCCAGCCCAAATTGGGATTGCTTTGGCTGAGAGTAAGTATATAGCAATACCAGTGCCAATTACTTCCTGCATGTCGGAACCAATGACTGCGATTTCCACCATTATCCAGACTATTAATCGTGGTACCCGTTTGTATTGACGGTAACACATCTCAGCAAGATGACAGCCTGTTGCTACACCTATATAGTTTAAAATTAATAAATTGGTATGCAATATAGTGATGGATTAAATAGATTGAGTGGAGGTGTACGGTAATAATACCTAATTTAGTAGCAAGCGTTTGCATAACTAGACCCATGATTGTAGCGCCAAGCAACAGCCACAGTAATTTGTATTTGGCTACTGTTCCTGATTGCAAATCTGATTCGATGTTTCCGGGGTCTAAGTAGGCGATAGACATCAGGAAGCCTGGACCTGTGAATGCCCATAATTTCCGGAAACTAAAACCTGGCTGTGAAAGAGATTTTTTATAGATTATTAGTATATGTCCAAAATAACGGTCTAAAAATTAGTTTTTGATTTAAAGTTCAAATTTATTCAATATTGGATGTTTTGATTAACTATATTACTTCTCTTCAATAAAGCAATTAAAAACAATTGAAATTTTTATTAATTAAAATTAAACAAAATTTACATAGAATTTTTTGAAAAAAATAATTTTTTTAAACTGATGGTCTTGTAATTTAAGTGGTAGCAAGATTTTTAAATTTATTTTATTGAAATTTTATTAAAATCAACATTCACACACAAGTTTTCCAAAAATAATCTCTTTTTTTTCTTTTTTCTATGAAAATTTTTGTTGTTTTAAAAGTTTTTTATCACTTTACAAATTAAATATCATTAAAATAGGTCAAGCTATCACAGAGTTGTAAATTACGTAACACCATCGACTTGATGACGAAATGTTTATCTATTTTTGTTTTTAATATTCTAACACTTACTTTTGTAGTTTCCGGAATTGCAACTTTATTGTCCGAAAAATATGTATCGAGAACATCCTCATCTTCCTCACGCTTCGCCTTCGTCATCGCACAAAATTACGTTCTGCCGCCACTCGAAGCTCCAACGAGACTAAAAGTCAAGGAAACAATACTAATATTAATAACACCGTTATTATTGCTATCTTTCCGATGAATCTGTCACAGGGTCCAACTGCACATAGTGTCTAGCTCACGTTTAAACAGACAACTCGAGTATCCGTGCACGTAAATGATAAATCAATGCTCATAATGTGCGTGTGATTAACTCTGGTGATAACAAGCGACGTGTGAAGTTATCCTCATTAACTAAGGCCGATTAAAAATAACCCGTTGTATTTAAATAATTATCGATTATTTTCGGATGTTTAGCCAGTTTCTTAATAGGATTATGTCGCGCAAAGTGGCACGTACTTACTCACATTATGATACGGTGACATTGCACACGTTTTTCATGGATGTATGCATGTACGTGATTTATTTTGAGAGATTTTTTTCCAACTGAAGTGCGGAAAAAGTTGAAGAGGATGTTTTATTTGGCACGCGGCTGAAAAAACATTGCAAAACTAGTGCGGGAATGAAGTCAAGTTGTGACTAAACTATCCGAAACTGTCCGGTCGTCCTTTCCGTCCGGGAAAACGTTAGCGAACGCAAAAGCTTGCGCAAACTTGAGCATCGTTCACGCCCGAGCTACGCGTCGTTCTCGGGAGTCCAACGCCGGACTCGCTCTCCGACGCCCTCAGTTTATGTAACTTTGCGTATTATACTAAGTGATATGTTGTGTAGCGCCGGCCGAATTAATTGTATTCATGCATTTTAATTACCGGACGGTGTGCGCTTGCAGAGCGCAATGTATCACACGGCGTGCACGCGACCACGCCGGACCAAATGAAATTGTTAAATAGCGCAACTTGCCCGGGACTCATTGAAACAAATGCGTCCGGTTGCTCATCCTGCAATGTTTCAAATTCTCTCATAAAATCGTATCAAATCAAACTTCCAAATCGCAGCTGGCTAATGAATTAATGTGTTGTTTGACGAAGTTGTGCGTAGGAAACTCGGCGCAAACTGTGTGCGACTGATGTGTTATTTCTCAGGCCAAAATGGCGCAAAATAAAAGCAGGCCGAAGTTAAACATTAAACCAGCATGCAGCACAAAACATAAAAGTTTGATATTCATTGAAACAACAGCATATTTAATATGCACATATGTATGTATAATGGAAACGTGAATGAAAGTTTCGATTTTTCACGCGACAACAAACGCAACAACAACAAGGCAAAGTAAATTAATAACAAACGCAAACTTGTTACAGAAGCAACGCCAGTCCTTTGTACTAATGTGTTTTTGAAATTGGATGTTACAGAATTTAGTGATAAAAGTTGCACAACTGTTTTGTTTGATTAAATTTTTGTTTATTATTTTTGAAACAAACTTATTATCTAGAGAAAATGTAACAGATTTTTAGATTTTTTTTACTATTTAACAAGATTAATAGTCATCGTCTTCTTCTTCGGCCGTTTCGTAATGTTCTGATTCGCCATCGCCGTCGCCTTCGTCGTTCGTGTAGCCTTCGGATTCGGAATAATCTCCAGAATCACCTAAAAACAATTCATATGATAATAATTTCGTAGGAATAAAAAAAATCAAAATATAAACAATTCTTATGGTTGAAATTATTTCTTTTCGATTTAGCTGTCAAATGCTGATGTATGCAGTGTTGCCAATACGCGCGTTATGTCAAACGACATAACCGTACTTATTGAGCAAACTATTTTGTTTTATTTTTTGATTTTGTAATTTTTTAATGATTTTATAATTATTTAACTATATGGAGAGAAACATGTAAAAAGAAAAGCTCATAATCAACTTAACTGAGCGTGAATTATAAATATGTACCAACAATCTTTAATTTAAATTTACAGTCATATCAATTAGTGTTGCTGTGAGTAATTTCAATATTATTTCGACAATTTGATCACAAATTGTAAAACGACTCTATTTGTACATTAGTGCTGCCTGCTTTGAATTGTTTTTACTCAACGCTGCATCATAGCGTCCCGTTTGTTAGTTTTCGGCGAATAATTTGGCTTGCCTAACCGATTGCCTAACATACGCGCTACAATTGGATTCGAGTGGATTTTCGCACAAACGCGACGCATTGCGTTCGGTTTAATCTGTATGCGTTGCGTTGGCACTAGTGGTGCTTCTAAACATCGGGTGGAGGCGGCGTGACGCGGGGGAAGAGCGAACAGCTTATCAGTGATGGTTTTGTTTGAAGAGCAAATTGTTCCGCTTCCGCACGGTTGAATATTATCCGAACGCGCGAGCGTCGAACATATCGCGTGTCGCAAATTACAGAATTACAATTTACAGATTTGGCAATGCAGGCACCGACTAGTAGTTGGCTCAAAAACATTAATTTGGTTATTTGAGCTCATATTCTGTACGGGCCTGGATTTCATATTTTTCGTATGTTTACATCGGATTTGTCGCTGAAGCTTAACAATTGTATCGCATTCGATGATGTTTGCATGTTAAACACAAAGCGGAGCAATATCGGTTGATTAATTAGCTATTTGGTATTAGCTATTAGTGAAATGAATTCAAAACGGCGTGCTAATTTGAACGAATGTAATTCACATGCAAATTATCAGGACTTTAGCAGGGACTAAGGCCGGTTGGGACAATAAGAAAATTACCTCCTTCTGTGTAATGTCCTCCCTCGTCGCCGCCGTCGCTGGATTCCTCGTAATGGCCGGTGTCCGCTGCTTCGTCGTAATTGCCGCTGCTTCCGGCGCCGCTGTCGTAATCCCTTCGGAAAGTCCGTCGTCGGTAAGTACAGCACACACGCATGCACGCATACAACAGTCTCGCATTCATTCATCGAAGATACTTACTCGCCCACGTCCTCGACCACTTTGTAGGTGTTTTTCGTCTCTGCGCCATCGTCATCGTCACCTTCAACTTCTTCTTCATCGGATTTTGCTGCTTCCTGTCGTAGTTTGCCATTTTCTAGAAAATTGTAATAACATTTTGTTTGTTTTGTTTGTTTCAGTAAACACACGATTTGAGAATTTTCTAAATTAATGTGGTAATGAAGTTAAATGCTGTTTGTTGTTTTGGTTTTGTTGTCGAACCGGTTAGAACGGATACAACCGCCAAAATTACTCGACCGACACGCTCATAAATAAAGGTAGTGGACCTTTAGTGCAGTGTAGGAAACCTTTCGACTTTGGGACTCACCTTCCTCGCGCTGCGGCGCCGCCTCCTCGTCGTGCGCATATTTACCGCTCTGGGCGCTCGCCGCTCCCTCGTCCTTGTTTTCTAATCCGTAAGAGGTCTCATGCTGGAAGCCGTACTTGTCACCGTCCTTCTTGTGGTAGCTGTCGAAATGTTTGTATCCCTTGCCGTCTTCGTCCTGTGACCGCTTGTGGTAACCTTGATTGTCACCTTCGCCGTCGTTGTATTTGTGCAGGAAGGCTTTCTGTGTATCTGCAGTTGTAAAAGTGAAGAAGAAAATTAAAAAGTGTTTGCCGAAACCAGGGATCGAACCAGGGACCTTTAGATCTTCAGTCTAACGCTCTCCCAACTGAGCTATTTCGGCCAGTTGGGCAACGCCGCTTTAGAATAGGTGATGATAACCAGTATTCATTGTGATTAATCTTACAGATATCTTATAACGTAGGCAACCAACAATTCACCCGCAATGTTTTAAATGTTTATTTGTAAAGTGTCCATATTACCTTGATTGACTAGTTCCTGGACATGTTCAGGTGCGGCTCGCACTTCCCTGATGAGCGACTGGACAATTTGCGAATCACGTCCAAATTCTAAATCGTCAAAATCCAATGGAACACTTTGTGCAAAAATACCAAATTCAACACCACGCCGAAAGCCAGTATTCTTTGGCCTGAGGTCATTATCACAAATCAAAATGAATGCAGTTGCAAGCAAAAATCGAGTATAAACTGACGATTGCAAATGGATTGCTTGCTTTTATACATTTTAACGAAGAAATAGCACCGAATCGCATTGGAATCAATCCGCATTACAATGGTAGGGATTATAGATTTTGTGGTTTGCGTAGTCGACGAGATATAAAAAGGTGAACAAAGTGGAGCCGATTACAAAGTATTTGGCTTTGCGCAATGCAAGGCGAAGCAAATTAGTGCTCACGTAATCGGCGTAAGTCACCCGGCTGTAAGACATTTCGATATCACGGACGCAAGCAGAGATGCCGAGAATGCTCCGGTGTAATCTGTTGCATTTCGTACTCGTGTAGTGTAAGTGTAATCAGAGCGCAAACAACGCGCAGCTCGGCGCGAAATGCGAGCCGTTTATGTAAAACGGTTTATGTAAATGTTCATAATTGATTTGTCGCTTAATTAAGCAATATTTATCTTTAATCCAGATTTGTATCAACAATTTCAATTGATATGAACACGGATATACATGTATATTTGTTTTATCATAATTCAAGTGGGTTTAATCAATAGAATAGGTAAATAATGCAAATAAATGCATCTTAACGCCATCTATGTTCGAATTTTATAACTAGATTTAATATTTTGTTGCTTGAACTTTCTTCCTATTTTTTACTAGTTTCAGGTTTTATTTCTGCGTCATAAAGTAGCCTATATTTTTCTTAAAAGTTCAATATAGCCCTTCATCAGAATTAATAAAAATTGGTTTAGTAATTTTTGAATGCCAACAAACCAAACGGATGAACAACATTTTTTAAAGGTTATACCTTAAAATTCTAAAAATTTCAAATACTGACCTGTAAAATAACTTTCTATGTTTATAAACATCAATCAGACAGTTATATATGTCTAAAAATCCCAATATGAAACGTTCTATTAATTAAACCTTTACCAACCCTTAGTCTCAAAATTTAAAGTGATTTTATAGAAAAATGGCGCTAATAGCCCATTGTCTTGCTCCCGTGCGTAATCGTCGCATTACCAGCTGTTTCCTGCAACAAAATAAAAACTTTTTCAAGAGGAAATCAAAACCTAACACTGTAATCCTTTAAAAGTTCTATAAAACCTGTGTTGGTAAAAAAGCTAATTTCCTTTTGTAGAAAATAGATCCTTATATGATTGTACGAGCAACCCCAGACGACACATGTCAAATTCTAGATCTAATGTGGAGCGCATACCATCCAGATGAACCGACTACAAAAAGTCTCGGTTTGGGAAAACATCGAAACTGCGTGTTTGATGAACAAGCACGTAAAATACTTGCTAAAGGCTACAGTGTAGTTGCAAAGTGCAAGTACAATGGCAGTGTTGTGGGTGCTGCCCTTTGCGAGTCATGTAGTCCTTGGGATCCTGCAATGACCGAGAAACTAGCCTGCACATTGAAAGATCCCAAAATGGCGCGTTTGTACATGTTCTGGGCGTACCTCCAACGCGCTCCCAACTTATGGGAAAAGTACTGCCAGATGAACATTTACGAAGTGAGAGAGAACTTAGGTCCAAACTATGTACTATACACATACTCAATTGACTAACTTTTAGATTGTTAACGTTTTCGTGCGACACGAAGATAGACAGCGTGGATTAGCCAAGCGATTGATGGCAACTGCAAAGGAAAATGGCGCCGACGCTGGGTACAAAGTGATTCGGGTTGACGCAAGTAGCACGGCAACGTATATCAACTAAAACTATTTATTATTTTCATGTTAAATATAAAAACACATTTTTAGAGCAAAAATTTGCGAAAAATTGAAAATGAAACTGGTTTACGAGATTCCATTTTGTTCCTACGTCAGTGAACAGAATGAAGTAATCTTCAAAGTTCCAGATCCAACGTCGATTAAAATTTATGTTGACACGCCTCACTGGGTGCCACAAAAGAAATAATATGCCAGATTATCCGAAAGTAACGCATGGAAATGTGTTTAATACAAAACAACAACAATATACAAATATATTAAACAAAACATAATACAATTGCACACAGTGTATCTGGAACTGTGCAAAAACCAAGACTTTCACTCCGATTTATCGGTTTGATTGAAATCCACGATTGCGTTTCAATCTCAATTTCAATCAACAAAAACCAAAATTTCTCTTTTATTGCTTTCAACCACTCAAATTACTTGCACAATCTCACTTAAATTAGCTTATTTTGTTAATGCCGATCTTTATATGCATAATGTTTGCCACCATGTCCTTTTCCACTCTTTCCGTATTGTTCTTCGTTGTGATGTTTCTTTTCGTCACCTTGTTTATGTTTGTATCCCTTGAGTTCCTCTTCATTTCTGCCTGAGTTGTGATGTCCTTTCTTGCCTTTTTTCTTGTGGACGTACTTGGATCTTTGTTGACCTCCCTTCTTGGCAGCTCCTTGATTCTTGTGGAATTTTTCGTGCGCAGCGCCGTGTTTCTCATACTCGCCACTCTTGTGTTCGTCGTCGTAGAAGCGGTGCTCTTTATGGTACTCGTCGCGGAAGAACATGTTGTGCCAACCTTTGGTTTTGTGCCCCTTCTTGTGTCCCTTCTTTTGGCTGAATTTGGCGCCTTTTTGGCTTTCCGCTTTCGCTTTGTGTGCGTGCTCATCGGCGTGTTCTGAATGTTTCTCGCCTTTGTGACCGCCATCAGAGCCGAAGTGTTTTTTATAATGCTCTTTGTCGTGCTTGCCCTTGTCTGCCGTGTCTTTGTGCGACTCCTTTTCGTGTCCTTCGTTGTTTTTGAAACCGGCGAGGTGGTGGTAACGTTGATCGTCTTTGGCGAGTTCTTCTGAACGTCGTTGTATCAAAGCAGGATTATATCTTTTGTAATAATCAAAGCGTAAGCAACAAGCAAGTGAAATTGAGAGTAGAATAAACAAAAGTTTTATGTGCAACATTTTGTTATAATGTTGAAATGAACGGATATGCATGGTTTGAGTTGCCTTTTATAGTTTTTGGTGATGATGAAATCAAAGAAATGCTACAACTGGGGAAATGCTTTCACTTTATTCCGGTTTGTATTAGTTATGCTTGAATATTACTATTTTACTATAAAATATTTTAAACCAAGGAAGTAACCTGCGTTACTTTTCCTACTTACTGGTAGTGTGCGCTACTTGTACTAATTTTCTCATAAGCAAAACACTCAATAACATTCTACTTTGATAAGTTCGCGTAATCTTGGTGTTGTACACTTTGAGACACCGTAACCACTTTATCTCAAGTGCTTGTTGATATTTGTGGTAACTAATATAATAACTGAATGCACATATATCTTTAAGAAATAACACGCATTATCAAGCATTGTTTTGTATTCTTCAAAAACAATCTAGAAAAAAACGTATTTATAACAATAATTCACACAAAACACATTTCAATAAAAACATATATTTGCCAAACTACCACTGAAAATAAGTAAATAAAACTGTGTCTGTTTCAAAGATCAATCGAAGTCAAGGGTCACTTGAAGGTGAAGTTTTGTGTAGAAATTCATGAATGTCAACCATGTTATAAGCAGACATTAATTATATTCAATCCCTTTTGATGGTCATTCCTGTTTTTATGCATCTCAAAATAATGTTTTTAAATTGATTTGTTTCTGTCTTTCGTTCTGGTAAGAGTGTATCTAACTATAATTAATCTCTCCTATGAAATACTAAAATTATCTTCTTAAATTACTCCTAATATTTTTATTACTTTCATTGATGAATACGTAATCCATTGTATAGTTTAAAAATATTTATTTATTAAAGTTCTACGTGATTTCTTCTGGATTTACATTTTATATATTGAGTTTGACATGGTTTGCCCTGAGGGCATCTTCATAAACTGAAATCACGTAGAACTTTAATAAATAAATATTTTTAAAAAATCCTAATATCTTAGTGATATACACACCATCCCACATCCAATTTCAGCGGTCTTCACAATAATCACAATATTTAATAATATAATTAATATAAATGGAAACAAACCAATAATATGATGTTTAAAATTAAGATGAAAGCCCTTGTCAAGTGGCTATAAAAACTTAGTAGAGCAATATGTGTTATCTTTTCATTATTGTAGTGTTTAACACACGGATACAAGATTATCTCAAGTGTCTGTTGACATTTGAGCCAACTACAATCACGGAATGCATATATATCTTTCGAAATAACAAATGTGGTCCAAATTCCTTTATGTATTGTCTAGCATCATTCAAAAAGCAATTTTCAGTATATGTTCTTCTCAATTTACACGATTTACACGAATAAATCGATAACTAATCACAACACGTTTATCAAAGGTCACTTCACTTACTAATCGTCAATAACACCAGTAAGAGCACTCAATGCCGACAGTATATAAACGATTGCACAACATATATTTAATTAGTTTATTACAATTTTATTACCGGTTTAATTAAAAACTTAAAAAATGAAGTGTTTAATTTTAGCGTTTGTTATTACAATTGCCTGTGAGTACTGTAAAACATCATTTCAATAGCAAAAACTTAATAAATTATTTATTTAGGTGGTTTGTCTAACGCCAAAGGAATTGAAAATTATCCTTATCATGTGTCTATTGAAAGATTTGGCAAACATATGTGCAGTGGTGCAATCATCAGCGAAAAAGTAATTTTAACAACTGCATCGTGTCTCTACAAGTAAGCACTTATTTAATAACTATACTAGCTATCTCAGCAAATGAACAGATAGCTAAAAATATCGTGGTAAATTAAGTTCTATTAATAAATAGTTATATTAACAGGAATTTATTTAATTTTATTGCCGTTTTAATGAATCTTTTTATGAAATGTTTTTTACATGGAAATTTATGAAATTTGCGTCACAAATTATTTTGTCAAAATGTTTTTATTGCTTTTCTACTATTTGAAGCTTAAATTATAAATATTATAACATTATTGATATTAACAAATTCTATGTTTTTTTAGTGCACAAAATACCGACATAAATGTTCGTGTTGGTTCCGATCAATTCGAAACTGCTGGTTCGGTTAAATCTGTGGAAAAACTCATTTTGCATAAACGGTACATGACATCTCGCAAGGACTACGACATTGCATTAATCATCCTGGATGAAAAACTAACATTTACGGAAAATATCCAAGCTATTGAAATGGTTGCAAGCAGTCTAAACCCTCCAAAACCAGGAATTTATGGATTTTTGACTGGATTTGGATTGGTAACTCTTATAATGTACATCAAAAGAATAAAAATAATAATATTTAAAAATTTATTTGATTTATAGGGTGCTGAGCACTTTACTGAAGATTTGCGACAAGAAGAAATTGAAATTACAGTACCAATAACGTGTAAAAACGCATATGCACCTTTATTCATCTACATCACTGAGCGAATGTTCTGCGCTGAATTAAAAACAAAACACACATGTCGCGTAAGTGTTTATCTAATTAACAAATACCATTACACGTGATCTTATGATTTACCACACAGCGTCATATATTTATTTTAATTAATTTCATTACAAATTTATTCATTTATCCAGGGTGATTCCGGAAGTCTTTTGGTAATCAATAATGAACTGGTTGGTATTCAAGCTTGGGAACACAAATGCGGCACTTCTAAATTCCCGGGTATCTACACAAATATTGCCAATCTTCGTAAATGGATTAAAACCGAAGTGGATCTTTAATATATTTGATTTTATAAGTCTTCTTAATAAAACAAAATGGTTTAATGTATTAAGTTTCATGCTAATGTTTAATGTTTGTGTTTGCATTGAACAACATCACAAACTGAAAGTAAACAAATATAAATCATTTTCCCTGTGCGTCTTGTGTGTACCTTTGTCTAGTGGTATCACACGCTTCTTATATAGGGACATGCGATGGCGAAAAACCAGGTTGAGATGAACGCATTTTTGTCGTCATCACGTCACACCATGACTTGGTTACAACTGTTTTTCAGCGATAACGGAACACCTTAAAAGCGCAAACCATCCACGGTGTGCAATTTTGTTGTAATTTAAATTGCTTCTAAATACTCACACTCAACAAAATGAACACTTGATAATTAATTAATTAATTAAAAACACCATCTAAAAGCAAAATAATGTATTCGTTTTATTTAATTTTTTTGACTCTATTGATTAATAAAGCAGCCGGTAAGAAAATATAAAATTTAAATGATTAAATAATATTAATTATTATTTAAACAGGATTTCGTAGCAGGATCATTGGAGGAACTGATGGAAGCATTGTAGAGTTTCCTTATCAAGTGAGCGTGCATTATGAGGGTAGCCATATTTGTGGGGGTGCGATTATAACCCCATCAGTTGTGATCACAGCTGCGCATTGTCTTCTAGAGTAAGTTTTAAATCACCAACTACTTTTTGATATCTAAACATTTTAAATATTTATTATAGTTTGCATAAGGATCGTTTATCAGTTGCAGCCGGCAGCACATTGGCATCGCGAGGTCTTGGTGAAAAGCGCCAGGTCTTGGCCTATAAAATTCATGAGAGATACAACGATGAAGAAACTGACTTTGACATTGGTCTTATTAAAGTGAATTAATAAATGTGATAATAAGAGAACACTTTTCTAAACTATGTTTTTAGGTTATTGGGACATTTAAATATGGTTTGACATTGCAGCCTGTAAAGATTGCTGATTTGAGTGATTTATTGCCGAATGGGGCAATTGCAACTGTTACTGGATGGGGTTTTACACAAGTTAGTAATTTAATTTATTATGCTTACTGACATAGTATGAGTTAGAGTAACTTTGTTTGTATGTTTGTTTTCTTTTAAATTCTAAAGTAGATCATTTATTTTGATAAATTTTGGTATAGAGATAGATTCGATCCTGGAGAAAGACATAGACTACTTTTTGTATCAAAAATAAAATTTGAAGAAATTGAAATAAGGGATAAAAGTTTATATCGAGAATCACAATTTTCGCAATTAACAGTTTTTATCTATTTTTTTAAATTTTAAAAATCAAAATATTTCTTTTCTTTTATTTAGGAAGATGGTTATATTGTGAAAACCCTTCGCCAAGGCAAGATACCAATCGTCAGTCGCCTCAACTGTCGAAAACTCTACCAAGAAGTGGGCACCGTCACCGAAAACATGATCTGCGCTGGAATGGGAGGTCGCGATGCTTGCCAAGGCGATTCCGGCGGTCCGTTAGTCTATCGTGGAAAACTTATCGGCCTTGTTTCATGGGGATACGGCTGTGCCCGCACAAACTATCCAGGTGTATACACCAACGTCGCCAAATTTAACAATTGGATCCGCATTAATTCCATCATTATATAAACTGGTTGTGCTTAACATAATTTTAGTGTTTTAAATGAAAACACAATGCGTGATTAATCAATAAACGCTTCTCTATGTAATATGACCCAAATCGCCCATGCAGAACAAGCAATTTAGATTGAAATGACCATTGTTTAAATATATCCGTGTGATTGCCGAGTCTTCTTTTCTATAGAGTCGAAGAATTGCAATCGTTTATACCATGATTCTAAAGAAACATTTTTTGCTCCTTATTGTTATAACTGCTTTACAAGTAAGTTTTATTATCTATAATTATTCTTGTAGAAAAGTATATTTTTCAAAGATTGACTTTGGGTCTTCACGATGTCGGAAAATTGTAAATGGACGACGTATTCCAATTAATTATGTGCCTTTCCTGGTTGGTATTTACTACTTTGACATGTTTATTTGCGCTGGTACCTTTATCACCTCTAATATGGTGTTGACCGCTGGACATTGTGTTTGCGAGTAATTATAATATCATTTAATTTACAAAGTTTGTTTTATTACGTACAATTTTAGAGATTTTACAACCCCAGAGAGCATTTTAATTCGGGCCGGCACTACAAGTCACCAAGCCTCAAACACATCCTACTTTCTCATCAGGTCCATTAAATGCCATGAAAGTTTATCAATTAAAGATCATATACATGATATAGCTTTGGTGAAGATTCAAGGCAGATTTACACCATCGGAATCTATAAACAAAATTCAATTGGTTGATAAAAATGTGAAAATACCGTCGAATGCAATATGTCAAATTGCTGGATGGGGATTCACAAAAGTATAAATTGTAGTTTTTTCTACTAAATTACCAAAACAATACTTTTTACATTTTTAGGAGGGGGATAAAAACTATACGCCAACATTACGAGCCGCACGGGTCCCCCTTGCCAATAAAAAATGTTGCAAAGAAACTTATAAGAAGTTGAATGTGACTGTAACTGATAATATGATATGCGCTGGATCACTTAATGGTGCAATATCGGACACTTGCAAAGGTGATTCTGGAGGTCCACTCGTTTACAAAGGTATCCAAATTGGTATTGTTTCATTTGGATACAAATGTGGAGAACCTTGTTATCCAGGCGTGTATGTCGATTTGACCAAATATGGTGATTGGATATTTACAAATCTTGAAATACTGAGGATGTTTTAGATATCGATTGTTTATTTGTTAATAATTGCAATAACATTAAAAAATTACATAGTGTTGTATTGGCTTCTAATCATTTCGATTATCCAGTTTACATAAGCACTCACTTTGGTGTTAATGCTAGGGTAATCGGGATTGGCACAACCCATTCCGAATGATATAATTCCGACCTGTAAACCTTGAAAAACAAGTGGACCACCTGAGTCACCTTGACAGGAGTCAGTATCTGGATATCCTGCACAGAACATGGTGTTTGGGTAAAGTTCTAATATATCATCATATGCTTGTTGGCATTTGTGGAAGTTAACGACTGGAAGAAAAGTTACTTTTAGAGGTTTTGTTTTAAGTTTCATTACTGCCCCATGAGGTTGGTTTCCAATCTGAGGGTTTTGCTTGCCCCATCCGCTGACTGAAACATACGCATTTTCTGGAGCAGGATGCGTTGATATAACAATAGGTTGTACCTTTTTATTAAAGGTAAATTTGCCTCTAATCTGAAAATAAATATAAAAGCATAATTTGTTAAAGTTTAAAGTGTTTGCTTTTGACATCTGTTTTTAATTAATCTGTTTTCGTTATTGCGATCGAGATATCATTATATCAATATCTTGCAAGCATTATCATACTAATAAAAGAATAGAAACCCCGTCTCACAACAATCATTTTGTTTCTAAACTTTTATTAGTATTACTTACTCACAGTGCAATTAAATATTATGAAGCAATATTATATTAAAATATTTGAAATAAATGCCGATATATTGATTTTGATATATATTTCGCAATATTTCACAATCCAAGTATACACTACTTACTATTACTATACCAATATCACTCTGCAAAGAGAACCAGTTAAAATCTGGATGAACTATAATGTTTTCGGCTATGTGAGATTGCCCAATTCTTAAGGTGTCCTTGTTTAAAAGAGTTTCGCCAACCACAACGAAGATTGTCGTTGGTGTTTTACTGCAAGTAAGCAAAAGCAAAGACATTTTTATTCAAGTATTAAATTAATTAGGGACCGACCGAAATTTCGGTTTCGGTATCGGTTTCGGCCAGTTTCGGTCAAGAATTCGAGTTTCGGCTTCAGTTTCGGTTTCGGCCAAAGATGGCCGAAACTTTCGGCCGCACCGAAACTCACTTTTCGTGAATTGTCGAGCGTCGCTCGGCTAACTTCGCGGCTAATGGCCGTCGTTACTTGCCATCTCAGTTCGCTCATAGAAACTTAAATTAATATTGTATTAAGTATCAAGTAACTAAACGGGGACTTTACTCCCGAAATGGATTTAGATTTAGGTAAAAGTTGAAAAATATGTTTATGTAAATTAGTTTCGGTTTCGGTTTCGGTTTTGGCCGAAACTGATTGCAGGGCCGAAATTTCGGTTTCGGTTTCGGCTAAAATCCAGTTTCGGTCGGACTCTAAAATTAATATCATACATACCCAACTAAGCAATGAGCCGCAGTCAAGACAACACGGGTAGAAATAATTGATCCTCCGCAAAACTGTTTATCCCGTCTATATAGGGCTGCCATAAATGGAAGCTCCTCAATTGATGTAAACGCACCGCCAACAATTCGATTTAAATTACTGTTGGCAGATTTTAGTTCGCAGTGAACGCATCCAAGCAGTGTTAGTAAAATTGTAATCGCCGCTTTCATTTTGACTCTCAACGTACTTCTGTTAGAATGTTAGAAGGCGTAGTTTTTACGACTGCAAGCATGATAATATGATTTCCACGGCATAGAGATTTACAAAAGGTGATTGAAGAACAATTTTGCGATAAAAACGTGTTATTGTTCATAAAACATTTAAAAGTTTTTATACAAAGCAAATTCTGAGCAAAGTATCAAATTGTGTTGCATTGAAAAGGCAACAGGCATTTTATTACGCTTTAGAGAAGTGACGTTTCATGTAGAAACAAAAAGTATAGATTTTGACGTTGCAGAGGCGTTTAATGTTATCGAATCAAGTTATAAGCGACACTGCCCTTTGAAGTAAGCCAAATATTGCTTACTGTACAAATTATTGCAGACAGATAAAAACTTTTAAATATAAACACAAGATGAGTAATTATGAAAAATATATCTACCAGGAATTCTCCGGTGGTCCGACTGCCGCCGATGTTAAACTTCTTTAATTTAGAATACAATTACCAAAATGTCATCTTCCCAGACTATTAAAAAAGAAACATGATTTCAATTAGAACAGATTTGGCTGCTGATGGCCTGCCATATTCCATTATATTCTTTAGGTTTATAAAAGTTATTCATAATAAAATATAGTCATTTTAAATTATGTACTTTTTGATTTATTTAAATCTTGATTAACATTACATGTGTTATGGTTCTCTTGAGCTAGAACTTCACGTATCCAGTTTTGATAACTATCAACTCTGGTCAACCGCATAACACCCGGATGATGAGGATCAACAAATGATACAACCCCAATTTGCGTTTTGTTATAAACAACAGGTCCACCAGCATCACATTTTGCAAAGTCTATAGCTTCTTTAGGAAATTCAACACAAAACATTTCATTTTCCAATATTTGGTATTCATCAACATATGCTTTCTTGCATTGTTCAATGCTAATGATCGGAATGACAAGTTCTTTAAGAGAAAGGTCTTTATAAATGCTTAAACCAAGTACTCGTGCAAACATTCCTGGTATCTGACTGCCCCATTTGCTGGCTGTTGCGTAAGCACCTACTGGTGGTGGTTGTTCAGAAAACGCAATAGGTTGTACTTGATAATTAAAATGAAAATCATCTGATATCTAAAAAATATAATGCATGCAACATATATTAAATAAAGCTATGTAGTCATTTGATACTAACCAGCAAAATCGCAATATCATTTAACATTTTTAAATAGTCAAATTGAGGGTGGGGGAATGCTTTGACCACCTTGTGAGTTTGTGCAGTTCTTATTGTTTCCGCAGTTATATCAGTTTGGCCTACCACAATAATGATGGATGTGGCATTTCTACTGTATGTAGTTTCATATAGTTAGATTTTAGTAATAAATATTTGATTTTTAATATATGTACATACCCGTTTAAACAATGTGCCGCGGTTAAAACCGAATTACTTGTTATAATAGATCCACCGCAAAATGGGCTATTTTCTTTAATGAGTGCTACCATATTTGGGACACTTCCGATATTAACCAATGTACCACCATCGTTTGTAGGCAGTCTGATTGTATAGTTTTTTGCCTCGGTGTAAACGCATCCTAAAAGTATAATTAAAATACTTAAAGTAGCTTTCATGCTGACTTGTAATAAAATGCTGCCAGGATATTTGAAAAGAAAACGTTTGAGTTGTATTATAAACAAAACAATTACAAAAGTAATTGTATCGAAACCATATATAAAATGTCATTGTTTTTTGGCCTTAGATTTGAAACAATCTAATTTTAAATGTGATATTATTGTGTTTCAAACTTATGTATTGTTTGTGATTTTTACAACATATTTTAGTAGAGAAACTGAATAAATGTCTTACAAAAATATAATATTTTGAAGAAAAGTCAATAAGGTCATTTTGAAGTATGCTCTTAGAAGTACATTTGCTAGGTACTAGAATATTCGTACTTAACTTTGTACTTATCTTTGATCAAATCAAAATATTATCGACCGGCAGTTGATAATTATAGATTTCCAAAAATTAAAAAAATTGAATAACAAAATCGTTCAGACATAAGTGCTTAGGTACATGTGAAGTACATACACATGTGTTTCCCCATGCTAAAAATAGCAAAATATAGTATGATTGCGGTAGAAAGATTATTCTAGAAAATGATAAAAATAACTCATTTTTGCGCTTACCTCTTAAAAAATAATAAAATTATTTCATTCAATTGCAATAAGCTATAAAGAATATATTTAGTACAAAGTTTTATTATATGTTTACTAGTATAATTTTGTCCTTTTTGGGACAAGATCTTCTTTGAGTGATTTGATATATATACATTCAAAATCCTAGATTACGAATCTAAACTTAACGCCAAAATTTAAAAGTGATAGTATTTACTTAAACTCACGTTTCAAAATCTAAAGTAGCTATCAGAGATAAAATTACCGGTATATATACCGGTCTCGTTGTCACAGTAAGACATCGAGCAATCATGTTCAAGTTTGTCGTCCTCGCCGTTCTCGTAGCATCCGCCGCTGGTAAGCAAATTTATTATTCTTCATTACTTAAACAAGATATTAATAAAGAAGTGTTTTTACAGCCAACGTCCGTCCTCGCCTTGATGGCAGGATCGTTGGAGGTGAAAATGTCGACATCACCGAATACCCTCACCAGATCTCCCTCCAGTACTACGGTAGCCACATTTGCGGTGGTTCCATCATCGGCGACAAGTGGGTCGTGACTGCTGCTCACTGCACCGACGGTTCTTCTGCTTCTTCCCTCAGCATCCTCGCTGGTGTCACCAACTTGAACGACAATGGTCAACAGATCAATGTTCGTGCCATCCACCAGAACCCCGACTTCTCCATGAGCAACCTTGACAGCGATGTCTCCGTTCTTGAGTTGTCCTCTGCTATCAGCTTGGGATCCAATGCCCAACCCATTACTTTGGCTTCCGATGGTAGTGACCCAGCTGAAGGTACCGATGTTATCTGCACCGGTTGGGGCGCGACTTCCGAAGGTGGTTGGGGCAGTGATGACCTTAAGGGAGTGAAGGTCCAGATTGTCGGCCGTGATCGTTGCAGCGACCAGTATGGATCTGGTATGATCTCCGAGAGAATGATCTGCGCTGGTGTTGACAAGGGTGGTAAGGACGCTTGCCAGGGAGACTCTGGTGGCCCACTCGTTGCTGATGGTAAACTCGTCGGTATTGTGTCCTGGGGCTACGGCTGTGCCCGCCCAGACTATGCTGGTGTCTACTCCAATGTTGGTGCTCTCCGCAGCTACATCAAGGAACAATCCGGTATCTAAGTAATTCGTCCAACTTCTTCATAATGAAATGAAATAAATTTTAAGCATATATTACTGTTTTCTTATTTACTTATACTTCCCAAGTCTTATACAAGTATTGCTGTTGTAATACCACGTTTTATTATCCTTTTGCAGTATGCAAAGAACTTAAAAATTCAAATATCTTAATTTTATTTTGTTTTAAGTTAAGTTAAGTTAAGAATGGGTGTGTAGTGTAATGAGCCGGATTTAGGAATGCATCTTTTAGCATTGATTTGAAATTGATTTATATCCTGCATTTTTCTGGTTTTTTCTTCTCCTTCTTCTTCTTCTTCTTCTTCTTTTTAGTTAGGTAATCAATTCCATTTTTATTCTCAGCTCTTCTGAATGTGTGGGACTACCTCTTTCTATCTCAACAGGAATATTTGTTCTACCAATAATTCTTTGTAGCAAAATTATATTTAGTAAAAAGTTTAACATCGTTCAATTTTTTGTCAATTAAAAAAAAATAATAAATTAAGTGAAAATTAATTAATCAGTGTAGTTAGAAGTATTGTTAAACACCCGACACCTAGGTTAATTTTGCTGATAAAAATTGAAAAATATATTCATGCCCAAACTCCAAAATCTCTCAAATAAAATCTATCATAGCGCTATCTACAGAGAAAAGGCTGAGGAAACAGAGTTCCTTTATCAATTATCGTTTAATTTAATCATTTAATTATAGGTGGACAAATTTATCCAGATAGAATGAAAATTAATAGTAGCACACAAGCGAAATAACCGCGTTGAGCACCACAAGCATATGTAATGCCCTGTTTTCTACTCTTATTATATAATGCACTATTATATACTATTTACACATGATCGAATATATTGAAATACAATGGCGTACAGTAAGTACAGTACAGTAAGTGTTTACTTAACTTTACTTAGCTGATCGAATATATTTTTTACAAATTTTTATGTATCTTAAAAAATACCCATCAACATTTTCAAGTTATCAAATGACGCCAGCTGACGTATACAATATATTGAAATATTTGTTTGTTAAATTCCATATATTAGAAACCATGTTACTTATTTTCAAAGTATTGACAAGTAGGCATGATAAGTCAATACCTTGATTGGGTTTTTTGAGAGTCGTTAGTTTTGTTTGAAGAAACCGATTGACATACATAAAAATTTACATTTTTCCCAAGCAAATATTGCCCTAGAAAAATTATATAAAGTTTTATATAATATTTGCGTAATTTTCATATCTTGTCAAGTTAATAAATTGCAATACACTACTAAATATATTTTTTATGATATTTACATATATTTACATATTTTGAATAGGCAAATTACAAGATAAAACTTAATATTGAAAAGGTAGTATTAGTAAAGTAAAGTAATATTGTAAAGTGTTTACTAATAAATAAATATTAAGTTTTATGTTATCTTTATTTTTTTATTATTTGTTTATTTTAACTTAAATACGTAACAACGCATATTCACCTATATTTACATTCTTTCATGTTTTGACCGAGTGGAAGAATGAGATGAGTGTTTACGTGAACAAAATTAGAATCAAAATATTTTTTAATTAAGGTTAAATTGATTTTTCTTTTACTATTGCTTAATAATATACAAGTACCTGTAAAAAACCAAGTATGTAGCAAGACAGGAAATGAATATTGGCCAATGAGGCGATTGATGCCCTTGATTTCATTCCATTAATTTTTTTATATCAGTCCTCTCGACAAAGTAAAAATGATAAAGTAAACAAAAAAAATATGCGACGCAATCAAAGCGTTTCATTAAGACCACGAGCTCCTGGAATCTTACTTAAAGTATTTCGCAACGATAAGTGATAAAGCTTATCATAATTTAAATGGAGATTTACTAATTAAGCAGAAAACTGAATGATCTGATTTAGGTAAAAAATTTATGGACAACTTTTTAAATTATTGATGATTCATATTTATTAGGTGTTTGTTTGATATCTTACTTATTAAAAATATTCCTTGAAAGTTCTTCTTTAACTTATCCTCCAGAAAAAAAATACTTAAAACGATTACGAAAGTGAAACTCAATCTAAAACAAAAACAATATATACAGTTGCCTAAACTATAAAACAATTGTAAATAGATTAATTCAAAGTTATTCTCAAGTATCATTTATCAGTTTCCCGTTTAGAATATTTTACATCGATAATTAGTTAATAGTTTAATGAGGCGCGTTACCGTGCAAAATTTCAAGTTTGTATGTCGCATTATATTCAGAGAAATCTAATTCTCAGAAACTATCAATTAAGTGTTTAAGTTTTTTTTAATTTGTCTATATTCACACATATCAAAAATCAAATAATGCAAGTTTGTAGTCTTCGCCGCTCACATAGTATCCACTAGTGGAAAGTAATTATAACAGTGTATTTTCGAAATAAAATATAAATAATTATGTGTATTGCATGTGATAGACCCCAAAATCATTGAACACAATTACCAGTCTATTACAATTATTAGGTTTTCATTCAACACTTAAGCGCTCACGAATGTGAACCACCACAACCAAATAAAAGTGACATATCTATTCTGGAAGTGTGTAACCCTCTCGAGTTCAACCCCATTGTCGGCGACGCAACTGTATCTGTAGCAGGAAGTTTTCTAAATGCTGGTACCGTTGTACTTTAGTGGTTGGAGTGCAATTCATGAAGGTGGCTGAACAAGCAAATATCACCGAAATTTTCAAATTAAGATCATCTGCATTTTTTAGTTGCTCTAGGTCAGGTTTTGTTGTCCACCCCGCATTTGCACACGCACAGGAGTCTCTTCTTCCTTTCGAAGCAACTGTACTTATGCGAGTATGTTATGAGTGTATTCTCGCCAATTTTGACTACCTAGTATCTTAAGACAAAGGACTAAGTGCTGATTTTCACAATCATGCGTGATTTATTTTTGATTTGCTTTTGTCTAAGTGTTTAATCATTCGTCTCCACTCCTGAGTTTGTTTCCTAATATTTATTTTTTTCAACCCCCGCCATTTGAAAGATTTCTTATACTATATCAATGGTTGCCTAATTAAAAACATATTGACCCTATTTATTGCAATTAAAACCATTTTTCTAAAATTCAACCACAGTATCTTATACAATATATATTAATTTCGTGATTTCTACAATAACTTTGCAACAAAATCAATATGAAAAAATAACTGTCATCAAAGAGTTTTTAAAATTATTTCCTTTAACTTGAGGTTTTAATTTATTTCAATGATTAACGCATTTAAGTATGTGGAAATTTTCTGTTGTTTTTGGTAGAAATAAGCGCCTGCTTTATATTCAAGAAGCAACAGCGCATGCTTTGGCTTGTTTGACATGGCATTTTATATGGCAGCACCAGGCACCGTAGACAAATGAGATAATGTACTTTACTCACGACTTGGCCGCCCGTATATAAAGTACCACATTTTGTGGAACCCGTGGTAGGATTGACGCTTTATAGGTGGAAGTAGAAAACCTTATTTTTGACATCATTACACTTACGTATTACTATTTTTAAAATTAGCTGCACATTTTTTGCAGATTGATTTTGCATTTGTAAGAAAATATGATTAAAACCCGACCAGTTGATATTGCTGAACTTTAACTTGCTTAATTATGGTGATCATACAGCAACTCTCTCTCTCTCTCTTTTTTCTCACATACTCTTCCGTGTTTGACAATAAGTAAGACCATGAATATTCGTTATTTACTTAATTAAAAAATATATAGTGTGTTTAGCTGATATTTAAAGTTCAAGTTTTTTGATGTAGCATTCCACGATCAAATTCAGAGAAACTATCGCCTGATCTAATTAAGTGATAAATAGATTTTTCATTTGCCTACATTCATATCTGAATATCTAAAGTATAAGTGATAAACTATTGAGTATAAATAAGCACACTATTTGCTTGGTAAGGCATCATACAACAAACAACCATGTTCAAGTTTGTAGTCCTCGCCGCTCTCGTAGCATCTGCTGTTGGTAAGTAATCAATTAATTAATATATTATTCACTAAATATGTGCATTCAGAAAACATTTGTATTAATTATGTGTATTTTCAGCCATTCCGGCAAACAGCAGGATTTCGCATACCAACGAAGCCAACATCACTGACCACAATTACCTGGTCTCTATTCAGCACTTGGGTGCTCATGAATGTGGTGGTACCATCATCGGTGACAGGTGGATCGTGACCGCTGCTCACTGCACCGAACGTTTGGATCATGTCCAAATTTCCGTCCACGCTGGAGTAACCAATTTCAATGAAGTCGGCCAGAAAGGCGAGGTCGCCTATGTCTATCAACACCCTGATTACAATAACAAAACCATGGAAAATGACATTTCCGTTCTGGAATTGTTTGACCCTCTTACCTTCGACCTCACCGTCGGTGCCGCATTATTACCAACAGCTGGTAGTACGCCAGTTGTTGGTAGTGTTGCCACCATCAGTGGTTGGGGTGCAACTCAAGAAGGTGGCTGGACAAGCGAACATCTCCGAGACCTCGAAGTCAAAATCCTCGATGATGCAACTTGCAAGGAGGATCATTCTGGCGTTACCGCAAACTCTTTCTGTGCTAATGCGCACAGGGGTGGCCCATGCCATGGTGACTTTGGTGGCCCACTCGTTGACGATAGTAAGGTGCTGGTCGGTGTCATGTCCTGGAGCCGTGGCTGCGAGCATCCAGAGTACGATGCTGTTTACACCAACGTTGGCTCTTTTGTTGTCTTTATCAATGATAAGATTGCCTCTTCTGGGCCCCGTTAAATGATTGACTAAACTGTTTTAAATTCCAATGAATAAAATTTAAAAAGATAATATTATTCTTCTACTTCCACCTATAAAGCGCCAGTTTTTCCACGGTGTTTTGACACAAAAAGTGGTACTTTATATACGGGCGGCCAAGTCGTACAAAATATTCATTATCTGCGGGCATTATGCAGGAAACGGAGCAAACCATATGGGCCGGCGCGCAGCATAGCATTTATAACCATACATTTTGTAGTAATGTGCGAGCAAATTTCGATGATTTAAAATACAAAAGTTGAAATACAAAATCCTCAACGTGAAACTAGAGTGGAGGTAGAAAAAATAGCGTAGGCAGCACGTGGCTAAAAGTTGTTAAACACTCAATTGATTGACCTCGTCCGTAATGCCCTCGTTATCCACTTGTTACTCAATATACTACAATTCTATTAGCTGCTTAATATACTCAAGCTTCACCCAGTGATTAAAGTACTTTAGCCACGGCGCTTAAAAAGTGGAAGTAGAAAAATATGTTTTAGTCATTTATTAACATAATTAAAAATTTATTGTCAAAGCTTTACTACAAAAATCTATAGTTATATTGGCATTACATAATATATATCGTGATCATACCTCAACATAAATCTTAATAAATTGAATATGTTTTAAGTGTTGTATTCATGACTCTTGTAACAAAATAAATAGGTATTTCCGATTTTAAAAAATTATTATTTCTCTGAACTAACGTTCTATTGCCTATAATATTCAAGGTTATTGTTAGATTTTAAAACAATTCTACAAAATATCAAACAAAATTTGTGTTTCATACTTATACAACATTTTCTTTCTTTTTTTTTCGACTATTGCATAAAACGTTTAGAGGTTTATATTATTGGAAACATGTATTGTAACACAACACGAAATTGAAATGAAAATAAATGTTTAATTGATAAGAATTACATGAGGCTTCTTTGAACCATAGGACCAGTTACTTGCATTGCCACCAAGCTCCTTTATTTTGAAAATCCTTTGCAAGAAGATTTCTGATATTATACATCGCTGTCTATATTTGCAAATGTTTTTTGAAACGAACCATTCTTCTGGATATTTGACTTGACAGAACCAGTTTCAGTATTTTGTTTTAGGTAGTGTTTAGAGGCGACTGAAACAAAAGAATGGTTTTTGATTGATTATGCACATTATCAGAAAGTTTTAGTTCTTTATGAATTAAACTGATTATGAAATACATGGCAAACATTTTTGTGAGTTAGTTATATGACGCAATGCTGTAAGTTAACATTGCTGAGCTGTGATTTCTTTGTTTTTTTTATTTTATTAACTTCTGTAATTTCAGCAGTTTATAAAATCTCCCAAGCTAAACAATGCCTTACCAATGCGGACTTTTATCAAGGAGGATTATAAACTATTTTTATTAATTGATCTTTTTTAAATAGTATAGAGTGTTCAGCTGATATTTGAAGTTCAAGTTTTTTCGTTGTATTCATTTCAAACAATCAAATTCGGGGAAACTATCATCTGATTTAATTAGGTGATAGTTATTTTTTATATTTGCCTATATTCATATCATAATATCTGAAGTATAAGTGATAAACTATTTAGTATAAATAAGCACATCGGGAGCTTGGTAAGGCATCATACCACAAACCACCATGTTCAAGTTTGTAGTCCTCGCCGCTCTGGTAGCATCCGCTGTTGGTGAGTAATCACTATATTTTTCAACTTAAAGCTCAAAGTTGTATTAATTTTGTTATATGTGTATTTTCAGCCGTCCCTGCTAGCTTCAACAGCAAGATTTCGCATGCCCAAGAGGCCGACATCGTTAACTACAATTACTTGGTTTCCATTCAGTACTTGGGCGCTCACGAATGTGGTGGTACCATCATCGGTGACAGATGGGTCTTGACCGCTGCCCACTGTACCCATGATTTTGATCATGCTACCCTCGCTGTCCATGCTGGAGTAACCAATCTCAATGAAGTCGGCCAGAAACGCGAGGTTGCCTATGTCTTCCAGCACCCTGATTACAATCACGAAACCATGGAAAACGACATCACCCTTCTGGAATTGTTTGACCCGCTTACTCCGGGTAATAACGTTGGTCCAGCAGTTTTACCTGCAGCAGATAGTTCTCCAGCAGTCGATAGCGTTGCTACTATTTCTGGTTGGGGTGCGGATCAGGAAGGTGGTTGGGCAAGTGAAGATTTCCAGGTTTTGGAAGTCAAGATTGTTGATGATGCTACTTGTCAAAAACACAACCCCGCTATTACTCCCAATTCTTTCTGTGCTAATGCACACAGGGGTGGTCCATGCCATGGCGATTTTGGAGGTCCACTTGTCAACGACAAAAGAGAGCTGCTTGGCATCATCTCCTGGAGTCGTGGATGCGAACATCCAGAGTACGATGCTGTCTACACCAATGTAGGAACACACGTCAAATTTATTCAGGATACAATGGCTGCTTCTTATCCTGACTAATAACTTTCTTGCCAATTCTTTTAATAACAAAAATAAAGATGAATTGCTTTTAATTTGATTTTTAATAATTTAATTACTTTTTGTGTTACTTGCAAGATCTCCTGTTCCAAAATGTACAAAATTAAAGTTGAAAACTATATTTATCAGTTTAAATTCTAAAATTTTCCACAGTATGTTTTTGAAGCATATGATAGACGTATAGAAAGAATATGGTAATGATGCATCTGTCATACCTACATCATTGCTCACCCTGTTTGTTCACCGTAGTGAACACCTGTGCATAGCACATCATTATCGTACCATGCTAATTTGTTAATTGGTCGCGTTACTGGGTGACATACCAATGTACGATTCAACATTTTGAAACAATGAAATTCGTAGAAATGTTGGCAATTTATCAAATTAAGTGTTAATCATTACATTTTTTATCTAAAATTACATCTTAAAATTTCAAGTTGATGTGATAAAAAATGAGTATAAATACCGGACACCCGAACATGGGAAGGTATCAAACAAACAAGCAACAATCATGTTCAAGTTTGTAGTCCTCGCCGCTCTCGTAGCATCCGCCATTGGTGAGTAATCAATACATTTTAATCCTGAAAAAATGTTTTAATTTTTTTATATTTAGCCACTCCGGCCAGGATTTCCCATGGCGAGCCGGTTGATATTGAACACTACAAGTACCAGGTCTCCGTCCAGTACTTAGGTGCTCACGAATGTGGTGGTACCATCATTGGCGAAAGATGGGTTGTCACCGCTGCTCACTGTATCAAAGACTACGACCATGTAACACTCTCTGTTCACGCTGGTGTTACCAACTTCAATGAAGTCGGTCAGAAACGCGAAGTAGCCTACCGCTACGAGCACCCTGAATTCAATGCCGACACTTTGGAAAACGACATCGCCGTTCTGGAATTGTGGGATGATCTCGAGTTCAACGACAAAGTCGGCGCAGCTAATTTGCCTTCGTCCGGTGCTGATCCTGCTAGTGGTACTGACGCTGTTATCACCGGCTGGGGTGCTGATCAGGAAGGTGGCTGGGCAAGCGAACATCTCTTGGCTCTTACCGTCCACATTGACGACCGTTCTACATGCAAAATCAGCTCTGCTGTTACAGGTGTTCTTGGTTCCCAGCTGTGCGCCAGTGCACACAGAGGTGGCCCATGCCACGGTGACTTTGGTGGCCCACTCGTCATCGATGGAACATTCGTCGGTATTATGGCCTCCAGCATTAGCTGCGGTCACCCAGAGTACTCTGCTCTTTACACCAACGTTGCCTCTTTTGTTGACTTCATCGATGAGGTGATTGCTTCTGCTGGTCGTCGTTAATTGATTGACTGTTTTAAATGACTATAAATAAAATTTGATTGCAAGATAATATTATTTCCTTAGTTATCTACTTTACACATTTTATACAAACCTCATTACATCATCAAAATATGAATATATCAATATATGTCCACTTAACTTAATCTATAATATAAAAAAGAATCGCAAAATCTGTTGGTAAGCGCATAACTCAACAACACCGAGACCAATTTGGCCAATTCCTTTTTTTAATGTTTGCTAATGTCCAAGGATGGTTTATACGGCGAGAAAAAATCGAATAATTGCCGGGAAAACCCTAAAGACAGCCTTTTCTATAGGATAAAATGTTGGCATTGAGATTCAATCATAGTTATAGTTAAATAGTTGAAACCGAGATGGCGTGCTAAAGTGCATTATTAGCAATTCTTTATATAATTAATTTCTTTAAAATAAAATTGCGAACCTTATTGATAGAATTTACACATACTATATCTAGAACAAGAGAATAAAAACCAATTGCATTTTTATTAAACACTACTGGGACGAAGTCGCGGGCAAAAGCTAGTAATTAAATAAATTATTCTTATAATAGCATAGAAATCGATGTAATTTCAGAGCTACAAAATAACCCATCAAGCATTGTTGCCATATTTATTACATCATATGTCAAACGGTGAAGTAAAAAATATGGCGGATACACCCAATATCAAACGACATAACTTTATCTAGAAAATTGTGTTACGTGCACCCATATGGTTACCATAACACAAGATAACTATTAATTAAACTACAAATGTTTATAATTTACCCAGTATAAGAAAACACTAATCATATTTAATGGAAACCTTCAAAGAACATTTTTGGTAACCTAAATAAGTATCACACGTCCTACAAAGCCCAACCAAGCTTATCACTTTAAATAACATTTTTATTGACAATGAATAGACAAAACACGCAAAACAACAAAATAGTTTTGAAAATTTCCTTTTTACCATTATAAACAATCTATTCACAAATATTGCCGATTGCTATCAATAAAAGTCAGAGTCCGTATTTTATGAATGTTTATCCGGACAACAGATAAGAGTTCTAATTAAATTATTATCTCTTTGAGCAGACAATGTTAACAAGTTATTGCTATTCTTTGTCAACACATTTATTTAAATTAATGAAATTATGAAAAGAATATAATAATTATTCAATATTTTATTTTTTCAATCAAGATTTTATTCAATAAAACTTGGTTTTACATAAAATGGTTAATATTTATTGGAAATAGTGTCTGTACACGTGTGAAGCCGGTTTTCATCGATCACTTGCGTCACGATGACGTCGCCGAGCGTTGCGGGGGTGGAAAATCCCTGAAAACCAACCGGCAGTCGGGAAAACAGCTGCTGAAATCATTGCCAACGTGACCTTGGCCCTTAAACAAGTGCCAAACGTGCAGCGAACCAAGTGCTTAATAAATACCCGTGTTTATTATTTTAGTATTAAGTAAACAATCAAATTTAACTAAACTAAGCTATTAATAGTATAATAAACAGTAACAACAGCCGGATTAAAGATTAAAATCTTAGTCAACATTTAATAATAAGAAACCTCAGATTAGTTTTGGAATGTTGGTATAAATTCAACGGCCTAACATTCGGTCGGTGCTCGAAAATATCGGGAAAACCGTCGAGCACAGTCTGAATTTACATTCGAGCCAGTGTAAGTCAGGCCGGCGGGCAGTGCGCTGAACAGCAAATCCGACAACGGCGACAACGAAACACAATAAGAAAGCAATAAGTAGCGCACGTCGGATCCGACGAGTTCCATGACTTGTCCGCATCGTGCACGCCGCCGACGCGCCTGCGAGTTCATAACATAATCGACGATCAATCGCGCTACCGACTGCTACCACACCACGTGCGCCGATTCAAACATCCGAATGTGTGACAGCGAAAACGACAACGACAAAAATATCTGACATTTATATTCGTATTTTATTTATTTCTCTACATAAAAATATAAACCATGTGCGACGAAGAGAAACCAATGGTCAACGGTTCAAACGGTGTGACTGTAGTGAATGGTACCTGCGATAGGAAATCATTGGAAGCTGATAATACTGAAATGGAACCACCTGATGGCGGGACCATCGCATGGTTGGTGATGATCGGTTCATTTCTTTGCAATGGTATACTTTTTGGAGTCATCAATACCTACAGCGTGCTTTATGAAGAGATTTACGAAAATTTATCCGCCCGAAATGTCACTGATGCTTCCAGTAAAGCAGGTAACACAAAAACGCTTCGTGTTTTTTTTTATCCGTCTGATAAAAGTATGTTAACAGTATGAAACCTTCAGTATGTTTATAATTCGAATGAGTAATGGTCGGGTTATCAATATTTTTTCTCGTCTTCCGGAGTTTACACTTGATAGTGTGCTTATAGTGCAAACAAAATGATGCAACATTGAAGAATATTAAAAGTACTACCGCTTTAGAATCGGTAACATGATCCAAGAATATCACAACTAGCAAATATTTAGTTCAGTTTATTATCGTTCAAAGTCGACATAATTAAATTTTACTATATATTTCCTTGATCTTTATATTATTTATACATTTTCAACAATCTTATATTGCAAGCGGTGTCATAAAAGTTGCAAACATCACAAGATTCTAACTCGGATTAGTGTAATCAGTATCAATAAAATTTAATTACATGATGCATGGCAACCATTTTTGTTTGCTATAGAATCAAGTCATTCACATTACCAAAATACTTATTTTTAGCGCGTCCAGCGCGTCGAGTTTAAGTTCGCGTAAGGAAGTATACCGCTTAAAGTTAAAAATGTTATCCTAGTCTTAATAAATCTTTGTTACTTGAGATGAGTTTTTCTCATTCAGAGCGCAGTGCACGTTTTTGACTGCATGCCAAAATTATTTATAAATTACTACGCGAATAACGTGCTCGTAGTAGCGAGTTGTATGTTAGTCATTTGATGAGACGATGTTTCAACATTTACGTTTTTTGACGTGCTTATGCGCTCGCTAACAAATGCTAATCGTAGCATAGTTAAAATTACATTCTATTTAAAAATTTATGTCTGACTTCCAGAAAATTAGGTTTTTGGGACGGATTTTCTTTTGTTTTAATTGTGTTATTTTAAAATCGAGTTTTTTTGTAAGTTTAACCTTGATGTTTCTTGTTTTTGCATAGCACTGGTTGGGTCCTTAGCAATGGGTACGACTTTCATGGTATCACCTGTTTCTGGTGTCATCTCGGACGCGTTCGGTATACGTCGTACCACATTCCTTGGAGGAGCGATTGCTACAACTGGGATGTTCTTATCCTCAATCTTCCCTTACAATGTTTACTCACTGTACGTTACTTATGGTGTTATGTATGGATTGGGCTGTGCGTTGGCTTATACTCCTTCGTTGGCCATCATAGGACATTACTTCAAGCGATACATGGGCGTTGTTAGTGGTGTGGTCACCACAGGTAGCGCTGTTTTTACTGCCATTCTTCCCAATGTGATTGCGTACTCGTTAAAAACCACCGGAATTGTATGGACGCTGAGATTGATTGCTCTAATGGCTAGTGGAATAATGTTTGCGTCCCTACTTTTTAAACCCATTGCCAAAAAGGTGGAAAGTAAGGAAGTTACATTGAATAATTGTATCAATGTTTCCATATTCCGCAACAAAAAGTACCTGATCTGGAGTATTGTTTTACCCATCAGTCTATTTGGATATTTCGTGCCCTATGTGCACATGACAAAGTTCGTACAAGAGAACTACTCGAAAGAGAACGACGGCAAATGGCCGGTGATATGCATTGGTGTCGCTTCCGGTATCGGCCGGTTAATATTTGGCTACGTATCGGATTTTAAATGTGTGAACCGTGTGTTCCTGCAGCAAATATCGCTGTTGGTTATTGGCGGTGTGACTACAATTTTACCGTCAACAGCGGGATCTTTTAGCACATTGATTGCGATGACTTTATTAATGGGTTTGTTTGATGGATGCTTCATTTCCATGTTGGGGCCCATTGCATTTGACTTGTGTGGTCAGAAAGGTGCAACTCAAGGAATAGGAATGCTCCTGGGCTTATGTTCCGTACCACTGACACTCGGGCCGTACCTGGCTGGAATACTCTACGATCATATGTCCTCCTATCATCTTGCATTCCGGATTTCCGGAGTGCCACCGATTCTGGGCGCGATTGCGCTGTGCCTTATACGTTTCGTCGACGGCAACAACAACGATTCAATCGATTGTGAGCTGCGTGTGCCTTTGAGGGGCAACAGTAAGAAGACTTGTATTAATGGCAGTAATGGCTATCATGCAGAACCTAATGGTAAGTTGCTTGATGGCGTTACGTCTAGTAAACTTGTATGGAACGGAAATTCAGATTTTCAAAATTCCAGAAGCTACGCGTATTCAGTTTATTGAATATTTTCCGTACACAATGAATAAATGCTGTGATATTAGCCACTAAACTAGGTTATGTAAATGCATTAATATGACATCAATGACTAGTTAACGATAATTATGACTCTTAGATTAATTAATAAAGCAACATTTACTCTTAATCAGTAATCAACCTGAATTTGCTCAACTCTGCACATTTCCTGCATGCGCCTTTGATTAATAAGCTTCTTGACTCATCAAACACATCGAAACAATTAATTAGCTTGCTTATACGTTGCACATTGAATACGGTCTCGTTTAAAAGAACCCAAAAATAATTGTTTATATTGACTTCATTGGTTTTTTGTAGACGTGCAGACATGCATTAATGAAAATAAATTCGGCTCGCTTTCTATGGACACGTTTGATTGACGATCAATTAAAGCACAAAACGCGCGCTTATTGCTCGTTTATTGACCACTAAACAACTTTGCTAAACTCATACCAACGCAAAATACAGTGTGTTTGGTTTTTTGTAATCATAAATAACACTAATAACAGTTGCCTTTAATTAATTGGGTATTTGCTTTATTCCTTACAGGAGCAGTTGGCAACGGTGATAATGAGCATAGGCACGAAGAGAACTTGGTCTGACATCACTGACTAATCATATCATTTAAACAAATACCTAACGATGTTAGAATGTACAGAGGGTGGATTTTTACGGTTTCCTTTTTTATGTGCGATGCGGACTTACTTTTTATTACTTAAACCTTCGAGTATTAATTTCTAGCGATTGTGTTGATTTCGATACCATGGGGTATCAGTGCGTTGAGGAGTTCAACAAACTGGTTACTACGAGAATACGAGCTGTTACGCAACGTTATTGATAATTTCATCATAGCATGCAGGCGCGATTACGGTTACCGACTTGTGCGGATTTTTATTACTGAAATTTGTACCCGTGGACTGATCGTGCAAGAAATATACATTTAAACATACATCGTCTTTATTTTTGACCTTCATACATTTTAACAACCATAACCGAACGGATTAGTTTTTATCCATGCTTATTTTTGTATATCTTCCAACAGGTAATGTGGTTCAGCGTAATTAGTCGTAATTCAGTTGATAGATTGATAAATTTACATATGTACAAACTCAAATTGTCGTAGAGATATAATTCATTTAAACCATGCTCAATGTTTGAACGAAGTGGGCATTAACTTTTCTCACCAGCAGATTTTTTAAAGTCAGCAGCAATCTTTTTAATGGCTGGCATTTTTTCTCGCAGACGTTCTTTCGCTGTTTCTACATCACTGCCGCCTCCCAGAACCATACCGACCATATCTGTAAATAAATAAAATGATTTATAAAAAAAGCACGCAAGTTATACAACCAAACACGCATGACATGATTGTCGGTTATTTTCATCCTTTTGTGACAGCAGGAAAGACTTACGCTCACATTTTAAATATTAAATCTGTCAGATAGCATGTGACTTACCATGATAAGCACTAAATTCTTCATATTGCTCGGGAGTCATAAACTGCTTGAGAAAACTGAGCAAATTGACAATGTGACGTCCGCTAGCGTGTAACATACATTGCGTGGCTGCAATAAATACGATCAACGTAGCTAAATGCAACACCACTGGTGGATCTTCACACTTTTCAATCTCCTCAAGCAAAGCATGCTTATGATTAAGCACCAATACTCGATCTTTCTTTTTATCCACCTTCTTCATAATCATACTGCATGTTGCCAATGCTGCATCAATACTTTCCATAAACTCATCAATATTAGCACCGCTCAAAGTTTTCACCAACGCAATCAGCGGAGCTCTGTACTCTGCCTTCAATTCATTAATGAATTTAATCCTCTGATCGTTATTATAACCATCCACATTGGTGTTTCCACCCTCCTCGGATGAAATATAATTGAGTATCTCGTTAACAAAATCGGTACATTGTGATTTCAACAGATACTTGTAGAGCAACGCTTGTACATCCGAAGGTAACAGTTTGATACCTTTCTCGAACAAGCGAATATCACCAGCAAGGGTGTTCAGTTTATTCTGAACATCATTGTGTGTCTGTCGCCTGGATGCAGTGCGATCCTGCACGGTCGTCAGATAAATATCCGCCGCAAGTTGAAGACCTTTTTCGTTTATAACCGGATGAAGATATTCTGTGATTGCGTTCATCAAATCATCTAAACCTTCAGACTCCAAAACAATTTGGATTGATTGTCCAATATCTTCTTGTGAAATAATCTCCAGCGTTGTTTTCGGTACCTCCACTTCTTCGACGTCCTCGACAGCTTTGTCACGTTTCTTGTTCTTTGTACTCTTTGTCTTAGTTTCTCTTCCTTGTGTACCCCCACCGGCTTTGCCACCTGCAGCCTTTTTCCTTCGTTCTTCGCGTTTGTCAACCTTAATAGGTTCGTCCATATCATCCCTGCCTCTTTGACTGGCAACTTGCAACTCGGTTTGATACTGTTGATACCTACCTGATTCTACAGCAGATTTCGCTTTCTCCTTCAGTAATTCATCGATATCCTTTGCCAATGTATCAATAAACGATTTACTTAACAGATATCCTTCGAGAATAACTGTTTCTTTCTGTTTTTGTGGAGTTAGAATCTTTTCCATGACATTTTTAATGTCGGCGTCATTGAAAACACTTGGCAAATTCGAGTGAAGGTCCAAATGTGATTTGCTTGCAACGCACTCTTCAATATCCGCCTCGATACGTTCTAAAAGCGATTTAGAAATGGCACACGAGCTTAAATACTGCAAATCAAGTGAAGATTTCTTCAAGTAAGTCTTGTAATCACTGATGCCTTGTCGTGTGAGAGCGTCGTACTCCAAATATCCGTTTTGCTTATAAAAGTTGTGCACCCATTCATGTTGCGATCGTGCATAAACATTGGGAATGTACTGTGCCCCAGGTTGTCGGCTTGTTAAGGATCCATACATACTGGACTGATCAAAAAGAGTAAAAAACAATTTCTCAGTAACATCTACATGAGCTAAGATAGCTGTAATTGGAACTGGTTTAGTTAGGCCCACAAGTGCTCCGCGAATTTTCGCACGCGAGCGCGCAATGAAACTCTCAGTGAAGACAACTCTAGGATCGTTTCTATCCTGCTGGCCAAAAATCAACTTTCCTAAATTCTTCTCTACAATATGTGTCTGAATAAACTCGGCTGGCAAGTCATATTGCATAGTCAAGTCACCAACATTTATCTGACCAAATTGTACTAATTTTTCATTGATTTCACCAGCAATTCTTGTAATGTATGTAGAATCAATGAGTTGTCCAAGTACTGAGATGATATCTTTGTGTCCTTTGATGACTTCCCCAATGTGGGCATTAATGTGGCCCAAATCAACACCAATTGTCTTTGCCAATTCAACCAGATTTACTCTACCTCCAGCCACATATAATTCACCTAGTATTTCAGTAACTAAATGCTGCGGAGTAATGTATTCCTTGCCATCACTAGAAAATATAAGATCCAGCATCTTTTTCTCCATCAGGAGCGTCACTACTTCTATGCAGTTGCGCTCGGATAATCTAAAATCACACAAATTCGTATGTATAGCAACATAATGAAATTATTTAGACAAATTAGGTGCAAATCATAACAATATGTTGGTTTATTTACTTTTGTGTGGAGGAACTCAGCTGTACTTTCTGGAAGTCAGCCGCAAGGCGTTTTACTTCATCCCAGTCGGTCATCTTGTACGATTTATTGTTTATAGTTAACAATCAACGAAAAATAACACAGTGTTATTCAAATAAACATATGGATTTTTTATATTTTGTGCTCGGTTGTGGATCGTTTTGACAGCTAGTGACGTCAATACGAACACGCATGCACTCAGTATCAGCAGGTCATTTAGATGACCTTGACAGTTAGTTCAACATTTTGAAAATTTTGCAAACCGCAGCAAGTTTGTTCAGGATATAATATTTCAAGTAATTTAGTTGAAACAATTTTTAAATTTACCATATAATTACCAGTTCAAAATAAAACTTCAAATTATTTATCTTCATATAATTATTTATTTAAAATGCAGTTTAGGCGCAATTTAGCTGCAATTTATAATCTAATCGACCAACTATTAACAGTTTACACAAATCTATACAAATCAATAATGTCCGCAATTGTTTTGTGCGCCGTATTCTGGCATTTGCTACTTGTTGGTAAACAATTTATGCAACAACGTGCTCTTTAAGGCAGCTGATCAATCAAGCAAAATTGAAGAGCGATTAATTTTAATAATAGATTAATTTATTCATGCATGCACGCGCTCTACGGCATTGTTCGGTTTGAACTTAGATGCCACTGCGCACTTTTGCATTTAACATTCGTCGAATGCACTAATAGAAATGTTTTTATTTTGCACTGTAATTTTGGGTATTTTTTTTAAAGAAAATAAAAAAACTGCATATTGTTTTAAGTTGAGTAGCAATATCAAACTACGCATTGCAAATAGTGGAATGATAATGAACTTTAATTTAGCTACATAAACGTAAATCGACCGGTACAATCAACTTCAAATAATAACTGTAATTTATACATTTTCAGGTAAAATCTCAAGTATAAATTTGTATTTTTAGCGTGACAACTTAAATACCTAATAATCTATGTTTATTCATCCATGTGGTTTATACGTTCAATATGATCTAACCGTGAACCACAAATGTTGTAATCTTTTCCATTTTAAGCTGTCAAACGATCAATCCACATGTTTAATAACCAGTTTCGATATTTTTACTGTGAATATTATGCATATTTAAGTATTATACATCTATGTATGTGTCTTTCGGTGTTCTTATTATCTGATAAGAGATAAATCAACTAAATTTTACCAAAATACCACAATGCCCACACTTGTTGCAAGCATATGGTCTGTTTACAAATCGGTGATAGCGGAAACACTAGTAAATAAACCGGCGTAAAGTGGGGCCAGCATGCGCGAACACACAGTTTTCGAAGCAATTTTAATTTCATTCCGATTTTGTTGTTAGTGTGGGCGCCTGATTTGTGCGGCATTAGTCGCGAGTCAGTTCGTGACGATTGCGGTTGCGGCAAGCGGCGTGTGCGCGCGCTTGACTTAAGTTCATTCTATTGTTTACCATTGTATTAATAAAAATTCTCAAAAGTGCACGATTTCCAACGTTAATATATTTTTGAGGCTTTTGCTGACACAAAAGTCACCGTAAGAAATATGGACAACGACCTGGAGAAAAAGAATATGGAGGAAAAACAAGATCTCGACACGCTCATGAGTTATTTAGGTTTGTTTACAATTTTACTTAAAATAAGTCATTAAATTTCCAATATAATCGGTTCATTCTTGCGGAGATTTTAAAACTATTTTCCCAATTATCAATCAATTTTTTTTTTCGATTCTACCTCTGCCTAACAACAACCATTTTATCTTTGCAAAGCAACATCTCAAGTATATATTTGTTAAGATATAAAAACAAGCACCTGATTACTACAGTCGTAACTAACTGCTACCAGTATGGAATCTATTCATTCAAATATTTAATCAAGATTACGTGTATAGTCACGTTTTAAAATTACTACAACATTATTTTATACTACACTTAAAAGAGGTAATTTAGTAGTTGATATTATTGTTGAATAATATAAAATTCCTTGTCGCTGACGTAAAGCAAATCAGTGAATATGTTTTGTAATTAAGATCATTTAAATATTGTTTATCAAGGATGAAGTTATTTATAAAATCAGCATAAACACTTTTTACGATGCGTGATAATTGTTATTGAAGATGCGAATAGTTCACGATTTTGGTTCATCGAGGCAATAAAAATCATTGAGAGCAAACATTGATAACTTGATATTCTTGTTATAAATTTAATACCAAACAAAATACAAAAAAATGAGTTTTAAACATTTTATAAAGTCCTTAATCGCAATTGTCGCATCTTGTCGACTTTTTTTTATTTAAAAACGATCATTTATCTATGAAAGTAATACTTTTTGTAGCGGAAGTTGACATTTCCTGACTAATGATTACGTAATTTTCATCAAAAATCATGCGATATCAAAACTCATCATTTTATATCACAAATAATAGATTTCTAGTAATTCACACTCGATTGTTACAATTGTATTTAATAAAAAATATATTATAACAATTGTTTTTCAAGTTATCAGCGTGATAAATTAGCAGAAAATGAAATTCAGGGCACATATAGTCAGTCGATACTCAGCAACACAAACATATATTATCATGGTCATATATTGGTGTCAGATCATGCAATTTACCAGTAAAATCATTAATAACTAATTGACCACTATCTCTTTAACATGTAAAGCAATGGAATGTTCGTAAAATAGAACAAAACTATAAAAAAATTCTTGCATTATCACATCATTCTGCATTTTATGCTAACAATTGACTATTTCATAAGGATATAATGTAATACATACTTACTTACATACTGACACAAGAACTAAACGTATTTATAATGACAAAATAAATTAATACATTATTGTACGCTACGCAATGTAGGCGCTAGGCTGATATCTGATTTAAATTACAATGCGTACCGGCATTACGCGTGTCCTTCGTGCAAGACTGATCAACGTTTTTTCCCTTTATTATTGATCAATCACCGTTGTTGGTAATTCAACAACGCTTTGAGTGATAAGATCACTTAACGGTATGAGTTGTTTTCACGTTATTAGCTTGATTTATTAACAGGAAACTATTTGTTTAGTTGGTTTACATTGAAATTACAAACTAAAGCGGAAAATTTGTGAGCAAATATGTTAATGCTTTGTGCGGTATTAAATTAGATTAAATGATGAATTCATTTATTTGTTTTGTTAAATTAATATTATGTAATCATATTTTTCCCAAAAAAAAGATTCATTTTAAGGTGAAATTGTTGAAGAAAATATCTGTAATAAAACTGTATAATTGAAACACGATTTTAAAATATTGAAGAAAATGTTTTTGTAATTCAAATTGATAGATGGAGGATAATTTAAAAATTTAGACTTTAGTGAATGAAAATTTATACGGTTCTTGCGTAATTTTACGAGCATTCCTAGTCGAACAGCATGCAATTATCAATTTGTAAATTGCATTTCATCATTGCCACAGCGCTTGAAAAGACTTTAAAGACGTTGCCTTAATTACACGACTTGTTTCCAACTTATGTGCATCTAATTGCTGATATTACGTCATTACCTACTTGAAATTTCAACATTTTAATTATTTCCAACAAGAAAACTACATTACCTAGCATTAAAAATTAACTGCTCTACAAAGGCACTGATAAAGACAACGTTTTAGACCTGATCTATTTAACTAGACAAGGTCAATGCTTTTAATAATTTGATATTTAGAGATTAAGATATAAAAGGTACTAAATGTAGGTTAATTGTGTAACTTTCACTAACTGAATTTTTATATCTTATTTTATTATAGGCGATTGGGGTAAATACCAATGCTTTCAATATGTACTCCATCTTCTGGCTGCTGTAATGGCTGGCATCCACATGTTATCACTAGTAACAGTAGCAGCTGTCCCTGATCACAGGTAAATTGATTATTCCTTGAATATAAAAATATTAAAATATAAAATGTAATCTTTTTAGATGTTTAGTACAAGGACAGGAAACCAACGCCCTCGAATCCAATTTCACGCCAAATGATAATTTCGCACACCTGATTCCACGCACCGCAGCGGGTGAATGGGATTCATGTCATATATACACTGCTGATAACGTGTCCACCGCGTGCACAGCATGGATCTACGACCGCACTTATTATGAAAGCTCCAGGGCCATCGAATGGGACTTTGTCTGCCATCGCAGATGGATGGGAGCGGTGGCCCAGAGTGTTTTTATGTTCGGAGTATTCACTGGAGCTGTCACCCTAGGGAATGCTGCTGATAAATATGGTCGTAAAGCAGTTTTTTGCTGGTCTGCATTACTGCAGCTTATTCTTGGCGTGGCAGTTGCATTCACACCAGAATATTATTCATTCCTGGTGGTCCGTTTCTTTTTGGGTATTTTTGGATCGGCTGGCAGTTATATCACCGGTTTTGTTCTTACTATGGAGCTAGTTGGTGCTAGTAAACGTACCAGTTGTGGTATTACCTTCCAAGCGGCCTTCGCTGGTGGTATTATGCTCGTCGCTGGTTGGGGAGCACTGATTAAAGATCGGCAATGGCTGCAGGTAATCTACGGATTACATGGGCTTTTATTGGTGGCTCATTGGTGGATTATGGATGAATCTCCAAGATGGTTATGGGCACAAGGACGAATTGGCGAATCTGCCCGTATTCTCAAACGAGCGCTCAAAATGAACGGTAGTCCTGTAGTGATCGATGAAAGTTTATACACAAATGTTGCTAAAAGCAAAGAAGAGGCACAAGAGGACGCTGGTGTTGGTGATTTGTTCAAAACACCCAACTTACGCTCGAAAACTTTGAACATTTGTCTTTGCTGGTTTGCCAATTCGATTGTCTACTATGGTCTTTCGTTGAGTACAGGAAAAATGGCTGGCAATCCTTTCTTAATTCTCTTCCTCATGGGTCTGGTAGAACTCCCTAGTTATGTTATTACTGTTTATCTCATGGATCGAACGGGCCGTCGTGCTTTAATTGTTTTCTATATGTTAACCGGTGGGCTTTGTTGCATAATTGCAACTCAATTGGCGACTGGTAGCAGTATTGCAACTACAATTGTGATGGTGGGTAAATTCCTAATTGCTAGTAGTTTTGCTATTGTATATAACTACTCTGCGGAACTGTTCCCCACGGTGGTGCGCAATTCTGCGATGGGTCTTGGGTCCATGTGCGCCAGGTTATCAGGCGCCATGACACCACTTATAACGCTATTGGATTCGTTTGATCCTACACTCCCAGCAATCATTTTCGCTGTGATTGCGCTCATATCAGGATTCTTAACGATGTTCCTGCCGGAAACAATGGGAGCACCAATGCCACAATCAATTGAAGATGGAGAAATGTTTGGCGTAGGCGACACTTGCTTTACAAGCTGTTTGGGAAAGAAAAAAAGCAGTCGAACAGCGTCTAAAGCAGATACTATGGAACAGATGCACATAATGGGTGCAAAATGAAGACAAAGTTTGTTCATTTGCCAATTAAACATGGGCAAAAATCAAAATGAGGCACAATATATTTGCTCTATATTTTTTAAGAGCATAAATTATAATTTAGTACAAAAGAAGGAAAATAAAGGAAAATAAAAAGTATAAACTTTATAAAATTTGTCTATATAATTAAATATAAGTCGAAATGTAATTTTAATTCAAGAAAGAATAGTTAATGATTATTTTATGTACTACAGATGGCATTAGTGTTGTTTCACTTTACGCGCTTAAAAAGGTTGTCAAAATAAAATCAGCAGGACTTTTGTAAAGGTGTCGGTGTTATATGTGAAAACAACAAATTTTAATAATATAAGTGTCCAGAAAGAACTGTTAACCACCTGCATAGTACGGAAAATTACGGAATTTGACGGTGGGTATGTAATTATAATCTCAATCGCGTTTTACTGTTGATTTGTTTAAAATATTACCTGAATTTTAAGTGAAATTTTAAGGTTATCTACCGTTATATTTGAATTTGAAGAAAATGTCCATTAAAATCTTGTTCGTTATTCCTGCAACTTGTAAAAGTGAGCAAGAATGTTCAAAAGTTATGCTTGAATCGTACAGTGTAAGTATTATAATTTATTATCTGAAATTTAGTTTTATCTTTTCTTTGCTTTAATAGGCTGCAGTTATATATGAACTTGATACAAAGTGGATAAATGAAACAGACAGTAATATTGAAACTGGTAAAACTGATTTTATTATATTTGAAAAATTTGAAGGGCCCTTCTACACAAAAGTATTACATTCCAAGAGTGTGTAAGTATATTATTATTGTACATTTATTCGAATCTTTAAAGATATGTTTCATTGTAGCAGAATTTTATCTCCCCTGTGTTTACTGCAATGCATAGAGCAAGCTAAACCAATTCCTAATTCAGATACACCACTTGTCAGTTTGGCACTGGAAAATTGCATAGTGGTATGCTCCTGCCTTCCAAAAGACTGCAAACGCGATTTAAAATGGAAAGTGCAAGCTATGGCCGGCTTATTTTCTGGGAAATTGGTTTCAGACACAACTTATTTAATCACTGATGGCGTAAAATCAGAAAAATTTAATGTAACGCTCTTTCTAAACGATTTAAATGACAAAAAAAGTTATTCATAACGTTTCTACAGGTTGCTGTGACCATGGGAATCAAAATAATGAGCGTTGAGTTTATCGATGCGTTGTGGGAAGCAAGCAAAACGCGTGGGATCCATGCCTCTCATGATGAATTTCAAAAATTTACCTGTCCAGTATTTCTAAATCTGAATATCTGCAGCACAGGATTTAGTAAGGATGAAATTCAGGTTCAAAAACTGGTTGAACAACACGGTGGACGATTTTCTTCCGCAATGGACGTGAGTAAAACGGATATCTTAGTTTGTAAGTCGTCTACGTCAACCACTTCGGCCAAATATAAAACAGCGATGAAGAAAAACATCGACTGTGTGACTGAAGATTGGATTTTGGATAGTGTCAAAAAGGGATACGCATTACCGAACGTAAAGGACTATGCTGTGAAGGCTGCTACATCAACACCAACAAAAAACGAGGCATTTGTTGATCCGAACTTTTCACAAATGAGTATGATTATTAAGCCTACTTCGAGTCAAGCTGTATCACCGAAGTTGATCGAACAGACGATGAATAATAGTAATTTCTTGGTCGCAACGAAACGAAAAAGTCCCGCCACAGCTTTTGATTCTGTTATTGATAATATTGATATTAAAAGAGCAAAAACATGTGGGTTGTTTTTAGATGGTTGTGTGGTAAGTTATTTTTTTTTTAGTTTTGGGAGTTTTATTGACTTACTTTTCTTGAAGATATTCGTGGCGGGTTTTAAGACTGAACAGAAAGAAAAATTGTGTAAGATACTAAATTTTAGTGGAGCTGTGCCTTGTTTCTCATTGAATGATCGAATCACGCATGCAATCATTGGCAATCCTAAGTGCCATGAATTTAAACAAATCACAAGCAAAAATTTACCATGTGCTATTGTTGATGTCAAATGGCTGGTAGACAGTATGAATGAACAGATGCCAGTCGATGTTGACAAGTATTTGATAACTAGCGAAAATTGCACGCAACAAAGCAATACCTCAGGAAACAATTCACCACTTAGCAAGAAAGGATTGAGTTTCCTACGCGCGGATGTTACTATTTTGGAATCTCATCCAGAAAAAGTAGACAACCCGCCACCTGTTGAGACTAATGATCAAGACGATGAGGTACTGCAACGTTACATGAATTCCATGCAAGGAAGCAACAGTGTTGATGATGCACTCGCTGCTTTCACTTTAAATCCCCAACCGAATCAAACAAACAAAACATCAGCCGATAAACACAATTCCTGCACCCCGAATCCCAAAACTAGTGATGCATTTAAAGCAAACGCAAGTTCTCCAAGTATTAGTATCACGATTGAAGAAAGTATGGCACCGATTTTCAGCAATCTAAAGTTCATAGTTTTAAACTATACCGAAGAAGAAGAAGAAAGTATGGTAGAACAGATTAAAGAGATGCAGGGGACAGTGGTTGGAAAGAACTTTAAGGGCATACCTGACTATGCGATTGTCCCGATTAACAATCAAAGTTTGCAACATACCGCAACTAATATTGTTACATTTCTCTGGTTGTCTGAATGCTTGGAACAGAAATGCCTTCTTACCGAATTGGAATACTACCATCGTCCGTTTCCTTCTACGTCAGATGCCTTGAAGGGTTTGTGTATTACGTTTAGTGGATTAGGTCGGTACGAGAAAGAGTTTCTTTCACATATCATTGATCAGCACGGCGGTGTGCAACAGGATTGGATGTCACGAAATGCAATCCCAGCAAAGAATACCCTGGCAACAACTCATTTGATTTCGAATGAACCAAGCGGAAAGAAATATGAAGGCGCCTTGAAGTGGGGTTTGCCGGTTGTTCACAAGGAATGGCTGCTGAAATGTGTGGAAGAGAGAAAGCGTGTCAACGAAGAGGAGTATATTCTTAGAAAGGACAAAGGTAATGCATTTATATTACACAACATAACAAGTGTAAATTACATAGGCAATAACACTTTTTGTTTGTGTTTAGAAGGCATTGACGCCTCTGTTACTGTTTCAACACCAGTTAGGAAGCGTACCACTGAAGTACCAGAAGGTGACATATGAATTTTTACTTAAGTGTTAATTGCTAATAAGATAACATTAATTTTAGTTTGTGCAACTCCGCCTAATATGGGAATGGGTCCATGCAGTCAAATTACTCCCGTGAATGAAATAATGGCACGGGTACGGAAAATGTGCGGTGGAATGGTGACTCCCGGCGGGCAAGCGGGTACACCTGAAACACCTGATGGTAATAATTCACGGATGGATATTGCTACTCCTGATACTCCCTATGGAGCGATATTCCAAAACCCACCGCCAGCAGATGTGCGAAAGAAGTGGAAACGTTGGGTGATGAATATGCCATCACCGAAAGCAAGTCAAAGCACGGTAAATATTAATTACACTTTTTTTTTTATTTAACGCTACATTAAATATGACATTTTAGCCGTTGTCCGAAATCAAACGACAGTTTTGGTCGAAATACAACAGCTCGCATTCCAGTAGAGAGTCACAGAGTGGAGATTTACGAAAGGAATTTCCTTCCCTGTTTTCACAGAACGAAAATCGGGCGCCGCCTGCGGAGCAATCTGAACCAATGGCTATTGATCCGCCTTATAATGATACTGAAGTAATTTAAACGTGTGTGTGTGTTTTATATGGCTAATTATAAATGTATAAATTGTTTGTAGAATGCTATGAATGACTTGGTCTTAGGTCAAATCGATGTATTGGAATCGCATATGATGTCGACCGCCGGCAATTCGGTCCGCCGTTCATCAGTGAGAAAAATGGAAAATGAGGGCGGCAAAATCCCCGAAAAAGAGTCACAACCAATGACAGTGGGTTGGGATGAATACATGGTGATACCGTCTGCACCGAAACACAAACACTTCATGATTTCTGGTGTAGATGTTGAAGAACGTGCATCGCTCGTTAAGGAAATTGAAGAATTAGGCGGCACCGTTTCCTCATTGAATAATTTTGATCCTTCGGCTACTCATCTGTTGTGCCATAAGTTAAACCGCAACGAAAAGCTGCTCGCGTCTATGGCCAGTGGTTTATGGATTTTGCATATCTCGTACGCTACAGATTCATATGCAGCTAAAAAATTATTAAACGTAAGTTTTTTAATACGGTTTATTTTTTCATATACATTTTATTTTGTTGGTCTCAGGAAGAGGATTATGAGTTTGGTAATCCCAAAGCAATGCACAAGTTTAAGCTAGATAGTGATGCACAGCAGAAAGCAACAGCCGCACGATATTGGCGCGAAGAAATTGGTCGCCGAGGATATGGAGCTTTCCACGACATCAGAGCTATTGTACTAGCTAACAGGAAGGAGCCAATGATTAGGGTTTTGCAGGCGGGAGGTGCTATGATTGTTGATGCCAGGTGAATTATTTTCTTAAATAATCAATCTGAATAAAGACAATAATACTTTTTTGTTCGGGTTTCTCAGCCCACCGTTTGAAGAAAACGTTAGTGCCACGCATTGCTTCCTGGAAGTGAAGAACAACGAGTTGAGTCCATTCATTACTTTAGCGCAACAGGGCATTCTTTGTATAAATACTCTTTACGTTAATGATTTTCTTCAGAGGACTGCTCAGGATATCAATGATTTTATTCTTCCTGGATTTCGTAAATATTACTAGAGATTCGTTAAGTTTAAAGTAAAGTAAATTTAATTTTAGAATAAATTTTTTTTTTATTTTCCTTGCACATGATGTAAAACCCAGTAAAACTGCATGCTCTTTATTTTAGAATCCTACAGTAAGTGTCCTAAATTGCCTGTTAAATTTTGTTACCTTAATTCTCTTTCAAAAATGTTAATATTTTCAAAACTTGGTTGAACTCTACCATCTCACTATCTCATTTGAAAATAGAGAAATATGTTGTTCCACAACGATGTGTGATCTTGTTGACTTTGCATATTGTTTGTACTCCCTAGGTTTTTTATCTCTAAATAAAAATTTGAATTTAATGCAGCGTAAAAAAAGTGCGACCACGCCCTATTTTCGAAGGAAATTAATTTTAAATGATTCGACTTTGTTTTTCGCCAAAAGATTGTTTTTCAGTACTGGAGGTTTAAAAAGTTGAAAGGGCAGGTGTAGTTTAAAGGATCTCTTTGACTGCAATGTAACAGCGTGAAACTTGAAATAAATGCGTGTTTCAGTGTTTTCAAATTGTTATGAAAACACTAAGCTTTAACGGGTATTTTAAGAACTTCCTGATGGCTAAGGGTTGTAACTATCTCCACATTCAAAAGAGATACATGGTGGTAACCACGCTAAGTGAAAGAGAAATTAATGACTTTGTAGGCCATCTTTAGGCACTTCCATATAACCATCTGATATGATCGATAAGAAACCCTAATTTACAAACTTTTGCAGGAGATACAGTGTGTATATTTGAGTGTCCATATGAAATCTAATTACTCAAAAACACCTGTTTGAAAATTGCAGGTTTCTGAAATTAAATTGTCAGATAATCGTTGAGCATGTAACTCCTCTTCATTCCTGAGCCATTTATTACAAACAACACCTCCGACAAAAATGCTTAATTACATTTATTATTTCAATCAAAATATTACAGAATGAACTCTTTAAACACGTCAACTCAACATTCGGCGAAGATGAATGCGACGATTTGTGTGGTGTGAATGGGTCAGTTGGCATTCGATCACGAAAGTCGATCGAACGTGAATCAAGTACAAACGGTTTACAAGTATGTATTCGTTAACTATTGGTCAATTTGTAATTTGTTTGTTTACTGCGTGTGTGGAAATGATGTGCTGCGAAGAAAAATCCATAATAAACGGGGCTCATCTTTCCCATACCGCCACAAACATTTAATGTTTAAACGTTCACAAAATTTTGTAACATCAGCTATTTGTTAAATTGTATTCGTACTTAAATCTATAATTTATATTATTTCATTTGTTTCCTTTTACTGCCTGCAAATTGCATGGCGCTCATTCAATTGCAATGCAAATCAATAATGTGATAAGTTGCGATAAGTGCAATTTAATAAAACGCATATCTTAAACGTAATTGACGCACAAATCGTACAAACAACCGAGCAAATTTAGCAAAACATAGAAAAATAATATACAAATCAATAATCATGTGTGAAACATACATAGTGAATGTATCTTTCTCCGTAATCGTAAGTTAATGTCTATGTAATAATACTAGCTTTAAATTGTATCGCTTCAATTAAAACTAACGCATGTTAAATTTAGATATCGAACTGATCGGTGTCGGGTCCATTCATTTGCCGAGAAAACAAACGCTCCCGACGCCATCGTCGAACGACACTTATTTCAATCGCCACGTGCCATACCGGATACAATACATGTGGCACTTGGCCATCGAAAAGTGTTTCCAATTTCGCATAAATTTTCTAATAAATAGATGCTTCCGTCGAAGCAAATAAATGTATATTACATTAGTATCGACCGCCGTTAAGTTTACGTTATTCTTTTCAACAAAATAATATAATGTCATTTAAGGGTTAAATAATTGCAACGTACTTTAAAACTTGCGTCACGCAAACTACTCATAATTCTAAATTTACCTGAAATCTTCTTTTGCTTTGTTCATAACTCTTTCAATATCAACCGAGAGCACGAAATTTTGAATTCCTATTTCGTTAAACTTTTACGTACCCAACGCCCTATTTCATATTTCTTTTATAAAATCATGGTAAGATGCAGTGAAGTTTCGATGGCACGTTCAATCTACAATGTAGCGCTGATATGACGATTGCGTGGATTCGGTTGAGGCGTTGAGTACATAAATGCAATATTTTCTTATGTACAATATTAGACCTGCTGCGTATACAACGTAGCTTATTTTCGGCCACGTTTGGGCGTTTTGCGCGCTGGAGGTGGCGTCGGCGTAGCTTTCGGCGTCTTCTCTTTTGATGTCGATGCGACTGCAGCCTGTTTCGTCACTTTCGTTTCTACTAAAAAAATAATAAAAGAAATTAATTTGTTCTTTGATTAATGGTAAAGTGATTACCTTTTGCCTTTCCTTTGGGTGTATTCTTAGGCGATGCCGTGGCAGCAGTTCGTTTGACGACTTTGGCAAGCATTTTAGCTTTCTTGTTATCGATGACAGGACTGGTCTTCGTTTCTTCCGTAGCACTCCGCCGCTTGGCACGTTCCGCGCGTCCTCCGGCGGTGTTACGCTTTACTTCGCTGACCGGTGTTGCTGGTTTCCTGCCAGTTTTTTTCGGCGTTTTCGCAGGTGGCTCGTCATCATCCTCTTCATCATTGTACTCGTCATCGTCCTCATTGTCATCTTCATCATGATCTTTCACCGCACGCGGTCGACCCTTGCTAAGTTTACGTTTTGAACCCTTTCGTTTCGTTAGCTGCTCTTCTTCGGTGTATAACGATACATCCACTAAATACAAACATTTGCGTTAAGAAAATATATGCTAATGAAAGAATGAAATACTCACAACCATCTGGATTATCCTCAGTCATGGAATCATCCAACCCAATGGCTTCGCCATTCTCCACAGCAATAGCCTTCTTCAAAATATTCTCTGTGCGTTCATGCTCTTTAGCAGGAAGCCGAAATTTACTCTTGTCAACTTTAGTTAAGTCAAGATTTGTTAAAATACACTCAAAGTCAATAAAATCATAAAAATCAGGCGTATAGATTTCATTTGACTTTTCGCTCTTATCTTGTGATAACCATCGGATTTTTATGCGCGATGTCCGCTTGTAAACGTTTTGCACCGCCTGGCAGACGAAGAAACCACCATCGCTGTTTCTCACAGCCAAAAATTCATTCCTATGCAAAAATATTAACCATTTATAACCGCATTTAAATACACGACTGTGCACAATTTGACTTACTTGAAGAACACAATCAGTTTGTTCTCGTTTGATTTGGGCGTTGTAGTGTTTTGAGAAATCTTTGAGATTATCTCGATCTCCGGCAGCGGACTCTGGTATGGCTGAGTTCGCACGCGCGATCGTTTCGTTTTGCCGCCCGCCGGCGACTTACTGGTCGACGGCTTCGGTTCGTGACTTATTTTCGGTGCACTACGCGGTGATTCTTCCCCTTTCGGTGTTCGTGATCTGCGCTGCGGCGTTCTCGGTGTCGTTGCCACCTTCATAGGAGATTTTACTGGCGTCGACTGAAAAAAATCGAAAATAAAGCAAATATCCTCTTTAGATAATCAACATTTGCATGTACCTGTTCCTTGGGTTTTTGTGGTGAGTTGGGTGTGGAAGGAACACTGGCAGTAGTGCTTTGAGCCTCTTCATTTTGAACTTTATCTTCAGCATCTGATTTGTCTTCTGATTTACGTGACGACGCTTCGGAGCTTACACTCACCTTATCATTAATTTCCTCTTGCTTTGTCACTTTCTCGTCGTCCTTTTCTACCTTGTTTTCTTTCTTTTCAGTGGTGCTTTTTGTTGTGGTATCCATAGCAACTTCAGACTTTGTTTTTACTTCTACTTTGGTAGGTGATGTAGATGCATTCTTTTCTGGAGATTTCTCAACTTTTGTAGTTGGGCTCTTTGTCTCCTTTACATCATTTCCCTTGATCTCTTTTTCTTCCTTGCTATCCTTTGTGTCCAGCACCTCTACTTTAGGTTTCTCTGGTGTTACAGGTGCTACATTAGCATTGGAAGATGGTTTGCTAACAAAATGAGCAGAGTTAGACAACAAACAAATTACAATAATTTGCAGTTATTACCTGGTAATTGAAGTAGCTTCACTAACTTGTGGCACTTCTGAAGGTTCTGGTACAGAATGTTTTTCAGGTTTATCTGAATTGCTGGTGTTGTTTTTCTGGGGTGATGTGACATGATTTTCCTTCTGCTCTGTGGTGCCGTTGCTCTGCGGTTTTTCCTCAACGGGTTTATCGGTCGCCTGCAACGGGGGAACGGCCGCAGGTTGGATGGGCTGCGTGGTGGCAGGCAGACACTGCGTTGCCGGTATCGCATGCGGATATGAAGGGTTAAATTGCGTCTTTGGCGGGCTGTACGCAGCAGGCGTTTGCCCACCGGCAGCGGCGTTTGCACCAAACGAATTGTTCATAAAGGACACGTTGCTATTCTGAGCCATACTCATTGCACTTGGAGTGGCGGCCTGCGCCTGCAGTGGCTTCGACGGCGATGGTGGTGGCACTTGGGCACTCATAACACAAACGACGCCGGGAAACCTGCACGCGGCAGAAACAAAAGAGAAAAATAAGCAAACAATTCACAATTACTGGGCTCAACCAAATCTAGTGATCGGCCGCGTACTTTATCTTGTTTACAACACGACTCAACCGAAACCAACACACTCGAAACGCATTCGGTTACGATGTGAACAGCTTGGGATGACGGAGTGCGATAGCTCCGGTGTGCGTTCGCGCCTCTCGGTGTTTGGTTGGCGCTTACACAGACGGATCCAAGACGGAGAGAAAAATGCGGGCGGCGTTTTTCGCCACCGGGGCTTGCGGTGTTGTGTGTTGGCCGGTCGGTAGATTCGTGCGCTAAACTTTCTACAAATGCGATGGATTACCTAGTTGCATTGTATTTTCGCGCTAATTGATAAATTTATAACACACAAACACTCGTTGCACTCGTTATGCTCGCACTTATGGCGTCTTCCTACCAAGCGACGTTGCCATTGAGCGGCGCGGCATCGGCATAAAACTTTTCAAACCTTCTACTAGCGCACTCTTACGGCTTACTCCACGCCTACAAAGAAGCTATAGCGTTAATGTTTTGTTTTTACCTCCGACTTATAACGTAATTGCATTCATATACAACTATGGTGCAATCGAACATTACGTCAAAAAGACGAAGGTTACTGATGAACGTTTAGTGACATTGAGATGCTGAGATTTAAATGATCACTTTCTTAGCTTGCACGAATATTAAGAAAGGAGGAAATGTCTCATTGAGGCTATCACCCATCGTTTAGGCTCGCTAATAATTGTTTTTATGTTAAATTCAATTCTTTGTGATACCAAATTATTTTCTTGATGAGTTGCTAAATTTTGCATGAAATTTTAATCATTGTACAAATGTATAACTTCATAACATTATTTTTGTTAAATATTTGCACATTATCTTATCGACATATGCATTTCATAACATTTTAACATTTCCCAATCTTTTAACGCAATGTTATTTACACAATAGATATTCTACGACACTGTTTGAAATGTATACAATAATTTTAAATTAATTTACTGAGAAATATTGCTACACTTTAATGATTCATGTTTAATCTGCGGTTGAATAACTATCCTTGTGTTAAAATGGAACCGAAACTAAAGATAAATTAAGGTAACCAAACGCAAGATAGATGCCGTAATGGTAGCACTAGTCGAGCCAGTCCGTCAAGTGTCACCCAACATACATTCTTATCGCGGTTTATCAATAAGCAGCAGTCATGAGTATTCATGTCGAAAAAACTAGTTTTAAGGTCTTGCTACCACATTCACGAGGATAGTTTGCGTGCCAAATAGCAATCAATTAGCGTCCAATTATAAACGCACTACAATGACCTTTATCGCATCGACGACTGTTCGTTAGTAAGTGATCGCGATTTGCGTTGACTAGCACTCACAAAGTCATTAGGAATTAAGAATATCAATGTGCAATCAACCACCTGAGACGACAATGCATTCGCTCGTAATACTCACCCGTTCGTCCTATTGAAGATGACATTATTCGCACTTAACATGTCCAATGATAACAGGTACGAAGCAATTTCCAACATTTCAAACATTTTTCAACACTTGCTATAAACGTTGTGCGTTTGTAGATCGAATAGTCCCAACACAAGTCCGAGGAATAGCCCACGACCATCACCACGGCCACAGCACAAGCGCGAGCACGCTAAGAGCGACACTTATCTTAGTGTGAATCTCAAGGAGTGTAATAGTAGTCAAAGCATGCCAAGAAATGATCATTCACCTGTGGTATGTTCATCATTCTTCACTATAATTTGCGGTCATAGAATACGACACAAGTAACTAGGACTTGTATTTGCAATTAAAGTTGAATATGTGAATGTGGTTGCAGAGTCCTGAACATAAAGATCTTCCAAACTCTGCAAGCACTGGAGTGAAAAACGGTGCGGAAATATCACCTGCATCGGATGCCAAATCCGAAAGCACCAGCTCCAGTGGTAAGCAGAAGAAAGAGGGCAGAGGGAAGAAGAAACCTGCCTGGTACAATGTCCTTCTTTATCCTACATATAAGAGCCGGTCAGAAGATTTCAAACACATTTTTAAAGATGTGCCAGATGACGAGCGGCTCATAGTTGGTAAGAATAAGATAAGATAAGCTATATTTAAAATATTGCACGCCTGTTTATTTACTTATTTTGACTAATAATCTATTTTGTTTCCAGATTATTCGTGCGCGCTGCAAAAGGAAATTCTAGTACAGGGGCGGTTGTATGTGACGCAAAACTTCCTCTGCTTCTACGCGAATATCTTCGGGTGGGAAACGAACGTCACGCTTAAGTGGAAGGATGTGACGGCAATGACCAAAGAGAAGACTGCGCTTGTAATACCAAATGCGATTCTTATTGCAGTAAGCAGCGAACGATTCTTTTTTACCAGTTTCGTAGCGCGTGAGAAGGTCTACCTGATGCTATTTCGCGTCTGGCAGAACGCACTTATGGGACGGCAAATGAATCAAACCGACATGTGGCAGCTCGTAAGTATGATCTGCTGATAACGTTTTGCACACGGCGTATTTATAATGCGAATTTATTACTATGAAACAATCGATGTGGCTTTATCGGTGTATTTCATTTAATGCTTGAGATAACGTATTGTACATTTTATTTTCTCACTTGCAGGTGCACAATTCATACGGCGCTGAGTTGGGTCTGACATCCGATGACGAGGATTACATCGCGCCGGGAACTGAAGACGATAAGATGTCGAAGATATCTGCAGAATCTTACTCCGAGGATTGTAGCAACAGTAACCTGGATGCACATAGCGAATCGGGAGTGGTCGATCACAAACCTGAGGAGGAGAATAAAACTCAACCGATAAATATTGTTAAGAATGATGATCGCGAACGGGATCGTCCTGAGGCGCCCGTTAAAGAAAAACTCCTTAAACACGATGAGAAGTCCATGCCTACAGACATGTCCGACAATACATCCGACTCTGACCGTGATAAAGAAAGGTAACAAGTCTTTTCTTATTGTTTTTACAGATTTACAGTGTTAATGTGCTTTCAGGGCAATATCAAAGTCATTATCTCCCACGCCCAGAAGTAGCCATGATCTTGAGTCCTTTCCTAATTTCCTTACCCCCGATCCAAGTCGATCGTCCAGTGACGAGACATTATAGTAAGTTAAAGCGCGAGATTACTTCCCTTGCCCCTACTTGTCTCCTTCTTTATATTTAACTACTATTATCAGTTAACAGTAGCTTATTTGGTTTGACGGTGTTTTCCGGATTAACATTTAATACTTCAACGTGTGCGATGAATGTAGGAAGCAATATTTTGATTGTTATTTTGTTTCCAGCCCAGTGTGCACGGCTCTTCATGAGGGTAGACAACTGCTGAACGAAGTGATTCCCATCCACGTGGACCAATTGTTTACGCTGCTTTTTACAAATAGCAAATTTTGGTTGGATTTTCATGCGTCGCGGAAAACCACAGACCTAACACAAACTACGTGGATACACAATGCCAAGGATAATACCAAAAGTCGTGTTATGTCGCTTACATTAGCGCTGAACCAACCTGTCGGGCCTAAAACTGCGCAAGTCACTGAAACGCAGGTGAGTTATCTTTTTTTACATGAATAGAATTTGAATTTAAAATGCAGCGTTCATTGAATTACATTTATTATTTTCGCACAAAGAAACTAATTCAAAGTAAAGTAGAAGTTTTTGTCGTGAATATCAGTATTGAAATCAATTTGCAACATATTTTCATGCTGGGACACTGGATATTTGATGCTTTCTCCATCAGATGTCAATGTTGCCTCTTCAATAGGTACAGAGGGTATTTTATCCCAGAAAATGTAAACAGTGCCAATAGAAAAGTTGCCTTTGTATGACGCGTCGGTGTCAATCACTGCACTTTCCATTTTAGTTCCATCGAAGGTAAATGATAGGTAATTGTATACATTGTCACGATATTCAAAACTTACGGTATCATCCTCATAGAGCGTACCTGCTGCTTCATTGTCCTTTACAAAAATGTATAGGTTATAAGGATCGTCAATCATAAGATTAGAAGAACCGCGTACGATATCTTTTCTCGGGATGATACTGCCGGCGCGGTAGAAAACAGGTATGCTATCCATATCAACTGACAGAACATGCCTTGATGACATAACTCTGTAATCATTTTGGTCTTTGTGCGATAAGTAGTACCAACTGTCTTCTTCAGGCAGGTAGACATCTAGTTCATTGGCTCCTTCGTATAAAACAGGTGCGATGAGGATATTGTCACCTATCATGAATTCGGTGTCGATTGCGTTGACATTTTCATCATTGGGATAGTTGTACACCAGCGGACGCATCACCGGTTGGCCATAGCGTTCGTGTTCATACCAGGTAGTGTACCAATAAGGAAGATGCGCATACCGTTGACGCATTGCATTCCTAAATCGCGTTTGAATATCTTCCGGATAGAGGAATGGCTCACGGTAATCTTGTTCACTGTTGCTATGTGCACGGAAAAAGGGGTACCATGCACCTAGCTGATACCATCGCTGAAATAGTTCTTCCGAGGGGCGTCCGATAAATCCTCCTACGTCGGCGCCGCAAAAGCTGATACCAGCGATCGCTTCGCTCAGGCATATTGGTATGGAAACACGAAGGTGTTCCCAGGTGGCAGCGTTATCACCAGTCCATATTGCGGTGTACCTCTGACTGCCAGCGAAATGAGAACGCGATAACACAAATGGACGTTGTTTAATGTAGTCTCTGGCAAGGAGTCCTTGATGGGTACCTTTAGTTTGCAGGTATCCGTACATATTATGAACTTCTTTGTGTTCAATATTGCCGTAATGACGAAGATCCCGCGGCATTGTGTTCTCTTCTTGCTGGAAAACTGCTGGTTCATTCATATCATTCCAGATGTGTACAATGGAGGTGGTATTCGGATAAGTGTCGTAATCAAACAGGCTACTCCACCAGTTTAGGGCATCCGGGTTGATAAAGTCTACGTAGGCGCTCGTACCTGGCCAACAATTCCCTTCGAAAAGGGACTCATCAGAGTTCATTACATAGTATCCATTTTCTTTCATCTGGTCAAAGACGAAATATCCGACCTCAGATTTGATATGCGGGTCGATGATGGTTACCAAGCGAAGTGACTTTTCTTGAAGTTCGTATTGCATTCCGGTGGGATCTGGGAAAGCATCGTAATTCCACGTGAAGTACCTCTTACCGTTGGTGTAGTCAATGTCGAGCCACATAACATCGACCGGGAATTCTCCATCTTGTAAACCTTTTACGACCCTGAGAAGATCATCTTGAGTGAGATAACTGTATCGACTTTGATGGTACCCCATGGCGAAGAGTGGCGGCAATGGAGCGGCACCTGTCAGTTGGACATAATTATTTACAGCGGATTTGAAATCACCACCAGGGAGGATGAACACATCCAGGGTTCCAGCTTCTGTTATGAAATCAACTGTAATTGAATTATTGGAATGGTCGATGTCTACAAAAGTTTGTGCTGGGTTATTCCAGAATACGCCGGATACGTGGGATTGTTTATTTGAGCGGAAGCCATGAGCATAGAGCACCGGAACACTGCCATACAATGGGTCGCGTGAGTCTGTTGAATAATACGGATTATCTATATTAAAATGTCTGTACGGCTCATCGTTTTTGGTATCTTTTAGTTTCAAGTTATCACCGTGTTCGGGAATGCCATATGCATTCTGCATATTTTCGAATGTGACTTTCAATGCAAGTGCGTCTTCCACAAACATATCCTTCACACCATTTATGAGCATTATATCATTAGTGTGTATATTTTTACTAATGATGGTAAAATCATCTATGTTAATGGTTATTTCTAAAGTTGGGTTGTAGATTACAATTTGATCCTCTTTAACGGTGAATTTAATATTTGCGCCATAGGTGTGCTTGATATCTTCCAAAAGGGCACTTGGAATAGGTTTGATCTCAGCATTGCTGCGGCGAATTGTGATGCGGGTCACGTCATTGGCGTGGACAAAGATAACGAAGTTGTATGTTTGATTATTCAAAGTATTTACCAGAGTAGCAGACACTTTCCTATCTTTGTTATCGACAACAATCGTATCAACGTCAATTTTGAATTGCGAGGTACTTCTTGAGCGCAACGTTTGGCAAAATGATTCATCTTGACAGTGATGCCAGGCAAATGCGGTCGTCAAGATGACTGAGGACACTAATAACACTTTAAACCCACCTTGCATCATGGTGGCTCGTTGATGAGTGTGACACAAAATTGCATTTAGATTTATATATAGATTGCTGATAAGTAGTATATACTCCAAAATTAACTTATCTAAATTTGATAAGATCGTGCATAAAGGAAGTGGAACAACAAGCCTTTCAATAAGTATTTACAATAAAATTGCAGGTATTTTTGAAATTAATAAGCGTGATTGTTATGCATTATTTTGTGCTATTATATACCTATTAATAGGAATGGGTTACGATAATTTAACTTTTTTTTTGGCAAAAACATCCTCTTTGCAGGTGTTTACAGGGATATTGTTTTGAGAGATTATATATCGCTACTTGAGTATTTTTTGGATTTACCTGATTAGGTAATTGGATCTATAATGTTGTTTTTAACTTCTACTCCATGTGTTTGCCACGTGTTTTTGTATGATTTTCTTAAGTATTTGAAGTGATAACTTTAATGTAGTGACACTTTAAATAGATAAAATGTAATGGGTAAATAATATAATTGATCGTGACTTTTATATGGGATTAAAACAGTAAAGAGTGCATTTTATTATTGCGAAATTATAACTTTTCCAATGCAAATAACAACCCAAACGTTTTTATTAATAATATGTTTATTTATTAAAAAATTATACGTGATTTTTGTGGATTTACAATTTTGTTTTGGGAAGTTTAACATGTTTCGCCCTGAGGGCATCTTCAGAAACATAAACTTATTATTAATACAAACATGGATTACGTATTCAATACAGAAAGTAATAAAACCAAACGTTTTTGTTTGCGCACTAGTATTGAAAATGGTCTTTTTTTTCACAGGTCATGATTCCTTGCAGCAAAGCAGGACGTTTATACTCCATTGATGCAGAGACTGTCAACGCAGGTGTTCCGTATGCAGATTCGTTCTGCGTGCTTGTGCACTATTGTATTCACAGGGTATCAGAAAATCAGACTTCTATCGCCGTATACGGTCAAATCAAGTATAAAAAGTCTGTTTGGGGTTTAGTCAAAGGTATACCAAACAAAACCGCCACTAATTTACGTTTTGTTTATCCTTTTCTTTGTTATTGAAGGTATGATTGAAAAGAATTGTTGGTCGGGCCTCGAAGATTTCTACGCATGTCTAAGCAAAGCGTTATTAATTGAAGCTGAAGAGTACGCAACTCCTGCAGTAAAAAGAAAATCGCGTCGGCGACGCCGTCAACACAGTATTCGAGCTCCGATTGCGGACGATCTGCGCCCACCTCGCTGTTCTTTGGCAAGAACTCGCGGCGTTTCGACACGCCGTCAGGTCCAGTCAACATTCGCCACCAGCGTTGTCTTTGCTGTGCTGGTACTCCTCGTCATTTTGAATGTATTTCTATATTATAGACTGTGGTCTTTAGAAGGAACGACACCACCCTCCGTTCTTGATTTACAAGTATTAAAGCAAGTATACAAATTACTAATACCTTTTATCAGATTATGAATATTATTTTTCTTAGGGATCCGCCGAAAAACCACGATGATTGGATAAAGCTTCTTCAGAAACAGGAAACATTGCATACAGTCGAGATGCAAAAGTGGCAACAACTATTGAAAACTGCAATCACTCTCCTCAAACAAACGGAGGAATCTTTGCTGGAATTACAAAAATCTATTCATCCGAATTATACGAAAAAGATGCTCTCGATTATCGAAAGCCACAAAGGCGGCGGGCCGATCGCCAGGGATGATATGTAAACATTTAACTTAATCCCACCACCCGCACACACCTATACCTGACCTGACATTTACGACTTAAATAACTGTTAACTACCACGCTACCAAACCCCCGATGATATACCAAATACACTAATTTAGGTGCGCCAAGCAACGGGTTATGCATGTGTTAACTGTCGTCAGATATGTACGAGCACAACTCGCGCTATTCTGTCATTAGTCTACTCTATTGTGATCATAAAGTAAGTAATATTTGTCTAAAGTCTACGTCTAGGAAAATGTACATTATTGGTGCACTTTTTTGGTCATCGTTGTTAATTGTTTTTATTAAGTATTTATCACACTGCGGCGCGCGGTGTCACGGTCCCATAACTGAAACGACGATGCATTTCGGGCCCGGCACCGCGCGCGCCACGAAACATATTGTGCTAGTTACATTCTTGTTTATAAATTAAAAATTTTATTGATTCCTGTTTACTACTTACGAAATATTTCTGTACAAAACAAAACTCTATTTACACGCAAATTAATGAATTTAATGGCGAACACATAAATTATATACGAATTTATCTGTGGAAAGAAGTATATTCGATGTGAGTCGACGCGACGGCGTTGAGCTTCATCAAAGCCTCGAGCATTTTTATCTGTGTATTTATTAGCTGTAATTAGAGAGCATTTGCTTTATTGAGCTCTACGCCGTCTCGCTGACATGTAGTACTACAACAAAGTGTTTTGTTAGAGAGAAAATGAAAAAGGAAGACATTATACACACCGTGACCTTGCGCTACGACTTCTATCTATTGAAAACGTACAACCCACTCCTGCAAACTGGTTTACTTGGCTTCCCCACAACTAGTTCTTTTTTTGCCGCATGCAGTGAAACAAGTGGAAGTTAAAATTAGTTTTTGTCGAACTACACGAGGAGGCGGAAGCAGAACTTGTCTTTTCTGTATCTGTATCATGAGCGGTATTAAATTGTACGGTGTTTCTGATGGGCCGCCATCGCTTGCGTGCCGACAAGCCCTTAAAGCACTTGGGGTGGATTTTACCCTAGTTCCGGTTAATTTTAATATCGGCGAACATTTAACTCCAGAATATGAAAAAGTGAGTGACCTATTTCAACAACTTATTGTGTAGGATGTTGGTAAAAATTTCTTGTTTTAGTTGAATCCCCAGAAAGAAATACCTGTATTGGATGATAATGGCTTTCTGTTAAGTGAAAGGTAATTTAATCAGATGCGATGACCACTTGTGATATATTCGCAATGCAAATACATACTTTATTTAAATTTTTATTTTATAGCAACGCGATTATTCAATACCTTGCTGACAAGTATGCAAAAGACGATAAATTGTATCCCAAGGATCCGAAAGCTAGAGCTATCGTCAATCATCGGCTCTGTTTCAACTTGGCATCATATTACAAAAACATTGCCACTCATGCTGTACGTAATTACTGTATTATAACATCGTTGTTGATACTTAACTCTTGTATTTGTCTATAATTGCTTAATGTTTAATGTAGTTGGCTCCTATTTTCTACAAAGTTGAACGCACGGACTTTTCTTTGAAGATGGTCCATGTATCGTTGAAGGTTTTTAACGAGTATTTCCAACGTACTGGATACAAATATGCCGCTGCTGATCATCTTACCATTGCTGATTTTCCATTAATTACTGCTACTATGTCGCTGGAAGCAATTAAATTCGATATTTCGGGATATCCTTTGGTCGAGAAGTGGTACAGTACTTTTAAACAAGAAAATCCTGATTTGTGGGCTATTGCGGCTGAAGGTATGAAGGAACTTCACGATTTTGAATTTGTTCAGCCTCCGGATTTATCCAAACTGGATCATCCACTGTTCCCAGTTCGAAAATAAGCAAAAAACAATAAAAGCAAAGCATAATGGAAGAAATTATGTTTTTTAATCAATTATAAATGCAATTTATATACTTCTTTTATATATACACAAATATACTTAGTTCACAGAAAGGTACTTCAACACAAAATCAAAATTCCTATCTTCAATGACAGTGTTAAAATCGATTTGCAGCATGTTTTCAAATTGCAAAACTGGATATTTAGTGGTAGATCCATCGGACGTTAAAACAGCTTGAGCATAAAATACTGATGGCATCTCATCGAAGTAAATGAACACGGATCCAATCGAAAAGTGGCCGTTATAAGATGAAAACGTGTCAATTGCTTTACTTTCCATCTTTATGCCATCGAAAGTGAGCGATAGATAATTGTATTCATTGCTCTGGTAGGAAAAGCTAACAGTGTCATCCTCATAGAGCGTACCTGATGCATTATTGTTTTTTGCAAAAATGTACAGATTATATGGATCTTCCTGCATTAGCTGTGTAGAACCGCGAACGATATCTTTTCTCGGGATGATACTACCACCGCGATAGAAAACAGGCACGCTATCCATATCAACTGACCGAACATGGCTTGATGATATAACTCTGAATTCATTTTGCTCTTTGTTGGATAAGTAGAACCAAATGTCTTCTTCAGGTAGATAGACGTCTAGTTCATTGGCTCCTTCGTATAAAACAGGGGCGATGAGGATGTTGTCACCTATCATGAATTCGGTGTCGATTGCGTTGACATTTTCATCATTGGGATAGTTGTATACCAGCGGACGCATCACCGGTTGACCATAACGTTGGTGTTCATACCAGGTAGTATACCAATAAGGAAGATGGGCATACCGTTGACGAAGTGCTGTTCTAAATCGTCCTTGAATTTCTTCGGGATAGAGGAAAGGCTCGCGGTAATCTTGCTCGTTGTTGCTATGCGCGCGCATGAACGGATACCACGCACCCAGTTGATACCACCGTTGAAACAGCTCGTCTGATGGTCGTTCAATAAAGCCTCCCACATCAGCGCCACAGAAACTTATTCCTGCTAGTGCTTCACTCAAACAAATCGGGATTGAAACTCTCAGATGCTCCCAAGTGGCGATGTTATCACCGGTCCAAATAGCAGCATAGCGTTGGGTACCAGCAAAATGAGAACGCGTTAATAAGAAAGGACGCTGATGGCCTTCTTCTCGATTTACAAGTCCCTGATAGGTGCCCTTAGTTTGCATGTGACCGTACATATTGTGTACTTCTTTGTGTTGAATATTTCCGTAATGGAGGATGTCCCAAGCCATCGTTTTTTCTTCAACGTCAAAAACGGATGGTTCATTCATATCGTTCCAGATATGTACAATGGCCGTAGTGTTTGCATAAGTACTATAGCCATAAAGACTGCTCCACCAGTTTAGTGCATCCGGGTTAAAGAAATCTACATAAGAACTCAAACCAGGCCAACAGCTACCTTGATAGATAGTACCATCAGGATTCATCACATAATACCCATTTTCTCTCATCTGATCATAGACAAAATATCCATTTTCAGCTTTGATATGAGGATCGATGATTGTTACCAATCGTAAGTTTCTCTGTGAGAGCTCGTATTGCATAGCTATGGGATCTGGAAAAGCATTGTAATCCCATGTAAAGTACCTTTTACCATCTGTGTAATCAATATCTAACCACATAACGTCTAGTGGAAATTCGCCATCTTGCAAACCTTTAGCAACTCGAAGCACATCTTCCTGAGTAAGATAACTGTAGCGACTTTGATGGTACCCCATCGCAAAAAGAGGCGGCAATGGTGCGGTACCGGTCAACTTAACATAGTTGCTAACCGCAGATTTGAAATCACCACCGGGAAGAATAAACAAATCCAGGGTACCTGCTTGTGATATAAAATCAACAGTAATTGAATTATTGGAATGGTCAATATCAACGAAAGTTTGCGCCGGATTGTGCCAGAATACTCCTGAAACATGTGATTCTCCTTCAGGGCGTACTCCATGTGCGTAGAGCACTGGGACACTTCCATATAAGGATTCACGTGATTCCGTTTGGTAGTAACCGTAATCCAAATTGTAATGTCTATACGGCTCGTCATTTTTAGTATCTTTTAATTTTAAGTTATCACCGTGTTCGGGTATACCGTATGCGTTCTGCATATTCTCGAAGGTGACTTTCAATGCAAGGGAGTCTCCCACAAACATATCTCTAGCACCATTTACGTGTATGACATCATTAGTAATCAAATTTGTAGTCGTTATTGAGAAATCGGTAAAATTAACAAAGGCCTGGTGATTACCCCCAACAATGCTAATTGAATCGCAATCCACAGAACAAAAGACCTTTCCAACTACAAGATCATCCAGAAGAGCGCTTGGTATTGGTTTTATTTCGGCATTACTCTCGCGGATTCTGATTCGCACAACGTCATCATGATGAAAAGTGATGTTCAAATCATAATTTTGGTTATTTATTGAATTTACCAGAGTGCCGGAAAAACAGTTTTCTTGAAAGCTGTCATAATCAACGGTGAATTTCGAAGTACTCCTGGAGCGTAACTCTTTACAAAATGGTTCATCTTGACACACGTGCCACGCAAATGTGGTCGACAAGATGGCAGCAATCGCGAACAACACTTTAAACACACGCATCATGATGCGTCTTTAAACTATGTGGCATAACTGGAACAGAAGCTGACTTTATATAGATAATTTATAAGTGCATATTTCCTGTTATCAAAATTTAATAAGAACTTATTTTTACTCCATATCTTCATATTTTTTTTATTTCCTTCTTCCTTTCTCTCTCTCTCTCTCTCTCTCTCTCTCTCTCTCTCTTTCTTATCTCTTCTATCTTCTTTCTTCCCTTGGTATGATTGCTATAGGCTGCTTGTTTTTTCATCCAGACTTGACTGGGTAAACTATGAGCACATGCACATTCCTCTTGGTTGGTTGCGAACCGATTCCAAAATGCATTTTTATTTAATTTCATTAATTGTAACTGTAAACAGAGTTTGCACTTAAGAAAACTTGACATCTGTTGATTATTTGATCAGGTTTGCCGAAATATAATCTGAAGTGTTTGTATCATTTCCCATCGTTAGCACATCACATTACATCTTCAAGTAGTTTTATGTAACGTTGCTTCTGAGAATGAATGCCACGTGCACATTTAGCATATTTTGTAGATGTTGAAATATTATTTATTTATCTACTACATAAAATGATTTGTTCATCATAATTAATTGTATAATGACCTTGTAAACCTATTCATGTACCAATGCAAAGCACTTGAATGAATTAAACGATGATTTTTGTAGTTAATAGCAGAGGGGATACTTTGTCCGTACAAAATTTCTAGTCAGTACGAACAAGTGTTTAGAAGATTCAAGTCAATATTGTCAAAATGATTGAACTCTATGTGGTACCTGGTGGAGCACCATCTTTAGCTTGCCAACAGACCCTTAAAGCTCTCAACGTTGATTTTGCATTGAAATCAGTTAATTTTAATATCGGAGAATTTCTAACACCAGAATTTGAAAAGGTACATTATTATTCACTAAATATACTTAAAAGATCCCTAATTATTTAAAAAAAAACTTAGTTGAATCCTCAAAAGGAAGTTCCAGTTCTCAATGACAATGGATTTTTACTAAGTGAAAGGTATTTAAAAAAATATCAAAATTATTATTATTATTTTTAATATTTTCTATTCCAGCACGGCTATTATGCAATATTTAGCTGAGGAATACGCCAAGGACGATTTATTATATCCTAAAAACACAAAAACTCGAGCAATCGTCAATCATCGATTGTGTTTCAATGTATCGACATATTACAAACACATTTGTAATCACGTGGTAAAATATCAAACGACAAATTTACAATTCACATTATCTAAAAGTATGTATTTTAGATTGCGCCGATTTATTTCAAAGTAGAACGCAGTGATTTTTCACTTCAAATGGTCCATTTGGCTGTAAAAATTCTCAATGAGTATTTCCAGCGCGCCGGAACAAAATACGTCGCTGCTAACCACGTTACCATCGCTGATTTTGCATTGATCACTTCTACAATGTGTTTGGATATTGTAAATTTTGATTTGTCTAAATATTCTCACGTTCAAAAGTGGTATGAGACCTTTAAGGCCGAATATCCAAATCTTTATGCAATTGCAGTTGAAGAAATGAAAGAAATTCATGATTATGAACATGTTCAACCTCCGGATCTTTCAAAACTTCAACATCCATTCCTGCCAGTCAGGAAGTAACTAAAACAATGAGGTCATGCTGATTTATTCACATTATTCACAAATTAAATAGTTTTTTACAATGTGTACATTATAGTTGTTATCATCGCTTTCCTCAAACCGCATGTACATTTTTTGATAAGATAAGATATAGAATACATGTACATTTGTCATACTTCTAATTCACATTAAATATTTAATATCCTGTTAGCACTTGGGTGTTACCAATGCAACTTGTATTGTTTTTGTTTTAAATCTCACGAAAAATGAGTAGAAATTCAACAATGATTGCCAAGGTAGGAATCGAAATAGAAATGGAGCGCGGTGAAACGTTGGCTCGACACCTATGGACGTACGATAAACAGTCATCTATGGCTGACAATATAAAGAAAATAGTGTTACATCACAATAGTGACCAAGTGGAACCATTGGTATGTCAATTTAATTATGAAAAACATATTTCTTCATGTATAAGCTTGTTTTTAGCCAGCTAATGGACGTTATGCTTTGAAAGTTATTCCTGACGCAAAGCACCCTTCTTTAATAGAACATTTTATTACTGAATCATCTGTAGAACGTGATATACAAGATGGTATCAGCATTAGACTGGTACCAAGTGTTGCAGATACTATCAGGCGCTTGTTTGATATCAAAATGGACGAAGGTATTTTGCTACATTTATCCACAGACATTGTTTTCGTTCAAGGGATTGTGGACACTAATCGTCAAGATGTACTGATTAAATACATACAAAACGGCACGTTGTCTGATATTGGCGAGTCGGGGCCTTGAATATTCTCTTTCATATGTTAAAAAATGGCTACATACGCAATTTGGACGATGAATTCATGGTCAGAGTTGTAAATATTGCACAAGCTGGTCAAAGCACAGCAGAATTTGCACTTTCGTTACTTATTCACGTTTTGAGATCAACTAGAGATGGCCTTTCATCTAATAAATCAGTTGTGAGTTGTCTTTATTTTTCAATCGTTTGATTTTATTTCTATATTTTTTTGTTGTAAGATTTTGGAAAATTTGCAACTTTCGTTGATTATGGGCCACTTTAAGAATATAATCATCAAAAACCACGAAACGTTATATCTAAGATTGTTTAGTCTTATTAATTCGTTGATTTCATGCGCTAAAGGTGAACGTCGTAAAAACATTTTAAAGGAGCTGAATTCACCAGAAAATCATCAACTATTCTACAAATTTTTGAAAACACATACTAATATGACCAATATAATCGCAAGAGAAGTGTTTGTTTTACAAGCACGATTAATAACGTAAGTAACATGACACTGTATCACAAAAAAAAAACATTCTCTGATATTTTGGTAATTGTAGAAGTACATATTTGCAATTTTACACCAATCGTGGAACTGTAACAGCAAGTATCTTCGAAGAACCAAACAGAAACAGTAATGCTAGTGAATATGATTATTTAGACACTTCGAATAGAAATACTGTTCTGGGCGATGGTGTCTGGGTTAGTAATTTGCAAAAAGCAGAGTCCATGTGTTCCATATTAAGTCTTTCGTCGATGAATAGCAAGTCTCCAGGTTCACAACTTCTGCATAAATGCTTGGGTAAAACAATCGAATGCGATATGTTTACAATTAAATGTAAATCGAGCATATTTTGCAGAATATGGAAAAAAACACTACTGTACTTATTTTGATAGTCTTGAGAAAAGCGATTATTCCTGCGACGCTGAACTGTACACCATTTCACAGAACATTATCAGCATTTTAACTAATCTACTATGTATTGGAATACCAGTGCATGCGCATAATTATTATCTTCCGATGTTCTTTGCATCGCGGGAAATCGCAATTTCGAGTGGTATGCACACTGTGGAGTTTTTTGAAGAATTATTTGTCAAGACTTTGATGCTTTTGTTCCATACCAAAGCAGAAATGCGAGTGAAAACACCGGATGATTTCAAAAAGGTAAACATTAACTGCATTTTATTTACTCATTGTGTTTAATACCAAATAACATTACTTGTAGTTATATCAAGTGTTGAAAATACAATTAAAACTTGTTTTTGAAAAACATCCCAAAGATTTTGAAGCTTGCGATATGCATTTTTCTCTGGTAAACTACACAACTGTTCAGGAAATTCTTCAGAAGGAAAGAGACGAACGTTGGTCGAATATTTACACTAAAAATCCAGCTGTCCAAGAACTAATTCAACATTTCAACGACGAAAATTTGGAGTTAGTTACTTTGTCACGTTATAATACCCTGGAAAAAGGTTTCGTGTTCAAGAACATGACAACCAAGTCGGGTAAATACTTTTCCCTGAAACTCACAAGTGACTTTCAATCGCTTTTGTACATGGACTGTGCAAGAAACGGAACTGAAATTGGGAATGGCAGCAGAATGTGCATACCTGTAAGCACCATCAAATACCTTGTCTTGGCGGAGAAGTGTAATTTAAGGACAAGCAATTTGTACGTACATAAGTACATAAATTTTGTTTATTAAGTTAATTATAAATACTGCTATCTCTAGGGTCCCTGCAAGTCAAGTAAAAAACGTGTTCACTATTTTATACAATTTAATGGACTCCTATGAGACTGATTCGATCGATTGTTATTTCTACAGTGAAGATGCATCGAAAACACCGGCTGAGTCGCAGAAAGAAATGGAAGAACTGTGTAATGTGTGGAAGGATGGATTAAACCTTCTCCTCGGAAAAGAATACAGCCAGCAAATGCAAAATGAGTTAAATGAATTGAACGAATTCGACTGTAAAATGCAGTTAATTGAATTGCAAGATATTGAAATTCCCATGGGTCCAGCTCCTCCGCTACCAGTATTTGAATATGGCGCGTTTTAACTGACAGTCAAACATCGGGAATGATCGGTTTACAATTGAATAACATTTAAATTCATTTATTATTCTTGTTGTTTGCAATGTACGCTTAATTGTAGTTAACTAGTAGACGTGTCCGATTATAGAGTAATTGTATTCTAGTCGTAAGCGCTTCGATAACTTATTAAATACTCGTAAATATCACATTAAAGGAGAAATGTAAGCATAGTTGTGCAGAGTGGTGGGGACACGCGACCGCGAGACGCACCAAGCGCGCCAATCGTTGCCTTTCCGCCTTTTTACTCGGCTGTGTCGACGCCATCTTTGCAGTGTGCGATTTACTCAATTTATAGCGAATTGCGATTGTTGAATAAGGAATTTGCAAGTTGCTGGCGTCGCAAGTTACGACCCTGCGTCTACCTCATCTAAATTGTAAGTTTCACTAACTTATTTTATGTACTTTCAGCGTTTCATCGCGTTATAGTTAGATTCACTAGTGCACCAATTGCACTAGATGCGGATAGTGATAGTTTACACAAGCATGCTTCAACGGTTTTACGTCTAATTAAATTTGTTTGTTTTCTATAGGCCAGCACAAAAATGTCGAGATATCGCGAGTGGGACTTGACTTGCAAGGTTTATGTGGGAAACCTTGGATCTTCTGCAAGCAAGCATGAGATTGAGAGTGCCTTTAGTAAGTATGGGCCACTGAGAAATGTATGGGTGGCGCGCAACCCGCCAGGCTTTGCATTTGTTGAGTTCGAAGATCCTAGAGATGCTGAAGACGCAGTTAGAGGCGTGGATGGGACGTAAGTTGTTTTTAGTTATTTTTAATAGAGCATATTTAAACTCTGGTGGATATTTGCAGAAGATGCTGTGGAACTAGAGTACGTGTAGAGATGTCCAACGGTCGTTCACGACGTGGAGGTGGTGGAGGAGGCGGCGGAGGTGGTGGCGGTGGCGGCGGTGGAGGAGGCAGTGGTCGCCGCGGACCGCCCAGATATTCCAGGTATGAGAGCAAGCTAATCAATTTTTATAACAATATCTTTCTGTGTACTCTGCACAACTCTTCACCTAATCATGTTCTTAGTTGCTTCAGTTCATTTACATTCACATGTAGCTCTTAGTAGATAAGACTTGTTTTGTTGAAGGGGGTGATTTCATTGATACTGCTCGTCTTCGGTTCGTCGTGCTACTACGACAAACCGAAGACAGATGTGTAGTAGTTACCGATTCAATAACAATTACAAAATTGCTTCGTGTTGTAAAGTGCAATGCGAAGTTTGGTCGCGGCAGATTTGTTGTTGTGTTTCTAATGTTTGTTGCAATAACAAGCGATGATGCATTACCAAACAGTGACGAGAGCAAAGGCAGCGGTTAAATGACGTATTTTTGGCGCACATTTGCAGGACAGCACCGCTGCTGTTGTTTACTACTACTACTTCTCCCCCCGATTGAGCCCCAATCTTCCCTCCTGCCTGGCCACACATCTCATCTTTATAAAAAAACATCGAACCACCACACCACTACTGCTACAGTACAACAGTACAACATCCGCAATCGCATTCGCGGCCGGCAATCGTGTGCATCTCCCCCCGACCGGCGGCGCAACGGTTGCAACCCGTCGCCACATGCCATCTCGACTCGCCCGCCCAAATTCGGCGCCCTCGCACACCGCCCTTCTCAGTACAGAAAACGCAAGCGTCGCCTCAGCCGCCTCTATTAACCAACCAACCATCCGACAATCAATTCAATCGCAATGCGCACACGATGGATCGACTCGTCGCTCAGCACGACTCGATTCATTTTTGGTACAAATCATTGGGGTTGGTAAATCAGAAACAACGCGGCATGCAAGTCGAGAGCGAATGTGCGAGTGCAAGAGCTGAATGACTGATCTCTAGAGAAAGAGAGTAAAAACACACTTTAAATTAAATCACAGTGTTCAATAATAATTTAAACTAATTAATCCGCATAGAAAACGAGTGAACCGCAATCGAGTTCATTCCTCTTTTGTTTTCGTTTATGTTTTTTTGTCAACACTCGCCGGGCAATTCAAATTTCGAACATATTTGAGTATGGTAATCGATTTGAATCGTCAGCCTGTGTTACCGCATCGTCAGCAGGTGCTTCCACTTGACGCGCAATCGTTTTTGTTCGTAGGTCTCGTTCGCCGCGACGCTCCCGCTCGAGGTCACCGAGGTCACGCAGTCGCGACCGCCGCAGCCGGTCCGACTCCAGGGATCGTCGTTAAAAATGCCTGCCGAAGACGGCACGTATCTTTTATCACACGTCCACGCATACATGCATACACCCTAAAACACTTACACATATATCTCATTTGATCAACCACTCTACTGCAGCGAACAGAAAACTGATTCAATGACGGCATTATTTCAGACTTTAACATTATATAATTTTTATTTCGAGTGTTTCTTGAGATGCAAAACATTTGTATTACCGTGTCTTATTGTTAAATAGGGATATAGATTTTAGTTATTACGCAAGGATGAGAAGAAGAAAAATAATAATTGTAGCGATTTAGGAGGCGAGTCAAACGAAGAAGTAGACCATGCGAGGTTGAAGTCGAAGCTAACGAATAGCAGGTATTCATTTACTGATTGATAATAAGTCAAGAGAGAGAGAGAGTTGCAAAAACTAGCATTGATTTTTGAAGTGAAATTTATGTACGATATGATTTCGTTTTATTACTTTACACATTTGATAGTCGACAAAATGGAGGATTTTTAAATAAAATACAAATTACGTACAAAGCAATCCTACATTCGTACCACTTGCGAGTTAAACCCCGAAACATTGACCTGACCTTCCCATATCATACGAGTCTCCGCCACCCGCGTGTTTACGGGCGATGGAGGCGGCAAATCGCGTGTATTCCTCAGTCTGCCGCCAACCACACGCGATCCATGACGCGTCCGCACACTCTTGTCCGATTTCACAAGCTTACAATGAAAATGTAACAATACGAAGAAAATTCAATTTTAACTTCAAAATAAATAGCTAAAAGCAATGCCATTTTGGGAATATTTCCAAAAACCACCGCCGCGACAGCGCAACCTACAGGAGGGACTCTTCCAAATCGCGTCGCAGACGTGCAGCCTGCTCGTGCAGGTGAACAACACGAATAATATCACATTCGGCGCCAACGCGTCGAATATTAACTGCAATAATATTCACAATGGTACAACCGTGGATGTGGAGGATATCGCGAAGGCTGCAACGAGTGGATTCTCTAATGGGAGTTTCACCAGCAAACAACAGCAGGATTCGGAACAGTTGGTTGTACTCTTGCCGCACAAGAATCGTCTGCATCGACAGGGGTCGACATTAAAGAAACCACGTTTATCGGTAAGTATAGGTAAAATAAAATATCAGACCTTGATAAGGTAATGAATTAAGAGTAGATATTGGAAAAGTAAGTTATGCATAATATTACGAATTGATTTTGGTAGCAATATTGATTACGTGAAAACATTTTTTAAATCTGAAAACTACAAAATTAATAATTGTGTTGTGTTTTATGTAAACATTTTTTGAGTGTCTTGTCCAAATTGGTTTTTAACGGATCGTCGATGAGTAATAATGACTGTACTCAGGGAAATTAATTATTCATTTGTAATATATTAATAAGTATTACTTTAATGTGTACTCGTAGAACAATACCCATGGTCCTCATTAGTTTGCCTAAAAAATAAATTCATGTAACCTTCTTCCATTTAATATCGAAAAATTATAATTGGAATTAATTCAATTAAAGGTAATGGTTCAGAAAATACTCGTTAGCTTAAGTACGGAATATATATGAGAGTTTGCTTTAAACCCGTTGCACATATGTGGCAGTTCCTGATTAAAAAGGAGGGCAATCATTTCCTACGCGCGAACCGAATCGAAGACCAAAAAAGAAAGAAGGGAACTTAGAGACCTGCGACTGTTCTGTTTAACCTCTCAAGCTCGACAGTGCTCTGTGCTCGCTAGGGGGTATCCTTTTGTACTTTCGGGTTACCCGCAAAAAATAGTGGGAGAAGGGGACAGTGAAGTTGAGTCACCTGGGCAGACGTGTTTAGCGGGTGTGTCACCTTGTTCTCATTCCATTGCATACGGAGTCTTAAGGGATTTCTAATGAATATTAAATATTACTAGGTAAACATTTATGTTATCATTCAAATTGAGTTGTAATCAATAATGGACAGACATTTGAAACTGCAACGCTGGCAAAACATGCTCAAGAAAATTAAAATCTGTAATACAACACTATATTAGATCCAAAAATGGACGTATGTGAATTAAGTGGTTTCATTAACAAACTAAAAATTAATTTCTATAGCAAATGGTATACAAAATGCCTCCTATAACACATTACCGTAGCAAATGGTATACATCATGCCTCGTATAACCTGAAACTTATAATGAATTGATTGTATCTTGTGTGGTATGGGTGTTCCAATTGATCGATGAAGGAATACTGCGAAACCGAAGTTTGTTTATCAAAGTATTCATACGAGCCATTATATTATGCGTTCAGTGGAAACAACAGAACCACACGTCTCGTAAAAGTTATTCTCTAGTTTTGTAATTCAATCATAATGCAACTAAGCTTAAACTTGCAACATGCACGAAAGTATCTTATAAGACGATTATTCCAATTCATCATTTTGGATAATTTCTATCACTTTCGTTTTTCGTCAGGTTTGTTTTGTTATCAGTGATCACTGCCACAATCAAATATTTTCGTAGAAAGTATAAATAATTTATCTCGCAAGGTACCTACTTGTATTATGAATTGAAATCGCAAGACTATGATATGCAAATGACATAGCTCCTATAACAATACCCATTATATTCACATTTGTAGGTCTTGAACCAATTGGGACAACATTGTGTTGTGATACTACAATTATTTATTTACAATTTTGGTAATATATTGACGTAAATTCTTAAAATTTAATTTATTATGTTTAGCTCAACCATACAAAACTTTGCTTATACTGAAGCTAGACAAGAAAAATAGTATGTTTATCAATTACGATTGAAAATTAAATAAATATTTATTGATCTAATTGATTTCTTCTGATTGGAAATTTCCATAATATTGAAATGAAATTAATTCATCCGAATTATTTACGTAGTTTACCATTGATAGGTAAACAACATCACAATGGAGTACGCAAATTTAAATATCTAAAAAAGAAATGAATTTTATTAAAATTAACGTGTAGGAAATTCAAAGACGAAATATTTTCAAGTTACATACAGAATAAACAAGCACGTTGGCTGACAACAAAAATTGATTTGTAGAGCTTAAGTTCATAAACATCAGAAATTTGACAGTTTTAACATCTCCATCCCATGGGCACTCATAAAATGCGGTGTTACGTATTTTTTCATTCTAAAACAAATGCTAAAATATCTTACATCTATCAAACACATTTCTAAAACATTATTTTACCAGACTTTTTAACTTTTCCCCGGCAATACCCATAATATCACAACCAATAACATAAACACTTAAATGTCCAATTGAAAGTACCTAGTTCAAATTGCTGCAAAATATTATGATCACGTGAAATGAAGAAATAGTACTATGTTTATATCGATTTACAATTAACTCTGTAATCAGAATCAATGATATTTCAAGCCCACAAATAACAACAAACATTACCAGTGGATTACCACAGATTTTCAGTGTAAATGTCCAAAGCCTATAATTAACTTACATTTTATGTAGTTCTTATATGTATCATTCTTCATACCTGAACATATACATATGTTGCTGATGCGCTGTAATTAATTTACGACGTCGCATTGTTTTAATCGATGAGCGTCTGGCATCTTGTAGAGTCAATTTAAATACATCAAAAGTTAGTTCCAAGTTTTCCAATTCAATGTGTAATATTACTACAGCTGATAGTACACATATCGCTTCATATATTATAAAACTTATTATGAATATATTGTAGATTGTGCGATAAGGGCGTTCAATTTTATCGATGAAAAAATACTGCTGACCAAAACATAAAATATTGCAAATAAGAATGTTTTATAATAATATTATTATACATACACTTGGTACAATGTATCTACATGAATCTTTAGAATTCCCATCGCAGTTTTGCAATTCAATAGTAACTAGTGCAGTTGTACATACAGTACCAACGTAAGCCAGAATAAATTGTTGATGACAATTGTGACCATGAAGTATTTCCAAGTATTTTATTTTTGAAAACTGAAGATATGGATTAGAATCAATCATATTGTACATTTTATGTATTTGTTTCTCCTTTGTTTTTATAGTATAGACAATAAAGGTACAAAATGTTGCAGATAAAAGCATTCCAAGATTAAGCGACGCATCTGCAAACGAATCACCGCGTGTATACTGCTTAATTAGGTAACCAACGTTGCCACAATAAAATGCTGTTATACACAATATAAAGATGCTATCTCGGAGTGTATTTTTTCAAAAATTAATGTTTTTAATATTACTAATATTGCAAGATTTTGCATAGCAATAGATAAATCTCTTACGTCGGTTTTTGACATTTTGTTGTTAAGGGTAGCAGGTTTAAGAATAGAATGCCACAGTGACTCGATATTTGATTGATTTTTGATTAGAACTTAATTTCTGCTATAGTCTTTACAAAGTTTGGTAACATTATTAATTTATGTTTTATAAACTACAAGAAGATATCATAAATAGATTAGAAACTCGTTAGTCTAATTATATTAGATAAAGAAACATACTATGGAAAGCAATTAATCGAAGCTTTTGTTTTATTTATGTGCGATATGGGTGATCCAGCAAATTAAAAAAGAAGTACTGTAAGAAAGGTAGTCATCAAATACAATAATTCAAGTTTGATTATTCGATTTCATGGCACTTTTGCAATTCAATAATAATAAGCGCAATGGTACTTTCATTTCCAATGTACAAAATAACTAATGAGGATGACTTCTCCAATCAGATTGTTGAATTGACGTAACTTACACTCCCGGAGGAAAATGCAATGAGACCAAACATAAAAAAAATTATCACGCAATCTATCTTGGTTGAAGAGTAAAACTGCAAGACTTTGACCATGCAAGTAGCGTAGCCGGTATGTTGCTTACCTTCAATTGGCGATCTTTGCGCGTTGTCAGTGTCAGCAGCGTACCGTCGCCTGTGAATATATTCAAGCAATGCCCCTTATATTCTCATTTGTGGGCCTTGCACAATTTGATACAACATTGTGTTGTAATACTACAATTATTCATTTACTATTTTGGTAATATATTCACTTGTAATTTTTTATAATATAATTTCTTTTAAAATAAAATTACGTATGGCTAAATCATATAAAGTTTTATCTTCTTCGTTGAATTGAATGTTATGTTTATACTGAAGCCATAACAACAAAAACATTGTATTTATATCAACTACGATAAAAAAAAACTAAATATTTATTTAAGTTTTCATGTAGGCGATTTTTGCATAATATTGAAATAAAATAAATCCATTCAAATTATTTACGAAGTTTACCATTGATAAACAACATCACAATGGAATATGCAAATTTAAGTATCTAATAAAGAAATGAATTCTATTAAAATTAATATGTACGAAATTTAAAGATAAAATATCTTCAAGTTACATACAGAATAAACAAGTACGTTGGAGTATACAGTGACACTATTGGCAGACAACAAAAATTGATTTGTAGAGCTTAAGTTCATAAACATCAAGAATTTGGCAGTCTTAATATCTCCATCCCACGGGCACTCATAAAATGTGGTGTCACGTATTTTTTCATTCTAAAACAAATGCTAAAATATCATACATCTATAACAGTATATTAAGTATAAACATTGTTAAACACTATATCGCCCGTTTAGCCACGTGATGCTTACGCTATTTTTTCTACTTCTACTCTATTTCCACGTTGAGATTTTTCTATTTTAACTTTTGTATTTTAAATCTTCAAAATTTGCTTTAAACACGAGTAGTAGCAGCGCATACATTGATTTTGACGTGAGCTAATAGTAAAGTACTTTACTCACGGCGTGTTTAAAGTACCACTTTTTGTGCCACAAAATCGAGGAAAAACTATATTTCTTTAAAGGTGGAAGTAGAAAAAACAAATTTTTAAAACATTATTTTACCAGACTTTTTAACTTTTCGCCAACAATACCCATAATGACACAACCAATAACATAAACACTTAAATGTCCAATTGAAAGTAGTTCAAATTGCTGCAAAATATTATGATTACGTGAAATGAAGAAATAGTACAACGTTTATATTGATTTACAATTAACTCTGTAATCAGAATCAACGCTATTTCCACTCCACTAATTACAACAAACATTAACAGTGGAGAACCATAGATTTTCAGTGTACATGTCCAAAGCCTGTAATTAACTCACGTTTTATGTATTCCTTAGGTATATCATTTTATATACCTGAACATATACATATGTTGCTGGTGTGCTGTAATCAATTTACGATGTCGCATTGTTTTAATGATTGAGCGTCGGGCTTCTTGTAGAGTCAATTTAAATACATCAAAAGTTAGTTCCAAGTATTCCAATTCAGTGTGTAATATGACTATAGCTGATAGTACACATATCGCTTCATATATTATAAAACATATTATGAATACATTGTAGATTGTGCGATAAGGGCGTTCAATTTCATCGATGAAAAAATACTGTTGGCCAAAACATAAAATATTGCAAATAGAAATGTTTTATAATAATAATATTATTCATACACTCGGTACAATATATCCGCATGAGTCTTTAGAATTCCCATCGCACTTTTGCAATTCAATAATAAATAGTGCAGTTGTACACACAGTACAAACGTACGCCAAAATAAATTGTTGAAGGCAATTGTGACAATCAAGTATTTCCAAGTATTTTATTCTTGAAAACTGAAGATATGGATTGGAATTAATCATATTGTACATTTGTTGCATTTGTTTCTCCTTTGTTTTTAAAGTGTAGATAATAAAGGTACAAAATGTTGCAGATAAAAGCATTCCAAGATTAAGCGATGCATCTGCAAACGAATCACCGCGTATGTACTGCTTAATTAAGTAACCAATATTACCACAATAAAATGCTATTACACAAATTATAAAGATGGTATCTCGGAGTGTATTTTTATCAAAAACTAATATTGCAAGATTTTGAATGGCAATAGATAAATTTCTGATGTCGGTTTTTGACATTCTGCTGTTAAAGGTAGCAGGTTTAAGACTCGAATGCCACAGTCACTTGATATTTGATTGATTTTTTATTAGAACTTAATTTCCATTATAGCCATATAGCAAAATTTGGTTTCATTATTTATTTATGTTTTATGGAATAGAATAAGATATCATAAATAGATTAGAATCTCGTTAGTCTAATTATATTAAAAAAGTGTAATAAAATCAAGCATTATATTTATGTTGCATTTGTTTATTTATGTGAGATAGTGGCTATCCATTTCATCAAAAAAGAAGTACTTAATTGCCCTCAGGGGGCCCCTCAGGACGAAACATGTTAACGCAACATATAAAATTGTAAAATCCAATAAAATCACGTAGAACTTGATAAATAAATATTTAAAAATATATACAATGGATTACGTATTCACAAATGAAAGTAATAAAAAAAAGAAGTACTTAAGAATGACTGTCATCAAATACAAAAATGTATGTTTCATTATTCATACATTAGGTGCACTTTAGAAATAATATTCAGCGCATTAGTGCTTACACTTCCAATGAACAAACTAGTAAATCTCTGAAGGCGATTTCTCCTATCAATCAGGTTGTAGAATTTTTTTCTGATTAAACCAATATACACATCCACATTGATCAAGTGGAGCGCTTGCAAAGCTTTCGTTTTGAGTCGTTTTGCAGTATAGACACTATACTTCTAGGTACAATATGTTGCGGATACAAGTATTCCAAACCTAAATGAAGCATCTGCACATGTATCATCTCGATTAAATTGGTGGATGACGTAACCCATACGGAATAAAATGCAATGAGACCAAATATAAAAAGTATATCGCACAATCAATTTGGGTTGAAAAGTAAAACTGCAAGACTGACTATGCAGGTGGCATAGCCGGTGTATTGCTTGCCTTCAATTAGTGATCTTTGCGCGATGTCAGTGTCAGTAGCGTACCGTCGCCTGTGAATGTATTCAATCAATACTCCTATCATTCATATTTGTGGGCCTTGCACAATTTGGGACAACATTGTGTTGTAATAATACAATTATGTATTTACTGTTTTGGTGATATAGTTTTGAATATTATAATTATTTGTTATAAAATGTACTTAATTATAATTGTTTAATTATAATTAAATATTATTGAAAATAATTTGAATTTTATGTGTAAATTCTTATCATTTAATTTTTCCTAAAAATAATTTTGCGTTTAACTAAACTACTCAAAATTTTGTTTACACTTAAGCGATGTCAAGAAAACATGTTTTTATTATTATATATTATTATTAACTATAGTTCTTCAGTTTGGAGATTCAAATTATTTTTATTGTTTATCATTGATAAACAACATCCCTATTGAATGCGCAACTTTAAATATCTAATAAAGGAATGAATTCTATTAAAATTAATTTGTAGGAAATTGAAAGAAATAAAATAGCTTTTAGTTACATACACCGAATATTAGCACGTTGGATTATACCGCAACACTATTTAGCAGGCAACAAAAATTGATTTGTAAAGCTTAAGTTCATAAACATCAGGAACTTGGAAGTTTTGACATTTCCATCTCATGGGCACTCATAAAATGCAGTGTCACGAAGTTTTTCATTCTAATACAAATGCTAAAATATCACTCATCTATTATTTAAAAAAACATATTTTTAGAAATTACTTTTACAAGACTTGTTGGCAATTTTTTGTCAATAATACCCATAAAATATAGCCAAATAACATAAAGAGTTCGATATCCAAAGGAAAGGTGTTCAAATTGCTGCAAAATATTATGATCACGTGAAATGAAGAAATAGTACTATATTTATATTGATTTAAAATTTATTTTGTAATTAGCTTCAATGCAATTTCAAATCTACTAATCTATTAATAATAACTAACATTGCAAGTGAGGAACCTGTAATTGCCTGTAATTAACTTACAAAAAAATATTATTTACGTAGTAATTAAGTATGTTATTATACATACCTGAACATATAAGTGCATATGTTGTTGACATGCTGTAATCAATTTACGATATCGAATCAAAAGTTAATTCCAAGTTTTTTTCTGTTCAGATAGCTAGATATATTATTAAACGTATAATGAATATATTGTAGATTGTGAGATATGATCCGTTTATAAAATGTGATGGTTTTATTATATATTAATGTTTGATGGAATATTACAAAAATATGTCTTGATACAAATTTGTTAGTTCAATTGTATTTAAAAAAAAAGAAACATACGAGTATTTACCATTTCTTGTTTTATTTTACCACCTTCTAGTTATTTTTTTTTGTTTATGTTGCCCTCCATTAATGTACAGCATAACCACCGAATAGGCGAATTTAAACAACTAATCAAAATATAATAATTAATGATTTATAATTTTAAAATTATGTTCAAGATACATATACATACGGAATAAACCAGAGCGTTGGAGTATACTGCAAACCTACCAACCCAAAGCAAGAATCCATTTCTCGAGTTTAAATTCATAAACATTAGAAATTTGGCAGTTTTAACATCGCCATCCCAAGGGCAAGCATAAAACGTACTGTTAAGTAATTTTTCATTCTAAAATAAGTTTTAAAATATATACAAATCAAGAAAAAAATGCTTTCAATTCAACCTACTAGGCTTTTTGTTTTTTCTGCAATTGTACCAAGTACACTAGTGGCGATAATGTAGAGACTGAGATGTCCTAACGATAATAAATTGAATTGCTAAAGAATCACAAAATTAATGATAAAACAAAAATAAGCAATTTTTTTTACAATCAACTCCGTTATTAGAATCAAACCCATATTCAGTCCACTTATTACAACAAATCCTAAAAGAGGCAATTGAAATATTTCTGTTGTATGCGTCCATATTCTGTCAAATAAAATCATAAAATATAATAATGAAGTAACAAATATCCTATGATTTTACCGTAACATATATAATTGTTGTTGATGTGCTGTTACCAATAGATTACGACGAATTGGTCTAAATGGTGTGTATTTAGCTTGTTTTAGAGTAAGCCTGAACAAATCAACTGATATTTCTAAGTAATCCAAGACAGATTTCAATAATACAAGGCCAGGAAATATACAATTGGCTTCATATACTATAAAACTTATAGAGACTACATTCAAGATTGTGCGATATGGGCGCTCCAGTTTATCAATAAAGAAGTACTAAAAGAAAGGCCGTCATTAAATACAATAATTTATGTTTGTTTATTCTTACACTAGGTACAATATAACCACACGTGTCTTCAGAGTTCACATCGCAGTTTTGCAATTCAATAATAATGAACGCAATGACGCTTACACTTCCAGTATACAAAATAAAGAATCTCTGAAGATGATTTTCTGAATCAATCAGGTCGTTGAATTTTTTTCTGAGTAAAGCAATATATACATCAGTATCGATCAAGGCGACCGCATGCAGAATTTTCTTTTCCGTTTGTTTTGCAATATAGACATTACAGGTACAAAATGTTGCGGATACAAGCATGCCAAGACTAAGTAAAGTATCTGCAAATGTATCACCTCGATTAAATTGCTTGACGAGATAACCCACACTTCCTGTATAAAATACAATGAGACCAAACATAAAAAGTATATCACGTAATCTATTTTGGTTATACAGTAAAACTACAAGGCTTTGTAATGCAAGTGAGAAAGTCATCTCTCCGTTGATTTTCATTTTGAATTACATGTAAGCACTGTAAAGCAGCAGGAAGGACTAAAACTGACCGTGACTACGGTAGTCATAATTTATTTCGATGATTTGGTACACATTAGAAAACCATTTTCTAATGTTTAATTTTTGTTTAATATCTTCGTAGTATTCATATCTTCGTAACATTTAATATAAAGTTCTAAACAAATATAATAAGCATTAGGTAGTTCATTAGGGTGCAATGTTTATATAATGAAACAAGTAAGTTTAATATTTTTCTACTTCCACCGTTAAAGCTCCAGCTTTTCCACGGTTTCGAGACCTAAAAAGGCCGTGACTAAAGTAGTACTTTACGGCATTAATAACCTAACATTTTCCAGTAGTGTGCAAGCGAATTTCGAAGATTTAAAATACAAAAGTTCAAATACAAAAACCACAAAGTTGAAATAGATTGGAAGTAGAAAATAAAGTGTAAGTATCACGTGGCTAAACGTAGTTAAACAAAACCTCCCGTTTAGCTACTTGATACTTAATATACTATCATCTACTTCCACCTCTAAAGCGCTAATTTATTTCCACGGTTTTGTAACCCAAAGTTAGCATTTTAGTCATGTACGAGTCATGGTCTCGTACGACCAAAATATTGACCAAACCAACCAAATTGACCAAAAGTAATTTAGTACAATTTATTATCGAATAATAATTAAACGCTTGCTACGCTTGCGCATCGTGTAATCGTATAGCTCACTTGGTAGCCTACTTATTGTACTATCTCCACTTCTACCTTTAAAGCACCTCCTTTCCCGCGGTATTGTAACCCGAAAAGTGACACTTTAGTAATGAACGCCGTGACTAAAGTACTAAAGCTTACGGTGCAGTACAAGGCTTTAAACTATGAGTTATGAGTCAAATCTATCTCATCGAAGCTTTAAATAACAAAAGTTTAAATACAAAAACCTAAACGTAGAAATAGAGTAGAAGTAGCAAACATCGTCGTTAAACAACTCGTCGATAAAAACGAGATTGATTCAGACCAAGCTTAGCAAGCGTTTAATCAATTGAGTGTTTAACAACGTTTATATTACAAATTACTATTGCTGTTAAATTGAGAATTAAATAAGCACTATTTTGATAGAGCAAGTTTACAAAGCTTTGTTTCGAAAATAATGTTTGTTAAACAAACTTTTCTATGTTGTAAAAGAAATTGATCTATGTTGGCTGTTTTTCTATTATAACACATTATAAAAAGCTAATTTATGGCATAAATATTTTCAAAAGGTGGCGTGTAATGCGAGCAACACACCTATAACTATCGCTGGAACATAAACACTAAACACCTACGTGGTCCAAACACGCATTAATACTAAAAATACACAAATTTGATTGAAATCTTCAAGTTGCGTACTTAATAACTCGAAATTAACTCATTTTGAATTGTGATCGATTCAAACACGTGCATGACATCATCCTTTTCTTCTAGAATGTAATTCTGCGTAATTCTGGGTCAATTTATTTACGGCATAGCAATTTTTCACAATGTTTACAATGTTTTTCACATTAGTACTTACTTTACCTTCACGCGTCCTTAACGACTTTCCAAGTAAATGTTTGATAAAGAAAAGAATGACCCAATAAAGAAAACGTTATTATTCACTAGATAGTCATCATTCGTTTGTTTACGACGTGGTGTTTTCGAAGGCAAGCAAAAAGGTCGTCTATCATCGTTTGGATTTAATGATTTGATGCGGTGTCATTTGTGGGTGACAGTTCTTCTAAATTCTGTTATTATGCAGTCGAAAAATACGTTTTGGGTGAAATATTTACACATAATTCAGTCTTGTGTCATGGCAGAGCTTGGTACGGATTTGAGCTTTTATGTTTTTATGTTTTCCCATCCTGCCATGATTTGGAATATTAAATAGCGTCCTTCAGCAGCGGTAAAGCCCAATGAATAATTTGCTTCTATAAATGTGGTGGAATTATTACGAATGACCTTTTCAAACAACGCACAAACATAAAAGAAGTTGTTACACATCTTACGTTCTACGAACGTAATTGAATTTTCTTCGGAATTTATACAAACGCGTATAATTATTATATTCTTCATGAATGATGAGTTACGTGCAGTAACGCGCTTTTGTTATAGTTGTTTCAGGCTGAGTCAGTGTTCTGTTATTTCTATTTTTATACAATATTCCAATTTACACGTAAAGCATCGATCGGTCTTTTAAAAGTGACGTGCATCATAAACCACAGACACAGACGCACACATAAATCTGATTGCGGCATTGTGGGCGTTTGCTTTTACGAGAATTGACCTAAAACGGCTGAAAATCCATCTGTAAATCCAATATATCGCAATCTGACACACTTTCAATTACAGTAAAACCTCTGAAACACCTTTAAGTTACCACGGTACAAGTACAAGAAAACAAATATTCTTCAGTCCCAGGCATTTCTAAGTAGTTTTACGATGAGATTATCGAACGCAAAGAAATAACACCAGCATAAAACTCAAAGCAATCAAGCAAATTGAATAAAATTGACTGGATTTCTATGAAGTATTCTCTTGTTGATCGCAATATGGGTCAAAATTGATTTTAACCGATGTAGGGGTATTTGAGCATCGATTTTGTTCACGGTGTAGTCTGTTGAAATACGGGAATGATTTTTAATTTCACAAACTGCCGAAATTCCGATGCGCTTAAATTATGCATGAATTCTAATGGACGATAATATTTGCTCCCGACGCCAACGATAAATCAATTATTCAGGGAGTCTACCTCACCAGTCAGGTCGTGTGGCAGACGGCTCTGCTTGCGCTACTTTTGTTTAGGACGCTTGGGAAATTTGGGAAACTGTGGGAATGTGGAAACCATTTTCATCCTAAATAAGAAATTCAATGCCACCAAAGTTGTGGCTTTGTGGGATATTTTGGCATTGAGTGACGTGATCGTTTGTTATAAATGTTAATTATGTAGAATGTAACGTGGCAAAATCGATACACGCTCTTGCCATACAAAAACAATTTATTTTTTTACGATAACAAAAAGTTTGAATGGTGAAGGGTGTGGTATGTACGATAAAGTCTATTATTTTTTGAATACCAACTCTGATTGTAGGCATAATATGATAGGCATATAGTATGTGAAAATTGCAGTTTCTTTACGTTTTGTATTCTTTTAAGAAAATACTTTTTGATAACTCTTAAAACTTGTGTGACACTATTTATTCAAAATATAGTTTTATTATAGGCAACTTTAGTTACGTTATGTTGTACGCAAGCGCAGATATTTTCCTTCCAGTTTCTTCGTTTAAACATTTTCATTATTTAAACTTATAATTTACACAGTGTTTATGATCGTAACATTAACACTGTATTTTATTTTGTTATTTATCACACATATTTTATATCACATATTTATCACATTTATTTCTCGGAAAAGATATGAATTTGTCTGATTAGTGCAGGATGTTAGTGGGGGTAACCTGATATTTTGTACCGCTGTTGTTTTGTTTCGTTTTTGTATTCGTTACACTGCACCTTGAGCAAAAACTGCAACGTATATAAAACTAAAATGGTTGGTAATGCAACACAATGAAAATTAAAACGCCATTAACGAAAGATACTAGTGTATGTATTGCTTTTAAATCCTATTCTATATTTACCAAGTTACTCATCTGTTATTTAATATTTGGCAATCTCTTTTATTTTGCAGACTGTGCTAGAAGCACCAACTTTATCAAATGATGAAGAGGGTGAATTGTGGCATCATGGATATGTCATACCTTCTGACCATGATAGTAGCCCTAGTAGAAGGTATTTATAAAATGCACCAATTAAAAATATTTATTAATTCTTGTATTTTTTTAAGATGGGGAAGCAAGAATGGATGGTGTCGACCTTCATGCATACCCATTTCAGTAATATTAATCCTGATCTTCCTAGTAGTTCTATTACCTGTGTTGGATCAAGCAACTGAGAAGGCTCTTCAGAAGCTTAACAATAGACACAATGCAAATCCAAGCAATATATGCAGGTAAATATTTTAATAAAGAAAGAATTTTTTTTCAATTTTTAGTATTATGTGTTCTAATTCTATAAAACTTGTTTAGTGTGAAGTTAGTGGAAAGCATACCAGAAGGACTAATTTATCCAAATGAAAGCATAAGAAATGGTAGAACTTATGATTCATGGATGGAATTGATTGACTCAGCTGAACAGACTATAGAAATTGCATCATTTTACTGGACTTTGAGACAGGCAGATGTGTATCCTGATCCATCATCAAAATTGGTAATATAAAATAAACTAAATCCCAACATTTTTCTAAATATTGATTATGCTATAAAGGGTCAAGATGTTTTTGACGCCCTGCTGAAAGTTAGTGACCGAGGTGTAAAAGTAAGAATTGCTCAGAATGCACCGACGAGGGAAAATCCCAATACAGATACGGAAATCCTAAGCAAACGTAAAGCAGCCGAAGTACGCAATTTAAACTTTAATAAACTACTTGGTGCTGGCGTGCTGCACACAAAGTTTTGGATTGTTGATGGAAAACATTTTTATATCGGAAGCGCAAATATGGATTGGCGTGCACTCACCCAAGTAAATATAAAGTATTTATTTTGTTACACAATATTAAAAAGATTATACTTGTTTAGGTGAAAGAAATGGGAATGCATGCAGTTAACTGCACATCAATGGCTGAAGATTTATCGAAAGTTTTTAATGTGTATTGGAGTCTAGGCGTCCCCAATGCAGTTATTCCTGCTAAATGGCCTAAAGATTATGAAACTTCAATTAATATTGAACATCCTATCAATTTGACTCTTAACGACGACATCTTCCAATCGTACATCTCCAGTTCGCCTCCACAATTTTCACCCGAAGGTCGTGCGGAAGATATCGACGCGATTGTTAATACAATTCGACACGCTGAGAAATTTATATACATTTCGGTGATGGACTACTTCCCACTCATGATCTACACGCCGAAGATTAAATTGTGGCCGGTGATTGACAATGCGTTGCGTGCTGCTGCTGTTGACAACAAAGTCGAGGTACGACTGTTGATAAGTTGGTGGAATCATTCGAGACCATCAGAGGACTACTTTCTTAAGTCTTTATCAGCGATTACTGATGCCTATCCAAAGGTAACGGTGTCTGTGGTACGTAAAATAAAATATATAAACATAAAAATTGATTTCAAACATAAATTATTTGTTACAGCGTCGATTTATTGTACCAGCTAACAGCGACCAGCAAAAAATTCCGTTTGCGCGTGTGAATCATAATAAATATATGGTGACTGATAATACGGCGTATATTGGCACATCGAACTGGTCGGGTGATTACTTCACAAACACTGCGGGTGTTGCTTTCGTAGTGCATGATCCAGTATATAATCGCAACGCTACCGAGAGTACGATTCGCAGTGAGCTCCAGGCAGTGTTCGAGCGTGATTGGAATTCTAATTATTCGCATACAATCGATCAAACAGATTTATTTCTGCACTAATTTTGTATTGCACCTGATAAAAGCGATAAAATTTTCGCACAAATGTGTTATCTTTATTAGGTTTATATTACATACTTTACAGCTGGTTTTATCAATTATTTGCTTAGAATCAAATATTATTTTTAAAGGATTTATATTTACAAATGGCGTGGTTTTTGCTCTGATGTAATGAATGTAGGTAGCACAGGTAGGGTGATCATAAAAAGATCTTTATGATGCGACGAATGCCATTAGAAATGTTATACAGGTATTACTTTATTACGATAAGCGGTAAGTGCATAATCTATGGTACTAATTTCTACATTTTTATCAACTTTTTTAGCAGGGAATGTTTTCTAGGGGAATTTGGTAGCGACTAAGTTAACGTTTGCAACCTGCAACACACGATTTAACGTGTTCAGCGCGCTGACCGGCTGTCCCGGCGTTTGTTGACAACAAGTTTTCCTTCTCAACGACATTTATTCTTATATAGATTTTTCCTCAATCGACCGCAAGCTGTGAAGTTCAACGCACACAAAATGTTGCAACTCACCAAAGACAACATGCTTTATGGCATTCTGGTTTTTCTCTGGACTGAATACCTTTGGGAAATATATTTGGCTATCAGACAGGTATATATTTACTTAAATCCTGCTAATCATCTAACACAGTTAATAATTTATTTCTTACCTAGTTCAAAAAGGCAAGGAAAACCAAGGAAATTCCCGGGTCACTAACGAACATCATGACCAAAGACACTTATGATAAGGCACGCCGTTATTCCATTGATAAGATAAAGTTTGGATTTGTGAAAGACACATTTTCCATTATGCTAACTTCTGTTGTGATATACAAAGGTTACCTTGCTGATGTCTGGTACTTTGTGGAAGATATGAACTTGAAAATTGAAGGCGAAGTTGCAGCCAGCTGCATGTGGTTATGTCTAATCAACACAATTCAAACTGTATTTGATCTGCCATTAACTATATATTACACATTTGTCCTTGAGGAAAATTATGGATTCAACAAACAAACTGCCACATTCTTTGCATGGGATCGCGTCAAGTCCTACATCTTGGGACAAGTATTAATGCAGCCTATCTCTGCAATGGTCATTGTCATAATCAAATATGGTGGTGAATACTTTTTCTTCTGGTTGTGGTTAGCAATGGGAGTCATTACTCTACTCTTGATGACAATTTATCCAACTGTGATTGCGCCACTATTTGACAAATATCGCCCGCTTGAAGAAGGAGAATTACGCACACAGATTGAAGCGCTTGCAGCCAGCCTGAAATTTCCGCTCACAAAACTTTACGTTGTTGAAGGTTCAAAACGTTCGTCACATAGCAATGCATATTTTTATGGATTCTTCAATAACAAACGTATCGTTCTGTTTGACACCCTTTTCGCCAATCCTCAAGCCGGCGGATGCAGCAACGAAGAAATATTAGCCGTATTGTCGCATGAAATGGGACACTGGCAGTACAATCACATCGGCAAGAATCTACTTATGATTCAAGTGAACTTATTCCTTATGTTCCTTGCATTTTCGCTTATTTTCAAGTCACCGCTCATCTATCAATGCATCGGATTCCGTGCTGGACTTCAACCGGTGATTGTCGGGTTGATCGTGACGATTCAGATTGTTATGTTGCCGTATAATGCGCTTATATCGTTCTGTATGACTTGTTTATCGCGGCGGTTTGAGTTCCAAGCGGATAGCTTTGCAGACAATTTGGGTAGGGGTGAAGCGTTGAGCAGTGCGTTGGTTCAATTAAATAAGGATAACTTAGGTTTTCCGGTCTATGATAACTTGTTTTCATCGTGGCATCATTCACATCCGCCGCTTTTGGAGCGGATAGCTGCATTGAAAAAGAGCAAATAGATTAACAATTGCAAAATCATGTTTACCGAAAATGTGAATGTTTTCACGTATTCAATTATATAAAATCACAAGTATCAGAGTTTGAGATTTATATCTACACAATTTGCGATTTTTATATCATGAATGGCTCATTAAATGAGTGTTTTTCGTTTTTTAATAAATCTATACTTGTGCTGCTCTGTTAATCATGTAAGATGTAAACATGTGATTAGTAAATTTTCTTTTATGGATATTTTCATTATTTCATTGTTTAGGAAAGGTTAAAATTTTGATTTCTCGATAATTTGGTGATTTTTTTAATAAGAAATCCATTATTTGCAACAAGACTAGACACATAATTACAAACATTACTTTGTTATAAATATCATGCATGTGCTTCACAAAATAATACAATAACAAAGCATCACCGGCATTATTTTCACCTTTGACCGAACCTTAAACTCAACTGAAAGCAAGAAAAAATGTTCAATGGATGCATTTTCGTCTACGACGAACGATTGACAACATTGATGTGTGTTGTATTTGCACTTAATCGAAATAAAATCTTTTAAGGCTGTGGCATTGAATGTGCTTTGAGCACAGTGTTGAGGAACTCTTCGAGGTATTGATTGGAGCCGAGGTGGGCGATCTCCAGTTTGGCTTCTTGGTCCAAGAGCGCTAGTTTTTTCCTCGTATATTCAAAACTCCCACAGTTCTCCAGCAACGAAACGCAGTACTTTTTCACTTCATTATCACGCGTTCTTTGTCTTAAAATATCTGTAGAGATTATTTAGTTAGAGCCTAATTGTATAATTATTTTTGTAATATTTTAACTTACGCATTACTAAACTTTCACCGTCCGCGCTGTTTATGGCATGAATCAGCGGAAAGCTAAATTTACCTTCTGTTAAATCCTCACAGAAACTCTTATTTGCCATGTACTATAATCAAATCGCAAATTAAAATCTGAGTCATTTGTTTAAAATTAATATTACTCACTGCTTCAGAATGCAAGTTGATGTAATCATCTTGAATCTGAAAGTATAGTCCTAATATACCAGCTAGTTTTGTAAAATCTTCCTTATTGTCACTAAAAAGTTGCATCAATCGAATTGCCATCATGAATAATCCTCCAGTTTCTATAATCAAACAAAATATTATTCAAATGTAAGAATACTGTAATCAACAAGAAATGTCCATACTTTTTTTGGTCATTTCACTATATTCTTCTTCAGTTGGACAAGCATAATTATCCCTCCAGTAAATTTCCATTCCTTGCCCTCTGTGTAATTCCAACAATTGCTCTGTGAATACTTTTACAGCCTATCAAACATATTTCTAGTTAGTACATAACCTAATCTAACCAAATATTTAAAAAATTGCAATTTTTCTTACATCAGGATGATTTAATGCTAAACATTTTTCTAGACCAATAATAATAGCATAATTGGCTGCATTGATTGTGCTAGCAATGCCATAGATGGAATGTGCAACTGGAATACCTCTACGTAATACTGAATTGTCCTCAATGTCATCAAGCCTAGAGAGAGACATATCATAAAAATGTAATCAAATTGTATGCAATTTAAGCACATAAATATTTACAGTAAGCTGGCATTGTGCAATGTCTGGATAATATCATCTATTTGCTGTAGTTTATCTTCTGGTACATTGAGCCAATGGTTGAATGCAAGTGATAACTTGGAGCGGATATTTTTACCAGGCACTTGCAGGATGTAGTTGTATGGCATCAACACTTTCTACAAGGTGTAGTTATTATGTATTAAGAAATTCAACTTTATCATTCTTATCAATAATTTGCAATCTAACCTCGTCTTGTTCGCGGTCACCTTCATCGCTGAAGAGATTTGCTTTTTTACTTTCCATATTCATTAATTTAGGCGCAAATTGTGTCGGTCACATATGATTGCTAGAGATAGATGTAATTTTGTACGTAGTAGGTATTCGTCGTCGGCTAACCGCTCTGCCGTATTCGATTTTGCTTCACTTCAGGAACTTGAATATTTGATTAGGCGCACAACTTGCGAATCAGAAGCGCAGATGTTCACGCTTGCAACCACTGGTAACTACTAAAACTAAATGTACTAAATCTACTTTGAAATATCCCGTTGGCACACTCGTTTATTTAGCGTTGATTAAAGTATTTGTACATACAAAATGGCTGCAATAAATGTTTGAGTAATGATTAAATTGTACGCATCAAAGGTTTTTTATCGGCGAAAACACCATATTTTACATAGGTTATATGTAGTACATACAATCATGCAATTTGAAACAACATGAGTGTCTCCATTTCATAACATTTTACAACTTTCGTTTGTTTTTCATGGTCATAACATTCTAACAAAAACTGATTCTTATTTTCTTCATTTTTAAAATCGACTTTTTTCAATGTCACAGTGTAATCTATCATTGTTGTTAGACTTGAATCAGTTTCATATTTACTAAACACTGTAACAATGTGTCTATCTTCAATGATAGCTTTTAAAGATTTCAACAAATGCACACAGTGTTTATTAACACTATATAATTCATTTTCATTCTTAAATGTGGCTGCATATCTTTCATACCAATAATGAGCTGACAAACTATCAATTGCCAGCAGTGCAATATCAATGTTCTGAGATAAAATGTGTTCCAAGTTGAGTATTGTAACTTCCAACTGTCTGATGCAATAACAATTTAGAATAGTTAACTTTTTCAGTGATGTTCTAACTAATCCCTGATGCAGTTCAGTTGGAATGTTTAACATTGACAATTTTCTCTCAGCTATTTGAATTATTTGTATTATTGATATTTGATGATCAGTGTTTATTAATACTGCACTGCATTCTTTAAATTCTTCAGATAATTTTTTAGGTAAAATTGTATTAACTATTAATTCAGCAATAAGCATTGACTTTCCTGTATTTGGAGCTCCAGTGATTTGAATAACTTTGTTTGGTGCTGGGCCATTTGTAAAAATTGCTGAGTGTAACTTATCAAGTCGAGGTCGAAGATGAATTCTGTTGAAGAGTTGATAGCCAGTTTCAGTTTTAACATTTGAAGTGGTTTTACTCATTTTGAATTCGAATTGGAAGCTTAAAAGTAAAAACAAATTGCATATATTTGTAGGTTATTAAATTAACAACTTAAAAAACCGTTGGGAAAACAGTTGTGTGAAAAACAAATGAAAACATATTTTATATATTCTAACAAAATACCTACTTTTAATATTCACAAATAACTAATTTCTTTCTAATTTTTGTTGTTACACCCTGTTGAATGTGAATGCTTCTTCAGCGGCAGCGCTGAGGGTGGGGAGCGTGGGGAGCACGGAAGACAAGGCGGCACAGGTGCTAATGACCAGAAGCCGCCATGTTTTGATACGAAACGTGAAACCGTGAAGCGAAGAAACGATTAAGAAGCAACTAATTTATTTCACCGCGCTTTGTTCAGTGCGTTAGTAAATTTAAGAATCAACCACAAAGTTTGCGAAGGGACGCAAACACAGCTATCCTTTCACTCAGTGTACGCCGAGTTTACAAGAAACGAATCAACGCCGACCGTGTTTACGACCTCAAGCATTCCACACGCGTTTTTGTTAATAAAACTAACAAAAACGAGTTTATAATCATTATTGGAATGTAATCAACTGAATGTGCTGCTTTGGGGTTGATAAATGCGCTTCTTCGAATCTAATTGGAACTAGAAATAACCTTGCATGTCAATAGTTACATGTCAATGAACTTATTGCACTGCACTTCTTACTAGTGCACATACCCACAAGCAACAATAAAATTATGCAAGTGGTAAGCTCAAAAAAGCATCACAATCTACATTTATGGGGAATGAGACTGCAAGAGACATGGAAACTGAGTCTGTAAAGTCTGAGAACAGCTCAAGATCCAGGAGATCAAAGGGCTACCATCGAGATAGAAACAATTACAGACAACACTCTCACAGAAGCAATAGGTAATCATCCTTTAGTGAAAATGCCACCTTCAAAAATGTAATTTAAATATTTTTTTAGGAATAAACCACAGAAAACAGAAGATATGGCTCCATTTCAAACATCTGTAACACTCACGCCAGACAATCGCGACGGCCAGGAAGTGATTGAGGTGCAAATCTTGCCACAAGATGATAATTGGGGAGAAAATACGACCGCAATAACCGGTAACACATCAGAACAGTCTGGGTCAACAGAAGATGTGAGCAACTGGCCAGGAGAACCAGACACTGGCCTCAGTTTCATTTGCCAGCAATATCTTGGTTCAGTTTTTACTTATGTCATATCAGTAAGCGCATTTCTGAGCCCAATTGCAATGGTTGTTCTTCCGAAACTAGGATTTTTTCCGGCGCTATCATCGAATGTTGGGCTGCAGAACAATTCAAAATTATTGTTGTGTGGTGCAGAGTGCAAAGGTCTACTGGTGTCTTTGGCATTCAAGTTGGTTATTTTAGCTGGTGGTGCGTGGGCTATTTTTCTACGCAAACCGAATGCAACATTACCCGGAATATTTCTCTTCCGAGCGAGCGTTTTAGGTTTAACTTTGATTTGCACCTTTGCTAACTGGTTATTTTATATTGTGCAGGCAAGTATTTAAGTTTAATTCATTGGATTATCATTAAAACATAATATTTAACAGGTCACAGAAAACGCGCGAGCAGCCATCACTCCAGAAGATTCAGTCGATTATAAAGCATTAGTGGCTTATGCTTCAAGTTTAACAGATACCTTACTTTTCATACATTATTTATCAGTGGTTTTGATGGAAATCCGCCACCAGAAACCAGCGTACTATATAAAAATCATCCGCAGCCCTGATGGCGCTTCTAAAGCATTCTCTATCGGCCAGTTGAGCATCCAACGCGCTGCTGTTTGGGTCCTCGAGCGTTATTACACCGAATTTCCGATTTACAACCCTTATCTGGAGCGTATTCCAGTATCGAAGTCGCGCAAAGCTTCTAGCAGTTTTAAATTTTACGAAGTGGACGGTGTCAATAACAGCGGTATGCAACAGTCGAATTCACGCGCAATGTTAGCTGCACATGCGCGTCGTCGTGATTCCAGTCACAATGAACGCTTCTACGAGGAGCATGAATACGAGCGGCGTGTTAAAAAGCGCCGAGCGCGATTAATCACAGCCGCTGAGGAAGCGTTCACGCACATTAAACGCCTGCACAATGATCAAGCTCCGGCGATTCCCATGGATCCGCACGAAGCGGCGCAAGCAATCTTTCCATCGATGGCACGCGCGTTGCAGAAATATCTGCGTGTGACTAGGCAACAACCACGACACTCGGTGGATAGCATCCTCACGCATTTGGCTAACTGTCTTAGTCACGATCTGACACCACGGGCTTTTCTAGAGCCCTATCTGTTGACAGAACCAGTGTTATTAAACGATAAAGAGCAGAAATGCGTGCAAACTTGGGCGCTCATCTGTGATGAGCTGTTGTCACGGCCGATTGGTGATAATATCTGTTTCCAACTGCGGCAGAATGATGTATCACTCTTGTGCTGCATCAAAAAATTGCCGCATTTCAACATCACCGAAGAAGTCGTCGATCCGAAGAGCAATAAATTTGTTTTGCGACTTAATTCGGAAACATCTGTATGACCTATAGTCTATGACAGATTGATTTAAAGACAACATATCTTTGAGAAGGCAAGAGAAGAATATTTATCGAACATAAAAATTAAAGATAGGCAATATTTTATACTTAAATATAAATAAGCAAGTATTTTTAGTGCGAGCGATGATTTTATAGGTAAATTTACTAAAAACGTAGTTAGACGAACACAAATTATCATTATCTCATAAAAGTTGTGATAACGAAAACTGTACTAATGTCTTTTGCTAATATTTATGCTATACACTGCTCAATTCCGACTCTAAGTATTAACTTAGTACTTAAACAAGCAAAACGGCTGCACAAACAATTACGTAACAAGACTGTAAATAATATTTAATTACTTCTACGCTCATAATTAGTTTTTATTTATTTTATTATCGCCAACACCAAATAAAAATTGATGTGCAACAATGTGAACGCAAAATGTGCAAAGTGCAATTCTTATTTTTGTATCGTTAGCGACTAGCAACTACATAGCTTTACGCGACTTTTATATCAGAAACATTTACACATTTTTTACACAACATGCATATATGTATTTTTGTATTAAGCAAACTTACGTCAATGTATTCAAAGATTGAATATCAATTATCATGCTAATGATGAGTATAATGATGAAACATTCGAAATATTTATACATTTAAGGCATATTTATACCTATATTTAAGTACAAGTGTATTTTATGAATGTACTGGTCTTTTTAAATAACAACAAACGATATTGGTAAACAAAAATGTATTATCTGACATGTAGGCATTTACAAAGCGCAACTTGATTTTAAATCGTGGTGCCTGTTGGATCGCTGTATTCATGCGATGAACGCGGATATTTATTTGTCTGATGTGTGCGCTGTATAGTAGTATCAACTTCTTTTTGCATAATGATTAGTGTAGAATGCATTTGCCCCGAAGGATTTACATGATACAGTGTTCTGTCAACTAATGGTTGTACATCACGGAAATTCCTACTGAGAAGTGCTCCATCAGCACCCATTAGCAATCTGAATCCTTCAACCTTGAAAAAGAAGCGAGAAGTTATAGATTTGTGTAATTTGCGCAAATAAACACACCTGTGCCATGGATACTCCCATGGGAACCCGACTGATCAACCAGAGCACGTAGTGCACGCATGTGGTAGTGTTGATGCTGCCAGCATACAGGAAATAATCGTCTTCGAATTGTGCCATGTATTTTCCCAGAGCGTGACTTCTCAAACGTGTTGAACTATGTGGTTCCTTTATCAGAGGCAGAGCTTGAATGATTACTTGTAACATTTCGTTTATTTCATCTTGAAGCTATATTTACATTAATCAGATAGTTACTTGTTTACAAAAAGTTATTTAATATGTATAATTTACTTTAAATATGTAGACAATCATGGCAATACCATCTTTTCGTTGTGAAGCACTCTCTTGCGACTGATAACAACTTTTGAAGTAAACCATGTGCATTTCAAGTATTTGTGAAACACCCGAAATGGTATGCTCTGAGCCACACATATTATTGTTGCCCCAATGGAAGTGCAATTGTGAAAAAACATAGTTGTCGGTGAAAGGACCACCAGAAACACACGGCCGATCTTGTATCCATTTTGCACTATAAATAACTACACCTAAATGTTATCAATACTAAAACATCTGCTTAAGATCAGTCACCAGTATGACCGGAATTTGTAAGTTTAACGCGCTTTGGTTCTACTTCCATGTGATGCCATTCCAATGGAGGAAGTTCGATTGCGGTTGCTTTTGGCAGGTGGAGATCAATTGGCGATTCTAAAATTTCCCTTTCGTGGGTAAGTGCGAAGACTTTTTGAAGGCCTTCATGTGAAGGGACTTCCTCTTGATCCTCTTCTTCCACATCGTTTTTTTCGCTCATATTTGATTAATACATTTTAAACAATTAGGTATACAAGAAATTTAGATTGGAACTTACTAATTAATAAGTTTCAATATTTGTCATATTTCAAAAACTGCCAGAAAAAACTTTCAAAAATTTTTGCATTTAGGCAACTAAATATTCATTTGGTAAAGTATGATCATGAAATCATGAAACACTTATACTTACATCTAAATGTATTGGTACATATAAATAAGAACAAACAATATTTAAAAAAAACAGAGATGTATTATTTTAAGTGAAGACGTTTACAATTGAAAGCTCCTTGTGATTTAAAATCGGACAAGTGCGCGATGTTGCAGTCTCAATCATCTTTCTGCATTGGGAGAAGTGTAGAATGCAACTGCCCTCCTGGATTGACATGGTATAATACTCTATCAGCTAGTGGTTGTACATCACGGTAATTCTTAGCGAGGTGCGTTCTCTCAGCACCTAGTAACGTTCGAAATCCCATCATCTTAAAGTAATAGAAAAAGAAATTTAGTTCTATATTTGTAGTGATTAAGTCACAGAACGCACTTGTTCCGCTGATATTCCCATCGGAGTCCGACTGATCAACCAAAGCACGTAGTGCATGCAGGTAGCAGTGTTGACACTGCCAACGTACAAGAAATAATCATCCGCAAACGGTGCAACAAGTTTTTCCAATGGGTAACTTTTCAAACGCGTCGAGGTGTGTGGTTCGTTTATTAAAGACAGAGCTTGAATAATGACTTGTAACATTTCGTTTATATTATCTTGTATCTATATTATCACAATAATCATAAATATTGGTTAAAAACGTTAATAATCACAACTTACTTTAAATAGGTAGACAACTACAGCCATGCCGTCTTTTCGTTTCAAAGCGCTCTCCTGTGTCAGATAGCAACTTTTGAAATAAACCATATGCAGTTCAAGAATATGTGGTTTGCCCGAAATGGTATGTTCTGAACCACACATATTATTGTTGCCCCAATGGAAATGCAGTTGTGAAAAAACATAGTTGCCAATGAATGGTCCGCCGGAAAGATAGGGCCGTTCTTGTAACCATTTTGCACTATAAATAACTACAACGAAGTGTACTTTACATCAGAAAATATCAATATAAAATCAGTTACCAGTATGACCAGAATTTGTAAGTTTAACTCGCTTTGGTTCTAATTCCATGTGATGCCATTCTAATGGAGGAAGTTCGAGTGCGATTGCATTTGGTATGTGAATATCTATTGGCGATTCTAAAACTACTCCTTCGTGAATAAGTGTGTAGATCTTTTGAATTCCTTCATGTAAACGCAGTTCCTTGTTAGCTTCTTCCTCTTCGTCGTTGCGTAAATCAGTCATGTTTGCTTTAGTACAATTAATAAATTTGGTGTACAGGAAATTTAGATTTGAATTTATTAATTAACTACTTTTAATATATGACATAGTTCAAATATAATGTCAACAAAGGAAACTTTCAAAAATTTTGAATATGTAGGCAACCAAATATTTACATGTTTCTAATATGCGATACTAACGACACTACTTTTTTTCTTGGCTTCCATTTTCAATAAGAAGTTTTTCAAGTTTTTTAAATGGATTTGTTTTGTTCTGACATTTGATTAAACAATTATTGAACAAAATATAACAGGGGAACTGGACACTATATTGATACAACAATAATCCACATTTGATAGTTTAGTTTTGCCTCGTTTCGGCATAGTTTGAAACCATATATGTCAAGGTTTATGGAGTATGCGCAGAAACTTTGCGTGGGAACCCCCCACGCCGCAGACTGACCGTGCTGGTGCAGTCAGCTGGTCCGTCGTCAGGCAGTGCTCCCGGAGCCCGCCTTGGCAAAGTTGTGGTAGCTCGCTCGTATGCACCTCCGGACGGCGGACTGAGTGCACGAGACGGTCGGGGCTCGAGGGACGGAAGGCGTCCGTCCATACGGCGCTAAATGGCAGCAGGCTGTTGTGGCACCAAGAAGCAGAAACTAAACAACTCGCAGAGCCTGCTTTCGTCTGAATCGAGCGACGGCCACTCGAGCACGACCAGTATGACGTCGAACGGCCCCAACGGCACGGTTGCCCTGCCGGAGATGTGCTTCTATTGCTTCGATGTGCTCTACAGCCAGCTGTTCAATCTCGAGCCGCCGAAGACGCCTACGTTCAACAATGACGCATAGTAAGTTGGCTGCAACCACATTAACAAAGACTTGCGCTTTTCATTTGTCTGTTCTGTTGCCATCCACCTGGCCATGATTTGCTCAATTTCATTTATCGAATCGTCGCGCAGTTATCATTATTGCTGTCGGAAAGGTCGTTCAACCGTTGCGCATACGAACCAGGCGCATCACCGCACGTGCGGGGCGCTTTTCCTTTGTTCGCTTTTTCTGCGCTTGCATCTCTTTGTTCGATTATGTTTATTTTTTGTTTTTGTTGAGTCTATGAACTTTTTACACGTCTGGTTGCCAACACCGATTTGACAACAACCAGACATGCATTTAGTACATTAATAATTTTTGTGCGTTTTTTCAGTCCACTGTTTGTAACATGGAAGATTGGTAAGGACAAAAGACTACGCGGTTGTATTGGTACTTTTAACGCGCTGAACCTGCAAATGGGATTGCGGGAGTACGCCATCACAAGCGCGTTCAAAGACTCCCGCTTCAACCCGGTGACGCGTGATGAATTCACCAAGCTATCGGTGTCCGTATCAATTCTAAGACACTTTGAGGATGCGGCCGATTATCTCGATTGGGAGGTCGGTGTGCATGGTATCCGAATTGAATTCATCAACGAGAAAGGCAACAAACGCACTGCCACTTTTCTACCTGAAGTTGCACCTGAACAAGGTATAATTAGTGTTAAGTTACCATTGTATTCAGCCCTGCTATAATCATCAATGTTTTCCTGGTACAGGTTGGGATCAAATTCAAACCATTGATGCGCTTCTGCGCAAAGGCGGCTACAAAGCGACGATTACAAGCGAGGTGCGCAAAGCCATCAAACTAACGCGCTATCAGAGTGAGATCATTTCGGTGACGTACCAGGACTACGTCAACTATTGGAACGGCCGCCGGTGCTAGCAGCTAGCGTGGGGGGCGATGCCGCCTCCGCTCCGGCCGCCCCAACATTTCAACCACTACGACTACAATTATCTCCACCAACATCACCCACGCGCACCGCTGCAATGCGCGCACTTTGTTGCGCGTCCACCGCCACCGCAGCTCTTGCAACCGGTGCCTGTGTGGTGGAACTCGTTTCCGGGCAGCCCCGTCTACCAGCAGGAGTTTCCACCGCTCCTGCTTAGCCCCGGCGCACAGACCTACGCCATCCGCAAACGCAAATAACGAGCAACACGAGTGAATTATATTTAAGACGTAAGATAGGAATTTATATTAGATACATATTGAGAATTCTATTAATATTTCGTGCCTCAAAATTTAACAAATTCGAAAGAATTGTCGGTTGGGTAATTAATTAGATCCGCTTTCATTTTGGGAGGGGGCTTTCGAATGCGACGTGCATTGTCAATACTTCATTAAACATTCTATCAAATGTCATACCAACTCTACCATGATCATGAAGGTAGCATACAAATATTGGAGCTGAACGTTTATTTCTCACGTGAAAATTCAGTTCAAGATTTTCATTTGCTCTTTGTAATTGTTCTCAATATTTGATAGAAACGTTCCGCTTCAATCAGTGTCAATATAATCAATTGGAAATCAAAGCTTCACCAGAAAACTTTGCTGACTTACTTACGGTAGATTAATTTCATGAGGTGATCCGACGAAATAGCGTAATATGCAAAAAGCCACTGCCATTTTCATCCCTTACGAATTATGGAGACAAAACTAAGCTGGCATGAATGATGCTCAACTCAATAATTACTGTTACTATTGGATGAACCATCCCCTATCTGTAGAGTTAGCGCATAGCCCGGTGGATTTAAGTAGGCGTATTAATATGACCGTAAATCATGACGACTCGATGACGCCATTTTGTACGAGGAGCAACCCACATAACCAAACGCATTGATCTCCACATTCACATCAATTAATTCTTGTTTTTACTTTACATATATAATTACATCACAAGCATTTGTTACATTTTAATTTTAACTGTGATTTTTTTTTTGCTTAATTTAAAGTTCAAAAATTCATTCTTATTTTACAAAAAAAATGTCACTGTACTTTTGAAAGAAAGTGTCTCAGGTATAAAATTAAATCATCAAATCAAACGAAATTAACGTTAACGAACTTGTAGAATAATAGTTTATTTTTAAATGCTAACAGCAGAAAAAAAGAGACACGTTTGTAAATGTAAATCGACCATTTATTATTACGATTGATTTTCCAGAGTACGTTTATTGATATGTTATTGGAAACTTAATGATTATATTAGAATTCTATGATGAATTGTCAAGACTTTTAAAACCACTGGTTACTTATAAAGAATATTAATCGATGACAATTACTTAAATTTAATTGATTAATAAGTAGATACAATTTGATGAACAAAGAAATAAATCAAATATAAGAGATTTTGGAATTGCCATTTTTAGATAGTAGTATTCTAAACAAATGTTGGTTTATTGGTCAATAGATGGCGCATAATGTCCGTGGGTATAGAATATATGTGTGTTATCACACACAAGTTTAAGGTTATTTAAGTTTTAAAACGTTTGTTTTGAATGTAACAATTAAATAACTCTGAATCAAAGAATGGCGATTCAACGAGGGAGATTTTCTGACATACCAACAGACGCCGTGCGATTATCTAAAGAGGAAGCTGTTGATTATCAAATTAAGTTAATGCATGACTGGTCAGAATGGAAAGATGTGTAAGAAAAACTAAAATTAAATTGAAACACACATAAAACACATTCTTTTTGCTATTTTAGATTCTTTTTCAAGTATGGAGCAGGTTTTTTAGGAGGAGCATCAGCTGCTGTAGGAATATATCTTAATGATTACTACAGAAGAAAATTAAAATTAAGGTCATATGGCAGTGTCTCCTCGTTTTTGGCATCTTCACTAATACCAACTAGTTTAACTCTTGTATTTCATTATGGACTGATTGTTCCTCATGTCATACTTAAGGATACCTGTGCTGTTTGCATTGAAATTAGAGCAGCCAGTATTCAGTCTGTGTTTGGCTGTGTAGTACCATCCTTGCTTGCACCAATATCAGCATTTTCAGTAATATTCAATGAAGTACCTTTATTAAATAATGTTTAATTTGTTTATTTTTAGGCTGCAATAAGTTATGGCACCTACAATGTACCTTATATTACTCAGCCTCTACAGGTACTTAATTTATGGAAACAGTTAACAAAACCAATTGGAAATATTTTGTTTGGGTTGTTTCTTGCACAAGCACTTCTTGCATCTGGTGTGACTATGATGGAGGGGCGGTCTGTGGATATTGTGAATAAAAAAATGGAAATGAGATATTTGAGAACAGAACATGATTAAACTATTTGTATTGTATTCTTTAGATTGTTATTAGCTGAGTAAAAAAGGCAGTAATTAGTAGCTTTATCAATTATCTCACTATATTTTATTTGTCCTGACAGACTGTTAACATAGATGCGCTAGACAATGTTTTCAAAAACTTCTATTTCAATAGCGTGGAATATGAGAAATAAATCTTAGTCAAATCATTCGAACGGAGATGGCACTAAGTTGCACATATGAACAATAAATAAAGTTACGTCAGTTAGATTGTTTCAGTTCATCAAATCATTCTCAATACAGTGGAATCCCGGCTTGATCCGGCACACCTTGTAATCCGACATGATCATATGTCATATGTTTGTACTTTAGGATTTGTAATTTGTCGGATTACAAGGTACTTGTTTGTAAAAAATTCCGGACTGTAAGGGGTCTTAGGCACTTCTCTATAATCCGACAAATTCGCTCATCCTTCGCTTCGTTGTGCCTAAGACCCCTTACAGTCCGGAATTTTTTACAAAAAAGTACCTGTGAGGTATGCACTTATCCATTTATCTTTTGCTTAGGACAATAAATTTCCGTACATCTGTAGTTATTTGAATCAATTAATATGCGTTTACATGTTGTTAAACATTATACTATATTTTATTCAGTTATATATCAGAAATACATACACCCTGTCGCAGTTGACACATGAAACATGCGGTTAGGCGTATGTGTTCTTACTTCCAACAATTGTGCGACTTCGAAAACAACGGAGATGCGCGCACCGCAAACGTTTGGCAAACTAACACCTCACAGGGAAGGCAGGAACAAGAAACGCTACTACTCCCCATCCCAACTTATTTGTATATTTGACACTGAACATTTTCGTTTTCAATTTTACACTTTTATCGGAGTTTATGCATAATGGTTTATTAAATATTAAGTGGCTAAACGGGAGTTTTTGTCAAGAGATTGATAAGAGCAAGCGTAACGAACGTTTAGTTAATCGAGTGTTTAACAACGTTTGGCCATGTGATGCTTACACTATTTCTTTTAATTCCACTCTATTCCCTCGTTGAGGTTTTTGTATTTGAAATTTTGCATTTTAAATCTTCGAAATTCTCTCGTTCATTACTGTAAATGTAAGGTTTTAAATAAAAAAATAAAAAAATAAACAAATAAATAATTGTCGGCATTGTTTAAAAAAATTTTTTAAATTAAATAGTGAGCAATTGTCCATGTGCGCAATTGTCCGTGTGAGCAAAAGTCACTGTGGGCAGTTGTCGTGTGAACGATCGTCTGAGGAGCAAAAGTCCGGGAACCCCTGCAAACATAGCGCCACACACGCACACCCAGTAATTTTAGTTTGGGATTTACAAACACCACAAATTTTAAATATGAGAGAGCGTGGCGAATAAACGAAGATCACAAGCCTTCTAGAGCCGATGTGTCCAGCACATCACACGCCGCTCTTGAATCGAACAACACAACAACCTGTAACCCGGAAACAACCGCGGATATCTACTCGTATAATATCTACAATACATGTAAATAAGTAGATCCCGGTTTAAAATCTTTAATTGTGATTTGCTGTACGCGTACATGTCATATTTCAATTAGTCAAATTTCAGTTTCACGGCAAACAGTATCCTATATCATTTTTTAAGAATGATATTAGTTTAGATTTTAAAATAGATTTTTGAGTGTATATATTATTTACAACTCTTCAAAGTACATAAAAATTATTTGAATATTAAATTTAAATTAAAAATAATTGGTAATAATACTAACTTACCAAATTTAACTCAGCTCCTTCGCGACTATCGGGATCGTAAGGATTATTTGAAGGAAATGAAAAGCAGTAATATTATTATATCATATTATTATTGGTACATAAATATTAATGTTGGTCTGAACGTTGAACTCTTTCATTTTTAATATATCCATTATAATATAATTTCTCCTAATCTATGCTACACGCTATTCAAATCTACAATCTACATAATATCATAGTCAGCAATATATTAGAATCCACATGGTAATAATAAATATACATCTAAGGATCCGGCTGATCGCACAGTCCTGCTAATACTATAAATATAAGTACAATATTTCTTGTTTTCCTTCTTTGTCAATATACTTATTACAGTTCTAATACGCGGAATGCACTAAAACTCGAAATTCGTAGTTCAATTCGAGTTTCGTTTCAGGTTATCTGAACAGTTCTGAATAGTTTCGTTGGTCAACATAGGAATGACCATATTAACAGTATCTTTTTTACTATATATGTATGCATTTTAATTTTTCGCTACATTTTATTATACTTTCAGTTTTGCTCGGTTTTGATTCCGGTATTGTCCAATAATTTACGTGTAGGTCATATAAATTGAGTAAATTTACAAACTTACGATCACAACGATAGTTAAGTTTTATAATTAGAATAAATTGTTGTTATATTTGGCACACAGTTTCCACAACTAATAAACATCTCTACAATACATAAACTTATATTCTTTGGAATGTCAAAGTTTCCTGTTTTCAGCAAATGAAACGACTAGATGGGGAAATAAAAAGCTAGTGATACGCTAATTGTACTGTCAGGTCATAGAAAGCCTGTTATAACGTGTGCCAGGTAAAAAATATATCAAAGTCTATGTAAATGTTATTCAAGGTACTAATATCATCGATTGAGACTGAACTAGACGCCAAACCTGCGTCCATAAACACTAATTATTATCGTCTACCACGTTATAAGCGCTCACAACAAACGTTGACTTTAAAAATTTAGGGAAGACCACAAGGCATTTGTATATCTTGATAATTTTCATTCACATATGTAAATTCCTCTTATTTCTTTTCCTCAATTTATTGTATTTGCGTTTGCTAACTAGTTCAGCTACTTACTCTTTTTTTTTAAATTTCGTCCCAATATATTACATAAAAATCAGTCGGCGTATGAAATATACAACTTTAATCGACAAAATAATTTCTTCGTTTTCGTCGTGCTTCGATTTCATCAAACGATTCGAATGACTTTTGAACTAATTTTGCGCTGATGGATTGTCTAAGAGTAATTAATTATTTTTTCTTTGGGGTTTATATCCACATTGTTCACATTTTCTTCAGCTGTGAGATTCGTAAAATGTTTTAGAACGTTTTGATGCGTAGCGTTGCTCTTACTTAAGGCACGCTTGGAGATTCTCGCTAAAAATGTATCAAAAAATGCAAACTATGCACTCACTACAAGTATGTTTCGGTCGAAATAAATTCACTATGCATAAAATTATATCGCAGTATGCCGTGGATCGCAATCAAAACACATGAGAATATTTGAAGAACGAAATCCCAAGGGTCCAATGTCCGACTTGTTTAGTTTAAATTTAAAACGAAAGTTTGTTCTCCACACGGGTCCATTCCAATTGGCTATAAAAATACTACACAATAGTTACAAGAAATCTAAAAAGTGTAAGATATGGTTAATAAACAACAACTGAAAAGTAAACACATAGAATTACTTACTAACTTTTACTTACACAATTATTAAGCCTATGAGTAGACAATCAGGTTAAAGTGTACTAAAAACAAGAAAATGCTGAACTGCCGCCACTACATGTGCCACACAAGTGTAAAATGATAGAAAATGTTTCACTGGACAAACTTTTTCTGTAATACGTAAGCCATGGATGCACAGGACTGTTCGGATAGGTACCAAACTACAAAATGTTACAATATTCAGAGGAAAACGTCATGAAGTGTGTTTGTTGGCGTAGTTTGTCCAATATATAAGTGTTTCATGCATACTTAGTAGAAGTATTGTGTTTGTAAAAATGGAGAAGATCTAGTGTATGAGATCGGGAAGTTGGAGTTCAAATATAGTAATAGCATCGAATTTGGTTGTATTATCAATATTTATAGTATAATTACGAATAATAATAATAATAATAATGTACAACACTAAACACTAACTCTAATTATTACTTGTCGCAGTAAGTAATTACTCAATTAAAGTACAAGTACCGTACACAAGATACTAAATAGTAATACTTAATTCGTCACTATCAACTACGCTTTTAAGTAACTATATAGTAAATTACAAATAACTCTTAACACTACTACCAATAACGCTAAGTAATTAATGAATTATTATACTCGATCACAAGTTACAGACATTCACAACATTCATTCACCAAAAAAACAAAGGAAATACTCAGATTTTGAAAAACAAAATGTGATGTGCGTAGTTTGGTAGCCTTATGGTGGCGACCTGTTTCCGGGTGGATTCAAAAGTCGATTGCCATATCGGACATAGCGTGTATGTATATGTATATCATAAACGTAAAGGAGTAGTAGTAACATCGAAAACTATGCTAATTCAGTCAATAATCGAGAAACAAATAAATACTAAATACTAATAGTAACTAAACGCTATGTCATGGTCATAACAACTAAAAGAAGCCACCAGAAGCTAACATTGATCTCTTGCTCCACACATCGACCCAGCACTACGCACACACATAGATGTCTAAATAAAATACACAAACATAATCGGTTAATTATTAAATTAAACTACGAGTAGTAACTAAGTGGTACAAAAACATAAAATAATTCGGCAAGCGGCTCGCTGGGGGAGCCGCATGGGAAACTATAAACTAAACAAGTCTTCATACATCCCCTGTTGGTTTGTCTTAAACGTAATGTTTTTCTAAACTAAAACTCGTGAGAGAAAAATAGGAAGAAATAAAGAGAACGTAAATAAGTAAAACCTAAAGTTAGAATTAAAAAAGGAATTTCCACAGCACACATTTCATTTGTCAATATGTCATCAAGTTCAATTTGTCTACAGTCCGAATCATCCCTACCTGTTTCTTTTTTAAAAGTCATATTTCAATTAAGTTTATTAATTATTATCGTTTATGCCTCTTAATTATCATCATTGGTTGTACACAATACAATCTAGTATTTATATAAATAGTGAGAAGCCAAAAACTTTGGGTGTTTTCACATTGTCTTTATTGTAAGTTTTTCTTGCCTCGTCACGTTCTTCACTGTTCCCGCTGCTCCCTCTTCGGAAATAAATATCAATTTATGTTGTTTAGTTTATTCACTTTTATATGTATGTATGTATATCGAGTAAGTTTACAGCACAACCCTTATGTTCATATTTTTATGTCTAACTTCACAACAACTTTTCAAACGTCGAGACTTGTTCCATCCAAATATAGCTTGAGAAATATGAATCCTTCTCTTCGCCGTCAATAAAATACAAAAATATAGGATCATCATTTTAAAGAAGTTACTAATTTATAATATTAATATCATACAATCGCGCTGCCATGCTGTTTTCTCAACGTCTTCGCCAAGCCAGGAACGTAATTCAAATGTTTAGTATATTATTGCTTTCGTATGCGACTTCTCACTGGTTTCTCTACAAAATCCCTACTCGCAAATAATAAATTTGATGATAAATAAGATGTTTCGTACTATCAAATCTCGTGTTTCGCTCACTTCATTATTTTGTATATCAAGAACTTATCATTTCTAATGAGTAAATAACTAACGTCTTGTGTCACAGTTTCAATGCGAACAAACGAATACATGAACATAAACTATGTACAATATTGTGTGGCAGCAAGCAAAGTTTCAGTAGACACTCAAAACAATAGTGTTTGATGAAAAAGTTTCCTTTTTATTTTCGTTATTGTGAAAACTGTTGCTTGTCACTTGGCTGTCGCTTTGGCACTGGGTAAAATTAAACGAGAGCAGGTAGAAATGAAAATTGTTCATCATCCCTTCAGTGTCATCATCAAACATCGCCTGCTGCCGAGCTTAATTATGTATCACAAGAGTGGCGCACTTTGTTTGCTTTATTCCTCGTTAGACACAAGTCAAAAATGCGAAGCACCGATCGCCCAAGCGCGCCGACATAATTGAGTCGCCATTAATTGATTCAGCGCGATTCTTGCAATATTGACTGTGACTTAATTGTTTCGTGGGCGATTAGTATTAATTAGTATTGTGATGTCGCGAATTGAGCAACGCGTCGAGGGCGATCGTCTTCAAGTTTTGGTCCGCAAATCGCACAACTACTGCAGATTCATGTTAAGTGTAAAACTCCACAATGGGTTACAAGTTAATATTTTTAATAAGTCAGGAATGTTTTCTAAACGATTGATCGAGTTTCGTTACTTGCACAACACTCTTCTGAGCGAAAACATGCTATGCTTTGCCATGCGCCATTTTGTATCCGATGTACATTATTATCGTAATTCCTAATATTAATTTAACAATATCTAAGCACTACCAATAAATAATAAGGTAAACTGTGTTCTTATCGCATGAGTCTCGCGCACGAGATGATTATATAAATAATTGTCAGAGTCGATAGGTATCGCCTGCCAACACAATGACGACGAACTTGATTCAGAACAACTCATTTCATCGTTAGGCACAAGTCACTTGTGTGAGGAGATACAAAACTAAGTACTAAACGTAAAGAACAAACTTATCAATAAAATCGAGTGAGATCTACGTGTTTTGAGATGCAAGACGCATTTCGCAGCGCGTCATTGGTACATATTTTAATTAAAATTAAAAATGAACAACAAAAGAATGTCTTTTCGGCTCTCAATCGACACACCGTCAAACATTACTTGGTATCGGGTTTCGAGTAGTAAATTAAGTAAACACAACACACAGCCCATATTTGTTTGTTTTCATTGTCGTCTCGGCAAACTGAATTTCAATTGGCTTAATAAATAACTGACTTAAGCACTAACAAAATAAATAAGTTACTAATGCCACGGCGATTGAAACTGGTCGAAAGCACAAAAGAAACTCGCAAAACTTCTAACTTCTAAAAAGATGGAGCTCCAAATGCAAATGAATAAAATTTTGAAAAGGGCGGCAATAGGTTGCCGCCACCTGTATCAAGCCCAACACAAATGCCACTATGCAAGTGCCCATCATCGTCTAGTTAAATTTAATGTTTATTATTAATACTGCTTTATTGCGAGTCATTATTGCTAAATGCTATAACAAAGAGCGTGTGAGCATAGAAGGTAATTTGCTTGTCGGTCAGCGCGGCTGCTGTTCTGGCCGCGCGTATTACTAAGGTAAATATTGAGAGTTAAAATTGCTTTTCGTTAAGTTTTCAGCTCTCTTGCGCGCGCGCATTTGTTTCCCATCATTATGTTCGTTTCGAAAAGTAGGCACAAGAAGACGCGTGTCTGTGAAAGTGGAAGTCCAAGTTAAGTGTGGTGGGTGAGTATAGTCGACGAGGGCGACTAGACATACATGCCCATGCCATACATCGATCCCCAATCGACGCCCTGGAAGCTGGACATGTCTACGTTGGTAAGGTTATAGCCCTGGTATGGACTAGTCACTTGCTGGGCAAGCGTAGGGGCAGCGGCAGCAGCCTGTGCTTGTGTGGGCGTCGGTGCCGTAGGCGCTGCTGTCGCAGCCATTGGATACGGTGCATAACGATACGCAGCTAGAGGTGGATATGCCCCTAACAGTTTACCGTAGCCAGCAACTGCAGCGGTCTGCGCTTGTGCTGCAGCGGCAGCAGCAGCCGCCACTTGTACTTGAGCCTGCGCCTGTGCAACAGCCAGAGGATTTGCGGCCGCCATCGCACCTGCCGCCGCCGCAGCGGCACTCGGAGCTGCCATACGCATGCCCAAACCGCTGAGCATCAACCTCTTGCCCAGCAACTGGGCATTTGCCTGCACCGCCTCCTTAGGTTGCGCCTTCTTGCACTCCACCTTCTTATTCTTAATAGTGTGGAAGTGAATTTCACATACGCGGTCAACAACATCCTCATTCTCAAACGTGACAAAACCGAAACCGCGATGCCGCTTCGTCTGTTGATCCATCAACATGACCGTTTCCTCAACCTTGCCAAATTGATTAAAGTATGCGCGCACCTCGTCCGCAGACGTATCCTGACTTACACCACCTACGAAAATCTTCTTCGTCTTGTTGGGTTGCTTTGGTCGATTCTTGGGTGTCGCATGCTTTGGATCAATCTTCTTGCCATCGAGCGTGTGGATGGGCACTTTGAGAACATTGTCAACGCTGGTGGGATCCGCAAATGTTATGAAACCGAATCCCCTGCTCCGCTGTGATGATAGAAATTGAGGGAAACAGATATAGAAAAATGTGATAAAATGATCAAAAATAAGTACTTTTATAGTTTACGCAATCTTATTTACCTGAGTAACCGGGTCCTTCATAATAAGCACGTCCGTAACTGTACCAAACATGCCAAAGTACTCGCGCAGCTTCTCACTCGATGTCTGCCAACTCAGGCCACCGACAAAGAGTTTGCCGGGGGCCGGGTCCGAGGAGTTATTAGGCGTACTGCGCCCCGATGAGCCCGAATGGCTACCATTCAGCGGCACGATAGCTGCATGTATGTCGTGATCCAGGATGCCGTTGGTGGCCACCACACTATCCCCGGCTCCTATGGCGGTGCTGTAGACGCAAACAGAAAAACAAAGACGATTAATTCAAGCGCCACGCATTTGAGTGAAAAATTAATCGGTAGTAACGTGCCGAGCCGGACGCGCACATTTGCATCATTTCATGAATGATTTAGTATAGTAGGCCAGCGATAGGGTAGCGGGGAGCGATTGCAACGGGCTAGTTGAATGAAAGTAAAAAATACGCGACATATTCATAACGACCCAAATGCTGCCTGCAGCTTTGATGCCCTTTTGCCTTGGGAACAAAATTAAATTTCGGGGACTTCTCGTGCGCCCACTATACTCCCCGCGTGGCAAATGTGAGCAGAATGAAAAATACACAGTTAGTTAGAGAGGGTGGCTGTGGGTGTGCGTACTGGGAAGACTTTATCGACCTGTTGGCGGAGCGCGCCGGCAAATGCATCCAACGCCAAAGACAAAAGTACAACGCGCGCTGCTGCTCTCCCAAAGTTTCATTGTGTGCAAGGGGGAGCAGGCCCCCGCCGAACCAGAGGGTGCACGCACAAAAATCAAGCCAGATGGTGGAGGGGTGCGCGGCGATCAATAGCCGTCCAATGCGCCCGCTGCGTAGGGGAGGCAGCGCGATGTGCACGTGCACGCGCGTGGGGTGCGGCCCGCGCGGCGGCGGCGCACCGCCGGTTGCCATGGCGTCGCCGCGCGCGCACTCCCCCACGAAAGGGGCGCTGATCGCCGCCGTGCGCCGCCAAGCGCCGCGCTCCGGCTCAGTCCAGTGTTCGGTGTCCGCGTCGCAACAACCTCAGACGGCTCGCTCCGCTCGTCGCCGCCCGCCCTCTCCAGCCATCGATTCGCACGCCACCGCAACGGCCGTCGTCGTCATCGTCTCCGTCACCAACCGGTCTACATTATACCAACATCCTGGTGGACGGACCTTCAGCCAAATCAAAGCCTCAGGTTGTGATATTGTCCTGTCACAGCAGTACTAATTGAACTACTGCTGCCGCGGGACATGACCACTACCTAGGCGTCCACATCGCTAAACCGCCCCAAGCTACCACACCGCCGCCGATCAATCCGCCAGCCAGCAAACTAGTGAACAGTGCAAACTCCCTTTATGCCAAATAACACACACACTCTCGCCGTAGGTTCGTTGTAATCGCTGTAATATCTAGACAGTACTAGTATACTTAGATTTTCTTCCAGCACTCACACACAATCATCCACAACAGCCATCTAATGAAAAACACATCAAAACTCAGCCACACACACCAACAAATGACCAAATAAACACAAAAAACACTCAGTAAAATTAAAACTATATGTAAGCGTAATAGACATGTAGACACACATGTAAATGGTTGTGTTTTGTATTACTATTTTTAAATTATTGATTGCAATGTTGCGCACCTAAAACTTTCTTTGTTTGCACCGCGCGCCGCCCTCGCGTTCCTTCCGGAACGACAGAGGCAGGCAGCGTCCTAATTTCTAGATAAGGCACACGTTTGCTTTCCAAACTCTGTATCTCTTTTTGTATCAAGTGTGTGTAAGCAGCAGCGAGCGCATAGTTTTGAACATAATTAAAGTACAAGTTTACAACTTTTATATATAAATCTATATGAAAAAAAAACCAAACGTAGTGTGTACATTTTTAAAACGCTTTCAATGTTTCAATACTGCACCCCCTGTACAATTGTGTTAGACCATAGAGATGGGCTAGGCCTACACCGTAGTTCAATGTGTGCACCATGCACGTCCCATTTGGCATTCTCAATCCGGCGAAAGGGAGTGACGCCCCGCCGGTCGATAAGCGGCGGGTGCGCGCATCCGCGCTAGCCTTGAACCGCGCACGTGCCCTCTCTCTGGCGGCGGCGGCGCGCAGCCGGTAGCGTCCTCGCGCGTCCACTAATCGCATCACGCTCCTAGCTTTGCCTAGCCGCCCCAAAAACGCAAACTCCTTCCTGCCTATTCATTCGCTATAAATAGCAAACCCACGCCACTATTGTACGATTTGTTACATCGATACCAAATATTTCAACGTCACTACAGCGTCTTAGCGTCCGCATGTCGTCGAACGTCGCTTTACCTTTGGGTTCTTCTTCATCTTGTGTCGCGTCCACTCCAGCCATCCTAGCAGCCGCGTCCAATGTCCGCAATCTTGCACAATCTTCAGCTCTTGCGTTCATTTTCGCATTTTTCGTTATCCTGCGAAACTTAGAATTGAACAATGCCTTTTAATCGGTTGCATTTCAGAATCTTACAAATGTCTGCACTTGCTACTCGAGTACTGATTTACGAGAGGGCAACCAACCAACCAATCAACCACCCAACGAACAGCGTGCTATGTTATTATTCTATACAGATTTAAAAATCGTTGGATAGCCAAATACTGCTAGTGTGTGTGTGTGGATGTGTGTGAAACATTAAATAATTACTCCTACAATATAATACTTAGTGGTGGTCAAAGAAAAACAATAAATCAACAGAAACAATTGTTAGTTTTACTGTTTTGTTAAAGATTAGCATTTACAAGTGTAGCCAAAAAGGTTCTTAAAGCACACCATTCGCACACACGTACGGATATTGTTCCCAAAGTGATAAAATGGCGACGTTATAGTCGACAATTAAAATGGCGACGCACCCTCAAGAAATCTCCCAAGACAAATGAGCATGTTTACTCTTGTTTACTGTGGTTTCGGGCGGCCATTTTATTTGTCTGCTGCGACTTAGAAACAAATTGATTGCCTCTAACATCATATCTCGCTAATTTCAACAATAACCTATATAGCTATCAAACACGCTAATCTGCAACTGTGAACTACGTTATAACAAATGTGCCAGACATAAATTCTAAACACTTGGCCAGCAGCTTCCTGAATAAGGTTTATAACAATAATAATAATAAGGTGCAACGCATACCAAAAGAATGCCCAAACGCAATGCTAATCCAAGAATAATAAACGGCTTCAATTTATTTATTTAACAAACGCCTACTTTGCTGAATAAATCTACCATTCTCGATCATTTTCCATCAGCGCTAAATTTAATTTCGCAAAGTAGTCGGTGTTAGAGTTAATATACTAAAAAAGTATTACAATAGTTTATTATTTAGTATACATTAAAATTATAGCCGGCGCCATGCAACACTACGATAGGATTCATCATCGTCGTTTAACGCATGTTCTTCACGGCCGCTTAATTACGATTGATGTAAATAAATTAAATTACAAAGCGGTTTAGTATAGTTCACTCATTTGTTACCCACAACAGCAACATCAACAACAACCAACGGGTATTACTCGGTGTCGTTTATATTAATTAATTTAATACACGTAACTTGACGAAAAGTATATACACAAAATAATAGTAAGAATTAAAGCAAATGTACAAAAATTAAATTAAGGTTTTAATTAAAAACAAGCGAGACACTTAAAATCTGTCCTAGTTATAATGACAAAGTGAATAACAGATTTTAAATCTCCCACAACTACTTCGACAAAAGATAATTATAATGATGATTACATGAACAATGTACAAATTAAAAAAAACGACCAAATTTAAATTACAAATGCGCCACAATAAAATTAATTAACACAGTAAAGTACATTAATCCATAAATGTACTCTCATAGTGCTGACACAGACACAAATATTGATTCACTTAGAGAGATGTCACAACTATTTGCCACCTGTACTTCAATTAATTCTACAAGTCTAATCATCACATTTGCAACGGCACATCGCAATGTAAATATTATTCATTAATACAATTAATTAATTAATCAACAGCTAATCAACAATATTTATTTAACAGGTGCTAGTGCATCATATGCTTATCCAATAAAAATTAGTATTCAAAGTTTTAAGATAAAAAATAAGTATAAACGCCTACACAAACACACATTCGCACAGGAAGTAAAATGTACGCACAAAAATTGCCCACACATTCACACCACAGTCGGCAAACGACGGCAAACAAATTCATCCGTATCATTCATTTTGTATGATAACGTACATGCGCACAACACACAGAGTATTTCAGCAAGTTTCATCCGTGTTTGGTTTGCCCCCAGCTCTGGCCAGCCAAAAAGTGCTAAAATAGCAAGTTTAAATTTTAATGCCCGTGCGCGCGATGGGCGACATGATGTAATGAATGCAAACAATGGATCGTTAAAAATTCGTCCCGCGAGCACAATTCCAATGGTTTCGGTTCGCTCATTTCGATCTCCTGCACACACGGCATTGTTTCAAATGAAAGCGAATAAAAAAAACAACAGCTCTACTCAACTCTCCAGCGTGTGCGTAAATACAAAATACCAGCGACAACGCACGCACAACAATAAATGAATCCGCGAATTGCGTAAATTCGACAACAATCAGTATCAGAAGCATCACACAACAAACACACACACACACACACCGCAGCACGTGCCCGCGCTTCTCGTCCAGTTAATGACCAAAAAGCGAGTGCGCGCAGCTGATAGACAGGAATGTGTCCAGCAAACAAACAGCAGACACGTACATAGTGGTAGAAAAAGAGAAGAGTGAAGGGATTATTGTTTTTTTGATTTATAAAATATGCGCGCAATAAGTACGCTGCCACCGCAAATTTTAAAAGAAAAGCGAGAAAAGTGAAAGTGCACTTTTTTCGCAACTTGTGTACAACGCCATTGGCATAGTGCAACTTTGTATTACGCATTATGGTCCGGTATTCACAAGCACGCTGTTCTCGGACCGTTGCTTGAAAGCAAGTGTAACAACGTGTAACGACAAATTAATGGGTGGAAAAAGCGCGACTCATTCGCAACAATGAAACAAACCGTGAGAAAAATTATATCAAATTGCGCCAGAACAACAATACATCAAAAAATCACTGCTAAGTAAAGCAATTCTAATGACAACCAGTCTCCTCTATAGAATTCGAGATAAGTTTAGGGGTTGTGTAGTATTATTATGACGAAAAAAACTGGTTCGAATTTTGCAAAACTACCAGTTTTCAGGTAGAGCCAAAGAAAAACGAACAAAAACAAACCGACAGCCGGCAAACCAGCCCAGCCAGCTGTCTGCCCTCGCAGGCACTACGGGGCCCTCCACTTCTCTCATTCTTGTAGTCTTTTGTGCACACCACGTATACCCACCAAGCAACAGCAAGCATACCCTCCGAAACGCACTTATGCACATTTATACACATTTAGAAAGAAGGAGAGATGAAGAAAAGCAAAGAGAAAAAAACAAGCTAGCACAACCGGCATAGTTAAGGCATTCACGCAAGAAGCAAAGCGACCAATAAAACCCACCTACCCGCAGAGTGGTAGATACACCTCGCGACAGGTAATAAAATAACTTCTCGCACAACCTACACAAGCTGCAAGACACAGCTCTGGGGAAAAGCCTAAACGAAAACGTTGCAACAATCCACCCAAAGGCGCACCAGGTGAACTAATAAAAATACTCGTAATATTTTTCGCTAATACTAGACCTATAGTTTGTTTCTTCAAACATGTGGCCCTAACCTAAGACAATGCCATGTGCACAACACACAAAACATCACACACAAGATTTGTTGTCGTTGAAAGTTTCCCAACCACGCGAGTCATTGTCATCACCCATGAATCACGCATGCCGCGCGCTATGCAAGTGAATGAAAGCAGAACAAGCAGCAATGGATGTGTGCCTGCAAAGGTGGCACTTTGATGGCGCGCCGAAAATACGAAAATAACCAAGCACATGCTGCCGTTGAGAGAGAGATAAATAGCCCAAAAAGATCAACTTCCGAGCCGACAGGCACACCGCCGACCCATCATCCTAAACTTAGAAACAACACACACACACACGCGTGCATCTTCGAGGGCCAAAGAGGACATTTTCGCCGCGCTCAACATCGAGAGGATCGAGGAATATAATATGGCCTCTGCGCGCGCGGCCAACTGCCATCCGGCCAGGTGGTCCCCTTGCAAACCAACAACCAGGCGCTTATTCGTACACTCTCTGGCATGCAACAACACATACGATACACACCACAAGAAAGAAACAGACTGCATAATATCCTAGTTATATATCCTGATCAGCCAATCTAAACAACAACAGCAACCGCATACAAATTATCCGAACCAAAGCGACAATTTTGGCAATTTTTTTAATAATGTACAAATTACGATAATCCTTATTGGCAGGAAGACCAAACTTACTTTTGTGCTTGCTGTTGCTGCTGTGCCTGCACCACGGCGGCCTGTACAGCAGCTTGCGCTGCCGGCGTCTGGAGCACCGGCGGCGGCACCGTGTACGGATACAGCTTGGCAGGATTTTCGAATAGCATTTTCAGATTTTATCACCAAACAACAACACACAACTATCTAGAATCAAGGCGGCAGCACTCTTGTGCCCTGCACTCGCGTCGTCGTTCTCGTCTCGTTTCACAAGCGTGCGCGCGTGTTTCGTGTTTTGCAAAGCGGCGCGCAGTGCTGCTGGCAGTCGTACGCCGGTCGAATGGCAACTGACGCAGACGCACGCAGAGAGCGCACACGGCAGAGGCACAGGCAGGCAGCGGTAGGAACCAAACAGGCAGAGGCAGCTGCTCGCTCCACACACCACCGCGGCGGCACTGCA